CCCCCCCCCCCCCCCCCGAAGTTTTTTCCCTCTTCTTCTCCGGAGAATCAACCCTAACCTTGTTTTATATCTTTGTTTTCTTTGTTACGGATTCAGTTCAAGGTTAAATCCGTACATGTACACCCTTTTGCAGCAAATATATAGGATACCAATACGCACTATAGTATAATATTATATGTGTATGCATTTCTTAATATTGGAAAAATAAAGTTCTAAACCTTCTAAAATATTCGGTGAAAAATAACGGAATGACAATTAATTTTAATTCTTTACTTGACGTTTAAAAATAACAATTTATCAATTATATTATAATTTTGTCACAAACTTTATTTTTAAACATTAGTGGGAAGGAAAGAAAACCCTGTTACAACTATAAACGGATGAATAAATCTTAAACCAACCTTTCCTATCATAATGTTCTTCAAATATATTCAAATTTTATACTTTATAAGAAAATACAAACTTTGAAAAGTCAAATTACGTTTTGTTCATTCGCTTTAAAGATAATCTTCTGATATTATATTCATCCTTGGTCTAAAATATATTGATTTTAAATAATTCTATAAAAATGCAGCACAGCAAGCGTAAAAAGACCCATTTCACTTAATACGTTGATTTGAAAGCTAGTGGTATAGTTATTGGCTTCAAATACAAAAAAGTGCGTAAATGTCATCTCCCTTTTTCACAGCTTTATGGATCCCACTGTATTCCTCTCATGGTTGATATTTGTTCATCATTAATCTAATCTATGTATATATACTTTGCTTTTCTGTTTCGTTGTCTGTCTGTTTGTATCCAATAAATGTCAAAATCGCTAAACCGATGAGGGCCCAAATTTTGTGTGGGACTTAACATGTCCCCAAAGAAGGTTTATAGATGTTCAAAATTTAAAAAATTAGCCTCAGCAAAGTTCTATTTCTACTAAATTTTGAGAGTCAAAATTTTTTTTTATAAAATCCGCGAACTTGTTTTGTTTTTGTTTTACAATGTATCCACAGAGAAAATGTTCTGTAAGATATGTTTCTGTTTTAGTTGATATTATGTTTATCATTGATATTCTCATCAACTTCCGAACCACCTACGTCAACGATCAGGAAAAATATTTAAACTTTTTTATTTTCTTTATTTTCAAAAATTTTAATTTTTCTTTTTTAGTTTTTTTTTCACTTGTTAACTAAAGATACTAGATTTAGTTGGAGTGGGAAGTGCATAAAATAGACTTAAATCATCTCAAAAAAAGTTAAGTTTTCCTACTGCATCATTTCAGCTCACACTTATTTCATATTTAATTGAAAAAGAGACAAATTCTCAGATATTTTAAAGCTAAAAAAGACTTTGAGATAAAGTAGGTTAGAGAAGAAGGAAAAACATTAAAAAACAAATATTGTAAACATCATTCTCATCAAAATAAAAAATTAAGGAAACGTGATATTTTCTATTATAAAGAGACGAATTTTTCTTATTTCTTAATTTCCCCGCAGATCTTGTGTATCTCCCGACTCATTACTTTGAATATACGTTATTTGTCCAGATATTTTTCTTGCTTTCATTTCAGTTGATTACCTAGTATTGCTGCAGTGGTTCAGATGTTCAGGTTTAAAATGTAGTCAGCCTTGACATTCAAACACAATTTTCCCTCAAAAAAAAGTGTGATTAGCCCGTCTGATGCAAAATTTTATACTTTTTTTGTGCGACTCTCCTGTCTGATATTTTAATTAAAAATTAAAAAAAATTTTTTTTTGGTACTCAATGGTAAAAAAATCCACGAAACTTTTAACTCTCAAAATCAAAATTTCAGAAAAGCTAAAATGAGTATATATATTATTTCTATCAAATTCTAGACTTTTATAAAGATTGAAACTAAGAATCACAGAAAGTTTACAAAATTGTAATAAGAAAATTCGCAATTTTCAGTTCTGTTCTAATTTTCAAGTTCTTTATTTTCTCTAGTTTATTTTCTTCTTAGTATATTCTAAAGTTCTAAAAATATACGCTGTTCAGTTGAAATCTGAGGAGCCAACTTTTCCTTAAAAATTAGACCAGGACTGAAAATTGCGAATTTTCATATAACAATTTTGCAAATTTTCTGTGATTCTGTTATTCGATATTTACAAAATTTTAGAATTTGATAGAAATAAAATATATACACATTTTGCTTTTCTGAACTTTAGATTGAAAATTTTTTTTTTAACCATTGGAGTACCAAAAAAAAAATCCAAAAAATATTGAAAAAATAACTTACGGGAGAGTTGCACAAAAAAGTACAATTTTGCACAAAACGCTGATAATCACACTTTTTTTTGACTCACCTTGTATGTATGTATAAGCAAATATAAAAAGATTCATTGTAATTTATTAGAGCTTATTTCAAAATGCAGGTCCGAACATAATAGGATCTATTTATTTTCGCGTGACTATGTTGAATTTTTATTTTATTTTCAACATGCAAAAATTTCTCCATAAAATATAATAAATTTCACGCTAGTAAGCGCTGATTTCATTCTGCAAGTGCCAAAACATTTGGAACTAATGGTCTCATATTATTGAATTATAAAACCATCATCTTTGTATGTGAAATTAAATCTTGTTGCGGTATTTTTATGTTTAGACATGAAATAAACCGTTTTTAAAACTTAAACATTGCAAGCAAGGTTTAGACACGATATGAAGGAGTTAGGTTCTGATAACAAAAACTTGTTATGCATTGCAAACTCAGATGGAATATTTTTTAGAAGATACCAAAGACCTCAAAATTTAGCTTTATTTTTCAAAAAAATAGCTCTTGCATAAATTATATGCTCTAAAACTATATTTCACATTTTTAGAAAACTATCTTTCAACTTTTTTTATAAACCACCCTGTCCCTCCCTTTGTGTTTGTTGCTCCTCGTTTTGGTAGAATCCTGGCTCACATGGTAAACATAATCAAGGTTGAAGGATATATAGCAGTCGATATCCAGGATATACATTTTCTTTAATGGAGGATACAGGGGGATAAACTGTAGTATTGTGTGAGGTAGCGTTGGGTGGGATAGGGTTGGATAAGATAGGGCTGGATGGGATAGGGTTGGATGGGATAGGGTTTGATGGGATAGGGTTGGAAAGGATAGGGTTGGATGGGATAGGTTTTGATGAGATGGGGTTGGATGGGATATGGTTGGATGGGATATGGTTGGATGGGATATGGTTGGATGGGGGATAGTGTTGAATGGGATAGGGTTGGATAGGATAGGGTTGAATGGGATATGGTTGGATTTGATTGGGTTGAATGGGATAGGGTTGGATAGGATAGGGTTGGATGGGATATGGTTGGAATATGGTTGGATGGGATAGTGTTGAATGGGATAGGGTTGTATAGGATAGGGTTGAATGGGATATGGTTGGATTTGATTGGGTTGGATGGGATAGGATTGGATTATTTAAGGTTAGATGGAATTTGGTTGAGGAGGGTTTGGATGAACTTTAAAGCGTTTAAGTATTAATTTGAAATGTTTAAATATAATCTGATGAGTCCAGGATGAAGTTGTTAGTCAGCCTTCAAAGATTGCCGTCCATTACTTCAGGTTAAACTTATACATTGTACAGTGTTATTATTGTTAATTTAGGATTGTACACTACCGTACATAAATACATAAATATTTCAGCATAAATAAACACAAACTTCAACATAAAAACACAAAAGTTGAAATTTAAGAAACGCCCATTACATGTTACAATATACATACATGTTATATAAAACTCAAATGGAGAGATATGTATGTATAAAACTCTGTAACCTGTTATGAACATACATAAAGACAAAACTAATTTACTAATTTACTAATGATACTTACAGAGGCTGGTTTGTGATTGATCTTGTCGCAGCAATACCATTCGATCTTCTACTTTTCGGCTCAGATACTGATGAGGTTAGTCCCTCCCCCTTCTCTACTTAACTTCATCTATTTCAATATTCCTTTACTCCACTATTATTTACTCCACTATTGTTTTTTTCCGTATTTTCGTTATTCCACTATTCCTCTACTTTATTTCCTCTATTTCAATTTTCCAATGTTTTCTTCTTCTTATAATCCCAATATTCCACTCTAAATCCTTTCAATATGTTGGTTCCAACCCTAGTTTTCATAACCTTCCATTTTGTTCTGGTCTTCCTGAGATTATTCTACATAAATCCTAGTTTTCCTGAAAATATTTTCCTCTCTCTCAAACCCATCAATTACTTACATTTGGATCCTTTTTTCGAATTTACTGTTCCAAGTGAACCCAATCTGTTTGTAAGCTAGCTGGTTCCAAGTGAACACAATCTGTTTGTAATCTAGCTGGTTCCAAGTGAATCTAATCTGTTTGTGAGCTAGCTGGTTCTGACATGTTTAATTCCAAATTATACCTTCTTCTCAAGATTTTATTGGACAAAAATAAGTTTAGAAATTGAAAGGTATAGTTTGTGGCTTGCATTAGAAAATGTTCAAATGATTAGTGACGGGTGAATTCTCTAAAACTAAAAATATCATCTCTATTTAGATCAAGGAATAATGTACACCAAGAAATCCCATTTCTTTGTTTTCTGTATAAATATTGAAAACTAAGAAAAAAATTAGTTTGTTTAAATTCTTTCTCGGTTTTTGTAAATAAAGATTGAGGGGTTCCCTGGTGTGTATAGTTGACAAAAATTAAGCAAAAATATGAATATGTATACATACAACCCATCACTTTCATTTAGTTTGTTTTCTATGTTTTCTAAACCTTTGCACTGTTAGACTTACTACCGGAACTCAGGGAAAAACAGTTTGCAGCTAGAGATCAAAACTTTTGTATGCATCTCTTCTCCGTCAGAAGTTTAATCTAAATCGTTTATTTTACATTTCTATAATGCGATGCGTCCCATTCTTCATCATTGTAAGAGCGTTTCGACCAAAGAGAGGTCCAGATGTTGCGAAGCTCAAACATTCAGAAGTTAGGATTTAAAACAAACAGTTTTGATCTCTATTCTAGTTCAATATTATATTTTCTAACTAACATAGTTACTAGCAAAATAAACATTGGTACTTTAATTGTACGAAGTATGATGTACATTGCAAAAATCTATATTTCTTAATACAGGTATTCATATTCCTATCTTGATTAAATCTGTGTTATGTCCTAACATCTGGTGTACTCTAAGTAAGGTTGGATTTAATAAATACAGAGAAGTACTTGAACTAGGTTTGGAATGTTGAAATACTTCTCTATTGAACTATTAGATGCAGGTCAACTATCCGTAGCTAGTTCAACCACTTCTATCTATTATTTTATTCAAAGCTCTGGTATAAATTCGAATTAATTCTGTATAAATTCGAATTAAATATATATTCAAATATATTCTGGTATATATTCAAATATATCACGGTATATATTCAAATATATTCTGGTATATATTCAAATATATTCTGGTATAAATTCAAATATATTCTGGTATATATTCAAATATATTCTGGTATATGTGTAAACTCTAATATTTTGAAATACTCTGGTTTGTGCTGATAGACTATATCTGGTATATAAATGGTATTATCTGGTATTTTTTGGTTTCCCAAACATTTTCTGATCTGTCATTTGATATGAACCTAACTTATGTAAACCAACGACTGCAAACCTCTCCGTCCTGAAGTATATTTTGTTTACAAAGTATTTGAAACCTAAACCTTGAATATAAATATTATAATTTATTGCTGCAATCAAGCAGGTGGTATTATTATAAGGGAATAGTGCATGCATATCCTTTACTCAGTACTAAGTACCCCACAACCTTAGATTACTCAGATATTCAACTTTATTCTAAGTTTTAAAAAATAATGTTCTTGATAAAGAAACTGATTACTTGTTTCAATTTTTTAATTCCTATATCTCTGTAAACTGATGGTTTAAATCTTTGAAATAAAAATATGACAAAAAAGTTTAAAAAGTAAAAGGACTTCAAAATAAGGTTACACAGATATGAGGGTTAAAAATTTAAATCTTAAGGCAACTAATTATTTCTTTAAGCTGGTTAGTTCCAGAAACTCGGTTAGTCTACCGATAAGCTCGAGGACTCTTATTTACTCAAGTACATTTTTAAGTTTTATTTAATCTAAATATCTTAGAAATCTAGTCTTTTATCTCGACAACTTTTTAATAGCTTAGTGATGAAACAAACTTGAAAATGAAACCTAAGCTTAAAAAGTTGTCGAAATAATTCATTTTTTCCCTTTTTACTCACTAAAATTCATAGTTAAGGTTAAAAAAAAAATTAAATGACCTGAATATTAAAGAGAGTCGAAGAAAGCATGAGCTATGTCAATCTTTAATCTGCATCAATATTGGAATCTAATAAAAATTGTCTTCTTCAATTCATGTTTTCGTAAATTCTATGTTTAATCTCACCAAAATGTCCTCAAAAAAGTTTACTGTTTAATAAATCTTAACAGTTTACTATTTCTCTTTATCAGTTGAAAATCCTGTCGGGATTGAACTAAAAATCTGCTTTGATAATAATATTTTGAATTATCTTGACCACTTCAAGTTTAAAAGGGTCTGAGATAAGACCCACTTTACACATGAAATATATATCTTGGAATTTTCTTCGGTATGATTTTAGACTTGAGAAAGGCATTTGACTAAAGCGAAAAATTGTGTTTCATAGTTTGTGTTCATATTTTTACAATCTGTATCAGTGATGCTTAATATAATGGGATTTTTTAAGGGGTTCAGGTTTCTCTCCAACTTTCCAGTTTGCATGTTTATACTCTTCATCCTAACCTTTATATTTCATTGGATAAGAATTAACTGCAACCTTGCATGCTTCAATATATCAACTTTTTTCAAAATATAAAAACGAATACTTTTGATCTAATCATTAATTTCCATTTTACTCAAAATACTCAATGCCGTAAACCTTCGATATTAATTCCGTAAGATCAAACAATCTACGTTTGAAATATCAAAGGTCTACATGATCAGGTTATTCAGATATAATCAACTTTTTTCAAAATATAAAAACGAATACTTTTGATCTAATCATTAATTTCCATTTTACTCAAAATTACTCAAAAGAAAAGAAAGATTCACTTTTTAAAGGGAGTGTTCGCAAAAATTAAGAAGGGGTAAAATTAAATAAATAAGAAAATGTAAAAATATTTTGATCCTCATCATTCTCCACGGACGCCGAAAATGTTCGTATTTACTATTTACAGTCTGCTGTATGCACAGCTCAAGGAAGCTCTGACAGAGATAAACTGGTTTTCGGGCACTGAGGAGCACGCTTTATATAAAACATTGGACTGGAAAAAATCAGTACCAATCAACAATCCATAATTCAATCATAATTCACCCGAACCCTTTTATTTTTAGGGAACATACTCTTTAATTTCATATTTAAAGATATTCCTTCTGAAATCTTAAAATTATTAGTTGTTTTTAAATACCCCATTACTTGTCAACCCCTCTTTTATTCTCTGCAACATCAGCCCTGTAGTTTACTAGTCCTATTAGTCCGTCCCAAAGCCCCACCAATCCTTATGATTCATCTAGATTAGAATTGGTCAGTCAGTATGTAATTTGTATTTTTTTCTGCTTCAATTTTCTCACTCAAGCTAGAGTAGCATCAGAATTATACAGATTTTTAGGAAAAACCAGAGAAATTTACTATTTTCAATAACATCAAGGAATAAGTTTTGGAAATCATTGCGTTTAGAAAGAAAGTTACTCAATTTTAACAATTTCGCTTATAAACATTAATACATTAGCGTTTTGTATTTGAAAATATTTACATATTTATATTTCAGACGACCACTCTCATTGGTTTGTTGAAAACTGCCCGGCTCCTCAGACTGGTTAGGGTTGCCCGGAAGATAGATAGATACTCTGAATATGGCGCTGCTGTTTTAATTTTGTTAATGGCGGCATTCGCGCTTGTGGCCCATTGGCTTGCCTGTATTTGGTATGCTATTGGGTATGCAGAGCGGTCAGGGCCTAAAGCACACATAGGCTGGCTTGCTAGCTTAGCCAACGCTACAGATCAACCTTATATGGCTAACAATACTGGCGGGCCTTCAATTAAGGTTAGTTTTATTTTTCCTTCTTTATCATAGAATTTGATTCAGGAAATTTAAAATGAATTGAGTCTTTGCCAAAAACTCTGATTTTTAATCTCCTATATCTTTGCAACTCAATGCCGTAAACCTTCGATATTAATTCCGTAAGATCAAACAATCTACGTTTGAAATATCAAAGGTCTACATGATCAGGTTATTCAGATATAGGAATTAGAAAATTTGAGTTTGTGGCAAAGAATTGATTCCTTTGTAAATGTAAAGTTCGAAAAAAGAAATTGGGATTTCATTGAGTAAAGTTTTTCTAATTCGGAAATACCACAATTTTATGTAATCCCGACTGACATCAAAAGTTTACACTGAAAATCTTTTCATGAAAGTTTTCTTCTCTAGAATTGTAATGCAAAAAATTGAAAATTGTGAGCTATTGCCTGTAGTGAACAGTAACCAACTAATGTGTTGAACAAATATTTCCGGTCCAAGCTTGATTAAATATTTTGGATACTATGCAATAATGTACAAATTGCTTTCCTAAAAATGATTATTACAACACAATTGGTATTTCCGAATTTTTAACTTTAATTAATTCATATTGAACACATGATTCGAAAATAGTTGCATTTGGACGTTTGAGCATGTTGCCATTTTTGAGATTCTACGGTTTTTAAACAAAAATAATAAAAACTAACTGAACTTAAGAATTATATAATCATTGTAAAGAAGAATAGAATATGTGCAGTGTCGTACAGTTCTACAGTACAGTACAGTACAATACAGCTGTACAGAAACGTGCAGGCGCACATTATAGCCGTATTGTACAGCTATACGGTACCACCGTACAGGACAGTACCATCGTAAATACGGCACCTATATACGGTACAGCAATAACCAACATGTTTTGGTTTTATAAATACATGATATGATATATATGATAGGATCTTTGATATCATATTTGCTATATCCATGTTTACCATGGAGAACTTAGGTTCAGTGCTCCGAATAATGTTTTCACAAAATAAAAGTTGAAACTGCAGATATTCAAGACCACTTCAATTTGATTAAATTTCAATTTATAACTCGTGAAAATGCTGAGTTCACAGTTTCAAGGCCTGGTCTAAATTTAAATTTTCAGTCCCGTTATTGTACTGCACTCTACTTTTGTTTCACTGGACTAATATCTGTTGGGTTTGGCAATGTTGCGCCCAACACGGAGGCGGAAAAGCTGTACACTATCGTGATTATGCTGCTGGGATGTAAGTTTCTGTTTCTTGTGTCTGAGTGTCACCCTTCACAATACTTCAAAATGTTTCATTTTCTCATCTGAACACTGTTTACAGGCGACCCGACTCATCTTCTGGTTAAAACTAATTTATCCCAAAAATTCAGTTTTTAATCTCAAAATAATTCATGAAGTTCTATTTGCCAGATTTTCTAATCTTTTAGCACAAACAACATAAAATTTCAAAAAAAAAGCACTGTAGACATAATTTCAAGCAACCCTTTATTTAAAGTGAAAAGGTCCGATTCACAATAGTAACCTTCGTCTGAGCAAGTATGATCATTTTTAACTGTGATTTCTAAAAAAATTGACTTTCGGATTTATGCAGTTAAGACAAAGAAGGAAAATAAAGATAGAAAACGACCATATTTGTTTCAGAACTATTGAGATGAAGGTATAAATGGTTGTGAACATGCACTTGAAAGTATGTCGAGAGCCACCCTTTAAGTCTGATAATTTCCACCCACCCTTTAAGTCTGATAATTTCAACCCACCCTTTAAGTCTAATAATTTCCACCCACCCTTTAAGTCTAATAATTTCCACCCACCCTTTAAGTCTGATAATTTCCACCCACCCTTTAAGTCTAATAATTTCCACCCACCCTTTAAGTCTGATAATTTCCACCCACCCTTTCAGTCTGATAATTTCCACCCACTCTTTAAGTCTGATAATTTCCACCCACCCTTTAAGTCTAATAATTTCCACCCACCCTTTAAGTCTGATAATTTCCACCCACCCTTTCAGTCTAATAATTTCCACCCACCCTTTAAGTCTAATAATTTCCACCCACTCCTTAAGTCTGATAATTTCCACCCACCCTTTAAGTCTGATAATTTCCACCCACCCTTTAAGTCTGATAATTTCCACCCACCCTTTAAGTCTAATAATTTCCACCAACACTTTAAGTCGAATCATTTCCACCCAAAATTCTGAATAAATTAGATTTAATTTCCTTACCTATACCCCCAAACATACATTTATGAAAGTATAAATTATTTAAAACATCCATTTTAACAGACCATGTTTCTAAATTCTAAACAAAACTTCAATCATAGGAATTTTAAATCTGTTTTCGAACTTTCGAACTTTCTTATCATTGTCAATCAACTGGGTTTGCCTGTAATGCTCCTTCCAACTGCAAGTTGATTTGCTTTCCGTATCCGTAATTTGCCAACTTATTCAGAAAACCCGAAAAATTAGCTTTGCATCATTTTAAAAATAAAACAAAATGGCTTTACCGCTATCTTGCTACCGAGCTTAAAATAAGATTTTTAGATTTTTTAATTAAAATGTAGGTTTAACTCAGATCCATATCCCTAATTATTACTTTTCATGGACATTAAAAACTTTTTTATTTTTCATCCGTTGAACACAACTTTTATCCTCCTTCCTTTATTTTCTGTTTATACCTTCCTCTGGATGAGTCAGGTTCGCCTACACCCCTATTCTTGTTTTATAAACACTGATGGAACAATATAGTTGCAACCCAACACACAACACATTTATTTATATTCGTGTGAATTCAATGGAATCGATTTTATAGTGTGTTTCCGCCATATTTTTGTTTATTTAAATGTTGTATTAGTTTATTTTTACAACTTGTGTATGGATTATTCTTTTGTTACTGTTTACAAATATTTCCAAGATAGAGTTGTAAGATATTGTTGTACAGTATTGCATGTTAATTATGTACTGTACGGTTCTGACTGGTATACACAAATCCCATTTTTCTGGTTGACTGGCCGCTGCCATTTTGATCTATGCATTGATTTTTTCATCCATACTTTTTTTATGGATAAATGAATAATAAACTGCATTTCCTTTTAGCCGGAGATTATAAAAAGTACAACTAGTACAACACAGTAAGCTTGTCAAGGCCTCTAAATTCCAAAATAAACGCAATAACGATTAAATCAATTGATGTCGACATGTTTTCTCCCTCTGGGTTGCTGGTCATAATTTGATCTGAGCTGAAAACTTTAGAATGAGATATCCTTGATCCGGAGACGGAATTTAAAGAATTTGAGCCGCGGTTTAAATCCGCCAAAACCCAGTTTAAATTAAGCGCCGGCTTAAATCTGGAAACATTTGATACAATTTTAAGTGGAATCAACCATATTTAAGCCGCGGCTTAAATTTAAACCGCCGCTCAAATTCTTTAAATTCGGCCACCGATTACTTAATCTGAGTATCCAATGGACACACTTTTGATTTTCTTCTTAAACCGTTCTTTCTTGAATTTAGTAGAGAAAAATCAAAAACCGGTATTTTTAAATCAGAGAGCCCTCCTGTTTCTGTTTATAAATCTTAAATTGCGCACAAAATTTTGAATTTATCGGCTACTTGTAAGCGACTCTGATTGGTTGAATTTTATACACTTTTCAGGATACAAGGACAAGATTAGGTTAGTCAAGATATTAAGAAAAAGAGAGGATCAAGCATTAATCTCGATATCCACTAAAGTTTTCAGCTCTGATTATATTGCAAAACAAAACAAATTTTTAAAAAAAATATTCTTTTTTTTCTAGATTTCTAGTAATAAATTTAGAGCTAGATATATGTCTAGTCAAGTACAAAAGCAGGTTAACTATAAGGTCTCTTCCCATTCTTATAATTTCCTTGAAAAATTACCTTTGACGAAGGGTCTTCGAACAAGAATTATGTTCTTCCCTCCTGCTCCTCAGATTATATTTGAGAGAGGGATATTAGAGTTATATTTATCCGTCCATTTGATAATATTTTATAACTGAGATCGCTTCCAATTATTTCTCTATCCTGTATCCGGAGCCAGGTTTGGTTAATCAAGGTTTTAAGGATAATCAATACAATACTATAACAATATACTTTACATAAAAAGCTAAGAAGGTTTGCTTAAACCAAAAGTTTCTTTTCTATTGCACTAACTATAGTTCTTTCTCTGATAGGAGATTTAAGAATAAAAACTATCTAATTCTTCATTCGTTTAGGGTAATCTTTGTCCTATATTAGCTGACATCCCTTTTCCAAGTTTACAATACATATTACATACCTTATGAATGATAAAACAAATCTAATTCAGTGCTTTTTAAAACTTATCAGATTTTTGTTGAACCTCTTGAAGATCAAGTTAATGTAAAAAATTGAAAAAAGCTTTGCATTCTGCAGTTTAAACAATTTGCAAACCCTCGCTGAACGGGAGGGGGGGGGGCTCCGGGAGTAAAAGATACCCCCATATACCAAAATATTGAAAATCCTGATGTGACTCAAAAGTCCTATTTTTTTTTTATATTTTGACCTGTACTGCACTGTCCATTTTATTTTTTATGTTTGCTCTGGGTGTAATCTTAAATCTTATCTCGGATTTCTAATATAATTTTTTATATAATCTGGTCTAGATTTTGAAAGAAGAAAACTTTAATATTTTAAAATACTGAAGACTTGCTGGGATAAAAAATTAGTTTTATTTCGCTGGATTCCTAATAAACTTTATACTTGCTTATTAATGATAAGCCCAGTTGTGCCAAATCTATTCTATTCCTCAGATTAAACTAAAAATTATCATTGAATAAGGAATTTCTAAAATAGATTAAGAAAATCTGGGTTTTTAGTCCGTTATTCGGTAAATGACAGTTAAAACATGGTTAAGCACAATTTCGTGTGAAAATGTGTGAAGCCTAGTTTCGGATTATAAAGCAAGGATTATAAAGTACAAGATTATTCAACATATACTGAGATCTTGAGATTTAGAATTGAACCCAACTTTCCCGTTTTCAGAGCAGATACTGTACTTCCCTCTACTTTTGTTTCACCGGTCTAATTTCTGTTGGATTCGGAAACGTTGCACCAAACACTGACAATGAGAAGATATTTTCTATCATCCTCATGTTGGTTGGATGTAAGTCTTCTGCACGTACTTTACTTTTATCCTTGCCAACCTCCAATACAGGATTCAGAGTAGGAGTAGGAGTAGGATTAGGATTAGAATACCCTGTGTATAGACTTATTTAGGCTTTATTTAGAATATTAGGTTTTAAAATACAGGCACTAATCCAAATGGTGTTCGAAAAATATTTTTTTTTATTAAACAAATATCAATCTTTTTTGTCAAAATTTTTTTAACTTGGGGTTTTAGTTATATTATTTACGATAAAAATTCGGAAGTAGATTTTAATTTATTAGCCTTAATTACTTAAACTATAATATAAATGTAATAACTTGGAAACCCAGCGCTGCCCAGATTACTAAAAGTTATTCATGCCGTGTAAATTGGGCAGAGCTATTCCCATCCCATCCCATTTTACCTGAAAACTAAATTTTCGCTATTCAAGTCGACCTTCTCAACTTGGAATCTCAAAACCAAGCTAAAAACCTTCCCGTGTGTCTCCCGAGTTCCCCAATCAAAATGTTAGGCAAATCAGTCTAGGGGTTTCTGAGTTATGATCGGACAAACAGAGATTACAACTTTAAACGTTTAGATAAAAGAATTACGTTTAAATCAGAAAATTTAGTTTTTGTTATATGGAACATTTTATTTTGCTCAAAAATAGGCATTGTTAAAAAGAGAAAACCCGGTAAAAATCATTTGTTTAAAGGGAGTGTTCGCGAAAAATGAAGGGAGTATTGGCTTACGGCGAAATTTTTCACTTTTGATCGCTACTAATCTTACTTCTATCTGTTGCGTCTATAATGAGAAAATTGTAAAAAACGACTTATACTGAAGAACGTTCCGTCCATACAAATTTAGAAAGTTGCAATACGACTCGGTTCAGAAAAAATCAATTTAATTTCAAACAAATCATTCGGATATTACAACCAATAGTAAGTCTATACTCCCTTTCATTTTTCGCATACTCTCCCTTTAAACGCCTACAAAAAGTTGAGAAAATCAAAAGATGAAAGATAAAATCCTGATTCTACTGTTAAAATTGCTTTCAATGTCTTAATGGATACAATTCAGCGCTGCCAAGAAACTCATTAATGACATGAAGATCAATTCCGAAATTTTAACTTCATCTTTACATGAATTTTGCCAAAATCTTGGTTATTGCAGTTTATTCTTTTCTATTTTGCTAATTTCTGTTTTTCACTAAAATTCAGCTTAATGCATCATGACATTCCATTCCAAAGATTTAACTTCAAAGATTTTAGATTAAAGATTTTAGGGGAAAAAATGTCCTGAAATATTTCTTCGGAATTTTGTGCATTTCTGAAAAGAATGGGTCTAAAAATTAAACATAATGATTAGTGCCTTTACTTTGAAGATCAATATTTAGAAGTATGTAAATTAGTCTAACTCTGAATAAGTCTAGTTTTTTTCTTTTTCTTTTTACTGAATCTGCTCTTCTCTGCACTATAAACCCCCAGGAGTAAAACAATAAATATGAAACATGAAACGTATCTCTTAGACTGACATACGAACCTCACTAACCTCTCTTAACTGTGTGCTGAGTGGGTGTGATTTGATATTAAATATATTTGGTTTGGAATCAGCTGACTAAATCAACAATAGTTGATAAAAAGCTTAAACTACACAATATTCTCCCAACCGCCATTTTTATTTTTTTTCAGTCTCGCTACGTTACTAGCATGTACTTTGTTTTCACAACTCTCACCAGCGTCGGGTTCGGCAATGTGGCACCAAACTCTGCAAACGAAAAGATTTTATCAGTCCTTTTCATGCTCATTGGGTGTAAGTATTCATATCAACTTGGCGGAGTCTTAGACAAGCTTTCTAGAATAATTTCTTCTTTTTTTCTTTAAATAAATTGTTGTAGAATTAAATCCTAAACATATTTTCATGATTTTTTCCCATGATTTTCATTTTTACAAGTAATTAAGGTGTGCTTTTATGTAACATACTGAACTAGCAGTTTTAAAATTTGTTCCCGCAATTTAAATATATTGCTCACCTTACTTACGAATATTCCTATTTACAATAAACATTGGCGCAACCAGATATAAGCAAGTACGATTTGTAATCTTGAATTTTGTACGGTACATGAGATCATACGATGGGGATAACCCCTCCCGCTCCCTTTCTAGTTGCGCCCATGACTAGTTAGACCCAAGAGCGGGAAATTCAAAGCTTTTAAATATTTAAGAGTTGGCGCTCTTTTATGTTCAGTGTTTATATACCTTCGCACATCATTTTTAAGTTAAATGTTGGTAATAATTAATAATTAATCATTAACTTGGAAAATCTAAATAATAACATTGAAGTGTAAAATATTATGAAATATTAATTGGTAGAGGTAGGTGTGGGGGAGTGGTTTGAACTAGTAAAATTCAAAATTAATTAATTAAAATATTCACGACATCAAAGGTCGACACTTTTGAATTGTGGATATCATGATCAAGCATTAATCTCTTATCTTTTACAGACCTACAGATTAACTTAATCCTTATTCGATATCCCGTGGTAATCGTAACCTGCGGTAATAACTGAAATGAAGAAATCAAGTATTGATCCTTAAATTAAATGTTCCCGCAGTGGATGTAAGATCAAGCGATCGGAACATTACAAAAGTTCCCAGCTCAGGGTACAAAGATAAAAGTATTTCAAATTAGACTATGAGGAAAGAGATCAGTTCCTTTGTTCCCGCTTAGCAATATCTAAATCTAATCAAGATATTGGATTTAGAATTATTCAGAAAGCAAAACTATACAATTTGGCTTTTCACAGAGTAATTATTGAATTACCGAGAATTATTTTGAAATATAATAATTGTAAGTATTTAATTAGAAAACTAGATCCCTTCTCCACCACACAACTCAGATTAATTTTAATGATTTCAAACTTGGCGCCTTTTTGATCAAGGTTTCCATTATCTTCCCTAAAGAAAAACTATAACATCTATTCATCAAAGTTTCCACGAAATTCTGAAACTAATTTCAAATTTTGTCTCCTGCATCAGTAGATTTAAAAGAGGTTAAATTTAGTTTAGCAAAATAATGCTCTAAAAGAAAAGTAGGAATAATTTAAATACTGCAGATTGCAGAGGTTGTGAAATCTGTTAAACAAGCTGATTACTCGCTTCAAACTCAAATTTTTAAATCTTTATATCTTTGAAACCCGATAGCGGAAACCGTTGATATTTCAAAAACATAAATATATCTGCTTGTGTAGACACATGGATAAGATTTTTTTTTGATTTTTTGCGCCTTATCAGGATTTTTGTTGGAACGGATAGTAGAGAGACTAAGATCATCCCTCTTTTTGTTTGAAGAAAAGTGAATATCTGAATCTTTCAGATTTAAATAGATGTTTAAGGAGAAGAAAAGTGGTGAGCTCTTTGATAAAGTTTAGACAAATAGAACCAGACATGATTTATTACCTATTTATCCAAACCCTGACCGGAGGTTAAGGGGGGGAGGAGGAACGGTGTGTCCATGCATGGAGGGAGAATTGAAGAGAGTGTGGATTGAAGAGAGGGGGCAGAGTGTTCTTTCAAGGAGGGTGGATTAAAGAGAGGGGGCGGAGTGTTCATTCAAGAAAAGTGTATTGAAGAGGGGATGGAGTGTTCATTCAAGGAGGTACAATTGAAGAGATGGGAGGGGGGGGGGGTCCAATTTTAAGGAGTGTGAACCGAAGAGAGGGGGTGGAGTCTCCATTCAAGATATGTGGATTAAAGAGAAGGGGTGGAGTATTCATTTAAGAAGGATTGATTAAAGAGGGGAGTGGAGTGTTAATTTAAGGAGGGTTGGATTGAAGAGAGAGAGTGCGGGGAAGTTCCATTCAAGGTGGATAGATTGAAGAGAGAAGGGGGCGGAAGGTTCATTCAAGAAGGATGGATTGAAAAGAGGGGTCGGAGTCTTCATTCAAGGAGGGTGGATTAAAAAGAGAAGTCGGAATCTCCATTCAAGGAGGATGAATGGAAGAGAGGGGACGGAGTGTCCATTCAAAGCGAATGGATCAAAGAGAGGGAGGGGGTCCAAGAGGGAGGAAGCCATTTTAAGGAGCGTTGATTGAATGTCGAGAAAGGAGACAGTCCCGATTCAATGGATTAAATGGAGAGGGGCTGGGGGCGTATTAGGATATGAGAGGGGGGGCGTTTTGGGATATGAGAGGGGGGCGTATTGTGATATGAGATGACTAAATAAAAGATCAAACTTTTTTCAATCACGATAATCTAAATGGATCACAGAGATAATTACAAGTGATGATATAATGATAGAAAACACCTGACAAAGCTACCATTACCATTACAGTATGATTAGTTATGATTAATGTTAAAGCACAAATAAGCTTTGTTCGAATAAAATGCAACAAAATACTCAAAAATCTTAAAAATAACAAAATTAATATTTAGGATTTTTCACAATGAATTTTAATTTTTTGTTTTCGAGTTTTTCTCAATCATTGAAAAGGGTAGGAATGTTAATAACTTTTATTCTTGTATCTTGATATTTCTTATACAATTCTTGTATCTTGATATTTCTTATACAATTCTTGTATCTTGATATTTCTTATACAATTCTTGTATTCTTGTATCTTGATATTTCTGATACAATTTTTTGAAATATTTTAAAAGAAGATTTCGCCAAGAATCACTTCCCCCCTTAGTTTGCCTGAATTTGCATAATTTCTTATTGTTGCCACATTGTCCTAACTGTTTTTTTAGTGCTTCGGGCGCACCCACGTACTGCAGTTGTTGCATGCAATAATAGATCAATGCCAAACCACACAACAGATGTCATGGCAAGCACCGCATGACATAATGACATTGCACACAAAATATGTCATGACATGACATTGCAACCAAAGTATGTAATGTCACTCTAAGAATTTTATGGCATGTACAGTGTACACCATGAAATTCCACACAAAGTATGTCATGGCATGTACTGCATGATATTGAATGTCAAGCATGCCGTAGCATCCAAAACATGTTAAAGGAATCGAGTCTTTATTATATTATGTAATTTTATATCTTTGCAACCTGATGGTGTAAACCTTTTAAATTTAAAATTTAGATGATTTGATCTAACAGAATTCAAAGTTTAAAATAATCAAGGTCCCAGAGATATATATCAAAATAAAGACTCTAACCCTCCAGAAAGATTATATCCATGGCTAATCTATCATAATCGCTATTCAAACATTTTACTTTAATCAAGATTTAGATTGGTTTTAGATCACAAGGTATTACGATTACCTGGATCCTGTAGGTTACGTTCATCTGTTGTTCTAAATCTAAATATATTTTGCTTTCTAAATAGAATTCTAAATCCAGTTGCAGTGTTCCCAGAGAATCTAAATGTCAAGGTTGAATGAGTGGATTAGATTCTTTAGATTATATTCAAATCTTCTATTGTAAAATTAAACCCCAAGTTTCCTTCAACAAAACTCAACCTCTCAATCTTGGATTTAAATTTCTCAAGGTTTTATTTAACAATTGTGAAGGTTTGGGACGATTATCCGGGTTCAATTTAAACTGATCTATGGAAAGGATTTCTTTTAATTAGTTTACTTTAAGTAAGTTCTCCGTTATAAACATTAACCTTTTATTTTTCTTCTTTTATAAAAAGTCTTGAGTTGGATTGGGTTCTATCTTAGGAATTTTATTCGTCCTGAAGGCAAAGTAGAATATATGGAAGAATATAAAGCCTATCAAGGACGGTTGAGGTTTGGTTTGGTTTCTGGTAATATCATATTTTAAAACCAAGACAAACTATCAGTTAACTTGGTAAATGTTTTAAAAAATGGCTGAAATTGACCCTAATATCATGCATGCTTAGCTTAGGTAGCTTTGTAATTAGTTGCATATAGTCTATACATATAGTTCACATATTTGTACTGATTGGATATTAGCCTTAAAATCCTCTTAAAATAATAGATATTCAGAACCCCCCCCCCCCTCCTCCTACTCCTGTGACTCCAGGAAAGTTATGATAAACTTAATAAACTAAGTTGTGAAACTTTTACATTTTTACGGTTTCTCTTCCAAACAGTACACAGTGTATTAAATAGTTAATAAATAAAAGGGAAGTAATCTTCAATCTTTAATCTTATTTATTATAATGCTTGGTGCTTTTTTTTATATTTTTTAAAGTAATTTTCAGCAATTTATTTCAATAATTGTTCTCCGTTGTTCTAATCTTCTTTTGTATTCCAGCTCTGATGTACGCCAGTATTTTTGGAAACGTTTCTGCAATCATCCAGAGATTATATTCAGGGACTGCCAGGTTAGTCTTTTAGTTAGCAAGGGGAAACAGGTTAGTCAGGGGAGACAGGTTAGCCAGGGGAGACAGGTTAGCCAGGGGAGACAGGCTGGCCTATTAACACAGGTTAGTCAGGGGACACAGGTTAGCCAGGGGAGACAGGTTAGCAAGGGGAGACAGGCTGGCCTATTAACACAGGTTAGTCAGGGGAGACAGGTTAGCCAGGCTGGCCTATTAACACAGGTTAGTCAGGGGAGACAGGTTAGCCAGGGGAGACAGGTTAGCAAGGGGAGACAGGTTATAGTCAGGGGAGATAGGTTAGTCAGGGGAGACAGATTAGTCAGGGGAGACAGGTTAGCTAGGGGAGACTTGTTAGTCAGGGGAGACAGGTTAGTCAGAGGAGACAGGTTAGTCAGGGGAGATAGGTTAGCTAGCCAGGGGAGACAGGCTGGCCTGTTGAGACAGGTTAGTCAGGGGAGACAGGTTAGCAAGGGGAGACAAGTTAGTCAGGGGAGACAGGTTAGCCAGGGGAAAAAAGTCAGTCAGGGGAGATAGGTTAGCCAGGGGAAACGGGTTAGCCAGGGGAGACAGGCTAGCCAGGGAAAACAGGTTAGTCAGGGGGACAGTTTAGTCAGGGAGACATGTTAGTCAGGGGAGATAGGTTAGTCAGGAGAGAAAGGTTAGTCAGGAACGAGAGGTTAGTCAGGGGAGACAGTTTAGTGAGAGGAGACAGGTTATTCAGGGGCGACATGTTAGTCAGAGGAGAAAGGTTAGTCAGAGGAGACAGGTTAGTCAGAGGAGACAGGCTAGTCAGGGGAGACAGGTTAGTCATGGTAGACAGGTTAGTCAGAGGAGACAGGTTATAGTCAGGGGAGACAGATTAGTCAGGGGAGACAGGTTAAAGTCAGGGTAGACAGGTTAGTCAGGGGAGACAGGTTAGTCAGGGGAGACATATAAGAACATGACATGATTATATTGTATCTAGGTACCACTCTGCTATGCAACGAGTCCGTGAGTTCAATAAATTCTATCAGATTCCAAATCCTTTAAAACAAAGATTAGAAGAGTACTTTCAACATGCCTGGTCGTATACAAACGGCATAGATATGAATATGGTTCTCAAGGTGGGTTTCTAAACATAACGTTCATTTTAACATATTTTCTTATTAATGAATACTTATAGCAGTGCGACATAAATATGAGTAATCAATCTTATTTTACTCAATATTCTGTTGCTTAGTTTTGATTTACTCAACATTTTATTATTTAATCATTCTATTACTCAATTTTCCTTTGCTTAATCTTTTAATACTTATTTTATTATTACTCAATATGTTAATATTTTAATATTCTATCACTCAATATTCTATTATCTAATATTGTATTATTTATTCTTGTTTTACTCAATATTCAATTATTTACCATCAGCTTTTTCACGTCTCATGTAGAACTTTTTACAAATAATTAATAGATACTGAAAAGTGGAAGGAAATTGTTAAAAATAATAATTTATTGGTTTATTTTTCGTCATCAGCTCTGTTAATAATGCAAAAAAACCTGCAAATATGGGTCAAATGCTCTGACATTGCAAATCTGTTTAGCAAAATTATCAAGAAAATGAAAATGATTTAAAAAAAAGATAATCAAATCTAGGAATTATTGACACCATTGACAACATATAGATAAAATATTGACAGTAGAACTTCATATATAGATAAATATCAATCACTATTGGTATTGGAATCAGACTAAATATTATTTCATTTCAACTCTTTTCCAAAAATTTAGCTTTTTTTAAATTCTAAATAATTTATTTCTTGCCAGAATTCATGGGAAAGATGAAAAGTCTACAACCTTGGGTTTGCAAAGATATAGGGATTTAAAAATGAGAATTCTTTTCGTATTTGTAACTGTAAATAATTTATTTTAGGGATTCCCTGACTGTTTACAAGCTGATATATGTGTCCATTTAAACAGAAATTTGCTCAATAACTGTCCTGCCTTTGCCGGAGCATCTTCAGGTTGTCTCAGGTATTATAGCAACCTACTCAGATATTACTCAGAATACCAGTAGTACTTTTGGTTATAGGTCGTAATCAAAGACTAGCTCATTATTTGTGGGTAACCCTTTGTTTAAAAACGGCATTATATTTTACTTATGATAATGCTATGAAGGGTATTATACTTTACTTTTTTGTTTTTGAGGCTCAGCAGGAGGGGGGGGGGGGTTGCAATGTTCTTTACCTCTTTTTTCAAATTTTTCCAAAAATATTCATTCACTGTTCCCATTGAACTCAGGAATGATTAAATTTTAAAGGAAAAATACATTTTTCAAGCAATGTGTGGAAAACTGGTTTCCAATATCTTTAAAAAAGTGAGTTTACAGAATTAGATTATCACGAAGGAAGTTCTTTACTACTTCTATAAAACCAAAACAGCAACGTTTTATGCTTTTAGCTCTTTGAGAGAGTTCATGCAAATAAAAGATTTAATCTTATAAAAGTTTGCTTTATTATCCTGACATACTACATTTTCTTGAAGAGATCATGAAAATTCAGTTGGTTCCGTTCTTACTTTTGCCCATAGAGAATAGAATATATATTAGAGTGAAATTTACTAGAAAAAAAGTGTAAAACGGCCATTTTGTTGTACTGTTTCCATACTGCAGGTGTACTTCACATATTTGTGCTATATAAACTTTTGGGCCCTGGAACATCATTTTATAGAAAATCTAAAATTAATATTAAAACAAAACCAAATTATAAAATAGGCTGGTTTCATAATTGACCAATGATCATTTCACATAGACTCTGTGACTTTCACTTTACAAACGATGATTTTCCGTTATAACTTTAAATCAAATAATGTTTTTTATACACTTAATTCATTTTATAAAGTTTATAAAACAGCTTTAAAAAATCGAAATGGATATCTAGGGAACATACTGTATAAATGTACTCTACTGCATATAAATTGTGAACATTTACATGATTTGTACACTTTGAACTCCCTTTCAGGCTGAAAGGGACTGACAAAATTCATACCGAGGGATTGTCTAAATCCCACTCTAACACATATTCTATTTTCTTTGCTTTTGCTCACTCACGAGAGAAGGGGCTGGCTCATTTTATGTACTGTCCCGCTTTGTCTGTATGTGTACTGTACAGCTTGCTCTAGTTGGTTGGATGTCGGCCCGGTTCTTGAGAGAACATATAATTTTGAGGTCTTGGGAAAAATTGCAAGCAGCACCATCTCTGTCGTACGCATGGCATTTTATCCTCTGAATTGTTGCTGATTTAACACTTTGTTTATGCGTCACTACTCAATTATTAGGTCTTTTTTATTTATCAAATTGAAAAAATCCGATTATTGTTTAATGAAATTTTACCAAATGTTGGTTTATTCACGATGACAACTAATTCTAACGAGTACATCCCAGAAAATTGAATGCAAAAGCAAACATTGGCTTGGTTTGTGCTCTGTTTAGCTCTGTGTGCATAAAGAAATATATGCAAAAAGCACATTTAAGATTCTCTCATGGTCAGATTTAAAGATAGAGCTTTCAAAAGATCAATGAATTTTCTTACAATCATGATAAACAGTTTGTTAATTTGTTTATTTTTTAAATGCTCCTGCTCTCTGTTTTAAAGTTCTTTTCTAAAAAAAATCAGTTCGAAGATTTTTTTTTTGGTTCATTTAGAACTCTGTTTGTAAGTTTTTGTTACCTTGAAATTTATTGTATTGGTCAAACAAACCCAGGTGCAGGATGCAATACGCGTTCTGTATGTTTATATAACACAAATGCGTATTTCCTACAGATGGCAGCAGGGGGAGAAAGGAAAATAGAAAGTAATTAATTTGCTATAGATGTCTCTTGTTTCAATATTGTTCTCACAGGTACAAATATGAGTTGTCTGCTACAAGTAATTTAGGCAGGAGGTTTCTACCTTCCAGCGTATCTATTTGACTGCATGTTGTTGTTTTCAGAAAATAAAACTAAAAATAGATATTGAAAAACTAATGAAAATTACAAAAATAATTGTGATTTTTTAAATTCATTTTACCTGCGTCAAATTCGGTGATTTGGAAAGTTTTAAATAGCCTAGGAAAATTTCGGGAAAAAATTTTCAAGCACGTTCCTAAATCCAATTTGAGAGCTATGCGCAATCCAACACGAAGATGACCACTCTGTAAATATACCAATGTTGTACTCTCTCTTACCCCTCCCCCATCCCCCCATCCCCCATCAGCTGACCTAATCCGTTAAATGGTTAAGAAAAAACAGATATGTCTATTCCTTCTCCTATAACCAATTCTTTGTTTCCATTATCTCCTAGTTTAAATCTAGCACGCAGATACAACCCTTCATGGTTCAGTTTCCATGATCTCCTAGTTTATATCTAGCAAGCAGATTCAACCCGTCATACATAGAGTGATATTACTCTATGCCGTCATGGTTCAGTTTCCTTAATCTCCTAGCACACAGATTCAACCCGTCATGGTTCAGTTTCCATAATCTCCTAATTTATATCTAGCAGGCAGATCCAACCGGTCATGGTTTAGTTTCCATAATCTCCTAATTTGCATCTAGCAGGCAGATCCAACCTGTCATGGTTTAGTTTCCATAATCTCCTAATTTACATCTAGCAGGCAGATCCAACCGGTCATGGTTTAGTTTCCATAATCTCCTAATTTACATCTAGCAGGCAGATCCAACCTGTCATGGTTTAGTTTCCATAATCTCCTAATTTACATCTAGCAGGCAGATCCAACCTGTCATGGTTTAGTTTCCATAATCTCCTAATTTACATCTAGCACGCAGATCCAACCTGTCATGGTTTAGTTTCCATAATCTCCTAATTTACATCTAGCACGGAGTTCCAACCACTATTCTAGGACTAGCGTGATATATTATATGTTTTTCTCACAGAAAAATTATTACTTGCTCAAGAGGCGTGGAAACTTTTCTCTCCATTTTCCCAGGAGAGTTCATGCTACCCTTAGGAAGCATTTAAACAATTACCTTCCCCCCCCGGCCTAGGTCTCCATCACATCCAAATGTTCTGAAAGCAAAACTTTTGTGTTGGATCCTGCTAGTCCAAGATTCCTAGAGATTGAGCCGGAAATTGATAATAGCTAACCCTGAGCTGCAGCATTTTGTTTTAGAGCTAAAATCCTATCATTGGTGGATTTAAGACTTAAGGATTTCCGAGTTAAGACTTTGAGCCCGAATTTACTTATTTCTATCTCTTTTTGATTTCCTTAGAATATATACTTATTTCATCTGTCTGTTTATTTGTATCCAATAAACGTCAAAACGACAAAACCGATTGGGCCCAAATTTTTTGACCTCCGGAAAGTTTCATAGATGCTCAGAATTTCAAAAATTTGTCCCCAAAAATGTTTGATTTTTGTAAAATAATGAAAGGTCACGAAAAATATCATTAAATCTGCGAACTTTTTTGTTTTTGTTTTATATTGTACAAAGAGAGGATGCTCACAGATAGAGCCACAATAAAAAGTTGAAATGGAAGATGGTCGCGAAGCGCCCTAGAAGCCTAGTTTCTTTAGAATAAAATAAAATATCAGTTATAATGTTAGTAGGTTTCGCACTTACAAACTTAACATAACTAGATATTTTTACACAAACTGACCAAAACAAATCCACTGTACACGGTGTGCTGAATGTACACAATAACATACCAATGCATGGTCACAATATCATTCTAATACAAGGTATTTAGAGAAAGGAATTTAGTTTTTTCCAAAAACTCTGATTTTCTAAATTCAATATCGTTGCAACCCAATGTCGTAGACCTTTAATATTTCAAACGTTGAATTCTGTTAGATCAAATAATGCAAGTTTGAAATATCAAAGGTTTACATCATAAGGTTGCAAAGATATAGGTTTTACAAAAACTGAATGTGTGGCAAAGACTCAAATCCTTTACTAAGCCAAATAATGCAATAAGGGAATCCATGGATATTTATAATGTAAGATTAAGCCAGATATACAACACAAGTATTCCTAGTTCTGGGTAATTTACTTAAACCACCGGCCCACGTCAAACTAAAGTAAAGTACTCGGAAGAATGCAATCGTATTTGTTTTTTATCACAGCTCCTCTTACTAAAGAGCCATTGATATAAGAGTCAATTTGTTTTGTACTTCTAATATGCAACCGGATAAATTTGTTTTTCACTAAGCCGCACAAGAATTGACTTTTTGCCACAAACCCCAATTGTCTAATCCCTAAATCTTTGCATCCTAATGTTGTAACTTTTGATATTTTAAACTTAGGCTATTTAATCTAACAGAATATATAGTTTAAAATATTAAAAGTCTACGACATCATGTTGCAGAGATGTGGGGATTAGAAAATTAGAGTTTGTGGCAAAAGCTCGATTCTTTTCACCTTCTTCTGTTTAGTTCAGTATGGGCCAAAGCCATTCAATAAGTTAAAAAATGAAGACAAAATTTAAGATATTTTTACTTTTTAGTGATTTGAATAAGATTTGTGTATTACTAAAATAAGAGATTTAGAGAAAAAATCAAGTTTGAAAATAGAAGAAAATTATTTTAAATAAGAAATGACCTTTTAAATTATATTTTGTCCCTCGCTTTGAGTCATATGCCACAAACTCTGACTTTGTAATCCCTTGATCTTTTTTGCAACCTATGCCGTAGACCATGGATATTTCAAACAATATGAATTGTGTGTTATCAAATAATCTAGAAAATTTGAGTTTGTGGAAAATACTCAATTTCTTTTAGAAAGAATTTTACAAAAAAGTCTCTTATAGCAAAAGATATTTATAACTCTGTATTTCTAACTTTTTGTAGCAAAACGTAGGTTTGGTAAATGAAAAAAGATGGTGCAGCATCATTAAATACTAAAATGTTTCTGTATATCTCTAACCTCACATTATACTGTAGATATATTCTCTAAACCAGTTTAATTTACTTCTATAACATCGCCTCACAGTTCCTGAAAAGAGGAAATAGCCCAGAAAACTCTATAAAAAGGGGAGTTTATGCCTTGAAATACCTGAACCTTCAGTAAATAATAAAATAAATATTTTCAGAGCACTCTCCATGAAGTTTAAAACCACACACGCGCCACCTGGTGATACCTTAGTGCATCAGGTACACTTCAACATACCTTAGTGCATCAGGTACACTTCAACACCTTAGTGCATCAGGTAAACTTCAACCTTAGTGCATCAGGTACACTTCAACATTAACTTCAACATTAACTTCAACATTAACTTCAACATTAACTTCAACATTAACTTCAACATCAACTTCAACATTAACTTCAACATTAACTTCAACATTACCTTCAAAATTAACTTCAACATCAACTTCAAAATTAACTTCAACATTAACTTCAACATCAACTTCAAAATTAACTTCAACATTAACTTCAACATCAACTTCAAAATTAACTTCAAAATTAACTTCAACATCAACTTCATTAACTTCAACATCAACTTCAAAATTAACTTCAACATTAACTTCAAAATTAACTTCAACATCAACTTCAACATTAACTTCAACATGAACTTCAACATTAACTTCAACATCAACTTTAACATCATTTTCATCCACCCCTTTCCTATCCTCATAACTCATGCACCTTATCCTTTCCTATCCTCATTATTCATCAGCCTTATCCTTTCCTATCCTCATTCCTCATCCGCCTTATCCTTTCCTATCCTCATAACTCATGCATCTTATCCTTTCCTATACTCATTCCTCATCCACCTTATCCATTCCTATTCTCATTCCTCATCAACCTTATCCTTGCCTATCCTAATTCCTCATCCACTTTATCTATTTCTATCCTCATTCCTCATCCATCTTATATTTTCCTATTATCATAATTCATCCATCTTATTCTTTCTTATCCTCATTCCTGCATTCCTCATCCATCTTATGCGTTCCTTTCTTATTCTAATTTCTCACCCATCTTATCCTTTCCTATCATCATTCCTCATACACCTTATCCTTTCCTTTCCTGTCCTCATTCCTCATCCATCTTATGCTATTATTTCCTATCCTAATTCCTCATCTATCTTATCTTTTCCTTTCCTGTCCTCATTCCTTTTCCACCTTATCCTATCCTTTCCTTTCCTCATTCCTTAACCATATTAATCTTTCCTTTACTGTCCTCATTCCTCGTTCATCTTATCCTATCATTTCCTATCCTCATGTCCCATCCATCTTATCCTATCCTTCCCTATCCTCATTCCTCAACCATCTTATATTTTTTTATCACCTATTCTCATCCACCTTATTCTTTCCTATCCTCATTTTTCATCCACCTTATCCTTTCGTATCATCATTCCTTTTTATGTTTCATTGAATTTTCAAAAATTTATAATTCTGGCTGGCAATCAAATACAAAAGATGCACCGCAAAAAATGCGCAAAATCGGTTCAGCCGTGTTGACGCTGATTGGTTCGAAAGAAAACAACAAACAAGGCAAACATAAACATTTACTTTATTCTACTCTGTTTTAGGGAGATGTTCTGGTTTCCTTGTATTTTATATCTCGAGGTTCTATCGAGATTGTCAAGGATGATGTAGTTCTAGCTATTCTAGGTTAGTACAGAGTACAGAGTACAGGGTACAGGGTACAGAGTATAGGGTAAATCATTCAATACAAGATTGTAAAGGAATTGAATCTTTGCCCAAACTAAAATTTTCTAATCTTTATATATTTGAAGCCTCATAGTCTAAACCTTAGATATATATTTCAAACTTATACATTATACAATCAGAATTACCAATTTATCGTTTGCACGTTTATAAGGATTAGAAAATATGAGTTTAGACAAAAACTCAGATCCAAATGTTTTATGAAAACTACATTACTCTATTCTCAGGGAAAGATGATGTTTTTGGTGAAAATCCTTGTATTCATGATACAATAGGTAATCGATTGGATATTTAAATATTTATTAGTTTCGTGTCCCGGTAGATCCTCTAGTATTGTGTATTGAGCAACTTTATGTAACCAATTCAATTGTTGCAGGAAAGTCCTCTTGTAACGTTCGTGCCTTGACATACTGTGATCTTCATAAAATAATGCGAGATGATCTTTTAGAGGTGAGTTCGTTCATAACATTCTCCCCATCCTCAACCCTTGCTTTTAGAGGTGAGTTCGTTCATAACATTCTCCCCATCCTCAACCCTTGCTTTTAGAGGTGAGTTCGTTCATAACATTCTCCCCATCCTCAACCCTTGCTTTTAGAGGTGAGTTCGTTCATAACATTCTCCCCATCCTCAACCCTTGCTTTTAGAGGTGAGTTCGTTCATAACATTCTCCCCATCCATTCATTTTACAGGGTTACCCACAAAGGGTGAGACATTAATGACGACTTGAATCTTTAAAAAAAACACGGGTTGAACGTTGAAAATCTCAATTTTTTAATGTTATACTTAAAATATTTTCTAGTCACTATATTTTTGCAACACAATGTCTCAGATCTTAAAGGGACAGGCCGGATATGTAAGGTAGTTAAACTGAGTATGCAGTGTTGTGAACAAATTCTCTAGGATTCATTTGAGTAAATCCTGAGTTTAAGCGCAGTCGACGTTAAAAATCGTACTTTTGTTAGATACATTTTCAGAATTTTTTTTTTTTAATTATTAAATAACGACGACAAAAAATGTAAACAAAATTCTACAGTCAACTAATTAGTAGTTTAGGAACAGGTTGAGAAAAAAAAAATAACTATTATCATCGAAAATAAGTAATCTTATTCAATTATTAGTTTCTATAATCTCTTTTTAATCATAAAGATTTTTTGTAGATTTTCAGGAATTTTTATTAAAAAGACGACATTTGAAGAATTTAAAGAAATCTATGAACAAAGTCGTAGAAAATAAGAAATTCAATATAATGATGAAAAAGGAAATAATTAATTCTAACTTCAAATTATTGACAAATTTCTTTTGAGAAATATGTTTCTAAACATCTAATGAGTTTACTATAGAATTTTTACTATATTTTTCGTCGTCGTTATTTATTAGTTTTAAAAAACCGATTATAAAACCCACCCAAATTCATGCTTTTGAACGTCGACTTTGCCCTCAAACTCAGTAATTATACATCGTAGAAACGTTTTATATATCTGAAATGAATTTTCTATGAATTTGTTTGAAGATTTCTTCTAATTCTTCAAATGTCGTCTTTCTAATAAAAATTCCTGAAAATCTGCAGAAAATCTTTGTGATTAAAGAGAGATTATAGAAACCAATAATTGAATAAGATTACTTATTTTCGATAATTTTTATTTTCTCACAACCTGTTCCTAAACAACTAATTAGTTTACTGTAGAATTTGTTTACATTTTTTGTAGTCGTTATTTAATTATTAAAAAATTCATTGCATTTTATCCATGCATTACAGGCTAAAATGGAACCATACTATTACGAGAATTTTTTTGTTTGATTTAAACTGCTCTTTATCTGAATTGATTTGAGCTATCTGTAATCAAATTCATTAATATTTTTCTTGATTTTATTTTATTTGAACTGTTCCTAATTTTATTTTATTTAAATTGTTCGTACTTTTTCTTTTAACTGTTTTTATTTTTAACCATCTTCCCCCAGCAGCGGAGTGTTAAACTAATATTAAGAAAAGAACATCCCGCTCTACGAAGTTTCTGTGAATAAATTAAATCACTTTCATCTCAAAAAACGATAAAAGGAATTGAGTCATTGTCACAAACTCTGATTTCTGAATCCCTTTACCTCTACAACCGAATGTTGTAGACCTTAGATATTTCAAACTATGCATTCTGATGGATCAAATACTCAAAGTTTGAAATATGAAAGGTTTACGCCATCTGGTTTTAGAGATATAGGTATTAGAAATTTGGGATTTGTGGCAAATACTCAATTCCTTTTGGAAATGACTACTTTTTCGGGCAATTAAAGGTGTTTCCATGGACCAATCGATTCAGAGTGTATAACTTTGTAACGTGAAATTCCCTGAACTTCCCCGTAATGTGGTTGAAAATAATTTAAATTTGTTTCAACTAATTGTAATCTGAATTGACTTGACCTCATTTTAATTATATCAATCGTAATTGTTTTCATTTTAACTGTTCGTTATTTATTTTTTTCTAAATTGTTAAAAAAAATTTTATTTGAAGTGCTTGCGATTTGAAAAAAAAAACAATTTCATGAAACCCTTGAAAATGTTAGAGAAGAACTTGTTGACAGATTTCTTATTCAGGTTCTAGAGCTCTACCCGGAGTTCTCAGAATCATTCGCCAGTAATCTACAAGTTACTTTTTCTATGCGAGATGTAAGTATTTCTTCTTTATATTCTAACTTGTCACGTCTCATGGTTTGCCACCATTTCTAGTCAAAGCTTGAAATATTTAGCTTAGTTTAAATATTCAGAACTATATTTTAGCATTTCTTTTCCAGAAAATGTGCAATGTAAATAATAAAACTCTACGCTCATATATAATATATATATATATTTATATGTTCGCTATAGCTGTCCAAACGGCTGGACCAAATTGGCTGACATTTTTTAAGGAAACCAAGATGATGACATAGGTTAAAAATAATTTGGAAATTTTTGAAATTACATTGGCAACTCCGGGTACTTCAGCTAAAATAAGGATTTAATGCCAAAGGAGTATAATAGACTATGGATAACAATGTAAACCTGGGCAATAATCCTCAACATTTGTCTTATTCAGAAAGACATATTTTTTTCATCTAGACGATACAAGTTTTGAGAGGGTGAATATTTGACAGGAAGTTTGAAGCAATAAGCCTTCATTTCAAGATAGATTAAAGAATAAATTAAACATGAAATCAAAAGAGAAAGTCTGATGTTTTATCTTGTAGTCAGGATGCAGTCAGCAGATGTTAACCATAATATTAAAAAGTTGAAAAACAAGATTAATACTGCACAGTGGACAAATTTTTAACTTTTAACTTTTTAACTGAGGTTTTTTACTTTTACGCATTTTGAGCTGAAAACTTTAGAATTGTGGATAATGTGATCAATGCTTTATTAATCTCAAGATTAATTTAATCTTTAGTTTTTATCCAGGAAAGTGTCTGAAATTCAACCAATGAGAGTGGCGTTTGCAGAATCCCGAATAGCCAATCAAACGCGGGGAAATTCTAAATTTTGCACCCCATTTAATACGGAAAAATCTTGGTTTATGATAACTCAGAAACCCCTGGACGGATTGGTCTCTTAATTGATTTAAGAACTCGGTAAAACCACAGGAATGTTCTGAGCTTGGCTTTAAAATTCCAAATTGAATTTAACGGCTTTAATAAAAAATAGATTTTCCCATGGCAAACTTGAGTTCCCGAGCTATTATTATAAAAAATACTATTTTTCTGCTAAGCTATAGGTTTTATTTTACCATAATGGACAACTTAACATTTTTCAAGCTTTGGTTTGTAAATTGATGGTCGCTGCAGCTGCACATTTACATATTTTTAAAATTTAATTTTTCGTTAGTATTCACATAATTATATTTATTGCAGAATTAAACCTTTATGTTGCGTAGTTTAAAGATTTCCAGGTCGTTAACATGTCTCGTCCTTTTATTGGTTTACTAAATGTGAGGAGGACAAATTAAGGATACGCTAACAAAAAGAAACATATATTTGGATTTGGATATTTGGATGTGTTTAATTTTAAGTTTAAAATATTTATGGGAAATATTCCAAATTCATTCAGAGGTTTGAAATCGTCAGAACTTAAATATTCTGTTTTTTTTTAGGTTTGGCACATAGAGTACAAGAGTGTCAAAATAACTTTGAATAAACTGTATTCAATATACGTCAATAGCATTCGGGAACTGAACTGAACTGGATTAAATGATTAAAAAATTGTAAAACTTGTAGAAAGTGTATATCTATAAACCAAAAAAATGGTTTTTCTCTTTGTATGTTATATCCATAGTGTAAAAAGGGCTGAACCAATTGGCCCAAATTTTTTATGGCATCTCACACATGACCCAAGGGAAAAACCTACAATTTATTTCGCCTGGAAAAAACGTCGACTTTCCGATTTTAGAAAATCTACCAATTTCAGGAGAAAATCCGCGAAAAATTTAGTTTATTGGAGAACGATGAACATTGAACTTAAAAAACAACAGTTAAAAACTAAACAAACTTGTTACAAAGAAAGGGTAACGATACGCCCTCAAAACATAGTTTACATACATTATACATATATATATATATCCTAATATATATTGTACATAAACCTCTAGTAATCCCCTAATCTGAACCTATCTCCGTACTATATATATATATATCCTAATATATATTGTACATAAACCTCTAGTAATCCCCTAATCTGAACCTATCTCCGTACTTAAAAAGTTTCATCTTGAAACTTTATATGTATCATGTATTGAGCTGGAGTTAGAAGTTGCAAGTTAGGATACAGTTTGTGTAGAACAACAATTTATTGGGAAGAGGGTGTCCCGGGGAGGGGGGGGATATCTTTTATCAAAATCAATTTCATGAAAATCTAAGGACTCCATTAAATAATGGCCAAGTGATTCACTGAAAAAAAAACAAAGAAAGTTGATGGTTTTTTTTACTTTTTTTAAAAAGATCATCTCGCTGATTTTTAGTTTAAAGAATAGAATTGGAATATTTTTATCATGAAATGTTGTGTGTTTTTTCAAAGATGTAAAGTTCAAATCAGTTAGAATTCTTATTTTAAAGATTTAAGAGCATAAAATCAAATATTTTCTGAAGGTGTTTACCCTCTGGGTTCTCAACTTTATATCATTTAAAAGTTTGTATGAAATTTTGAAATATCAATTTTTAGCTTGCTATGCATGCACAGGTTGTGTTATTTGGATTCAGCCTGGATATTTGGTAGATTGGAACTGTTCCTTCTAGCTGCATCAATTATTCAGCTGATCTTCATCTTACAAATATCATATATTCACTCATACATATTTATGACTTGGAGTTTTGTATCCAGGAAACGTCTCACCTATATTTACAAATATATTCATATATAACATCCAGTCCTCAATGTATATGATGATCTGCTAGGTATTGTATCTAACCTACTCAATGTATAGGATGAGGAACTAGGTATTGTATCTAACCTACTCCATGTATAAGGTGAGGTGCAAGGTGTTGCATCTAACCTACTCCATGTACTCCATGTATAGTATGAGGAACTAGGTGTTGTATCTAACCTACTCCATGTATAGAATGAGGTGCTAGGTGTTTTATCTAACCTACTCCATGTATAGGACGAGGAGCTAGGTATTGTATCTAACCTACTCCATGTATAGGGTGAGGTGCAAGGTGTTGCATCTAACCTACTCCATGTACTCCATGTATAGGATGAGGAACTAGGTGTTGTATCTAACCTACTCAATGTATAGGATGGGGAACTAGGTGTTTTATCTAACCTACTCCATGAATAGGATGAGGTGCAAGGTGTTGTATCTAACCTACTCCATGTATAGGACGAGGAGCTAGGTGTTGTATCTAAACTATATATCTCCATGTATTGGAGGAGGTGCTAATTGTTGAATCTAACCTACTTAATATAAAGGACGAGGAGCTAGGTGTTGTATCCAAACTATATCTCCATGTATAGGATGAGGAGCTAGGTGTTGTATCTAACTTATATCTCCATGTATAGGACGAGGTGACGGGTGTTGATCCGTCTGTGTTCCGACGGTATTTCCGTGAGGAGGAAGAGGAACAACAAGAGCACGAAGAAACCGAGTTCTCTGCTGGAGGATATAACAGGTTCAGATTATGAATATTTCTCACAATTCTGTCAAGCTATTCTCTTCTTTATCCGGTTTTCTGTCAACTTAATCTTTTCTTGGTCAGGGTTTAAATAAAATCCTCTGCTTGATATTAGGTCTGATGTACGGGATTACAAGATGCCTCGGAGAAGAACCACAAAGCGTAGAAAGAGAAGTAAACCTCCGGATGAAACCAACAGCACTGGGTAAACCTTTAGTTTAAACTTTCATAGGTTTAGGAAAACCCTTAGTTTTAGGCTTTCATAGGTTTAGGTAAACCCTTAGTTTTATGCTTTCATAGGTTTAGGTAAACCTTAAGTTTAGGACTTTCAAAGGTTTCTCAGGGTGAGCTTAAAGCTTAATAATTTTTAAGAATATCAAATTTACGTGTGGAATTTCATTGTTTTTTTGTGTTTTTTCAAAAAATATTTGCGATGGCTTTCAGAAACCAAATTAAACATATTTATATTTTGGTCCCATATTTCTAAACTTAGTCTCCTGAGCAAGTCCCAAACATAGTTTTAGCATTTTCTGTCTTTTCTTTTTTGACAGAAAGTTCACTAGTAAAGATAAAAGTTCGTGAAGAAAATCTTTCCAATCCTTTCTTCCTCTGAAATGCTAGTTATTAAAAGCGGAGAATCCAGGAATATAAAAGACAAGTCCTGTGAAAACATCTTAAAATCAGAAACTTTCGTGGAAAGATTTAAGAATCAGTTTGATCTTCATCAGAGGCCCCGCAATCCCAACCTCAAAGGTTAGAGGAGGAGAGAGGATCAAATCCGATTCATTAATAAGTAGTCAGAGTTTTGCAAGAGGGAGGGACGGAGAAATATGAAAAATGAAGGTTTAAGAAAGGAAAAAGAAAAGTATGGGGAGGGGGCTAAACAGAAAAAATAGGGGAATAAAGGAGGGAAAGGATAAGAAATCAAATAAAACCGGGAAAGGGAATAAGGGAAAGGAAAGTGAAGAGAAATCAGGATAAAGAAGGGGAAGGAGAAACAAAGAAAGGGAAAGAGTAATAAAGGAAAGGAGAAAGGAAAAAGGAAAAAAGGAAGTGAAAGGAAAGACAGACAGATAGAAAAGGAGATGAAGCAGACACAAGAATGAGTTTATGAAATAAAACGAAGGATATTGGCATGGATTGTATTCAATGATAGAATCGGCAATAAAGTAAAAAGATTCATTTTTATTAAAGAATAATTCTTCGATTGATGGTCAGATAAAATATTGAAAGAATTTTAGGTGATATATATATACATTTGAGACGAGAGAATAGTACAGTGAAACCAATAAAACTGTGGAAGAAAAAGAAAACTGTTAGACTCAAAGGGAGTGTTAGGTTTAAAAAAGAAAGCAAAAGAAGGAGAAGATAAGAAGGAAAGAGGAGGAGGAGGAATAAAGTGAATGTTAAAAAAACAGAATCCTTTTTATGCTACAAGAACCAGCCCTGGGATACAAGAAAAAACCCTGAGATACAAGAAACAACCCTGTATACAAGAACCAATCCTGGGATACAAGAACCAACCCCAGAGACAAGAATTAACCCTGGGATACAAGAATTAACTCTGGATACAATAACCAACCCTGAGATGGAATTTAAAGAATTTGAGCCGCGGTTTAAATCTGCCAAAACCCGGTTTAAATTTAGCGCCGGCTTAAATCTTGAAACATTTGATACAATTTTAAGTAGAACCAACCATATTTAAACCGCGGCTTAAATTTAAACCGCCGCTCAAATTCTTTAAATTCGGCCACTGGATACATGAACCAACCCTGGGATACAAGAATTAACCCTGGATACAAAAACCAGCCCCGCATACAAGAATTAACCCTGAGATCCAAAAACCAACACTGGATACAAGAACCAACCCTGGGATACAAGAATTAACCCTGGATACAAAAACCAGCCCAGGATACAAGAACCAACCCCAGAGACAAGAATTAACCTTGGGATACAAGAATTAACTCTGGATACAAAAACCAACCCTGGATACATGAACCAACCCTGAAATACAAGATTTAACCATTGTAGGAATAGTCCTCCCTGGTTTAGAACTGCCCTCTGTGATATTAAAAAACCAAGCAAAGAACCAGCCCTGTGATAAGAGTGAACACTATTATTAAAAATACTCTCCTTTTATCAGAACAAACTTTGGGATAAGAAGAATATCCTGAATGAGAACTAGGACCTGGATAAGGATAGATTCAACCTTGCTGAGTGTCCTTGTCTAAACCTCCTGTGTGTATTTATATTAAAACTGTGGTCGGATTATATTGAATCCAGTGAGGCGCTGAGTATAAGTTAATTACACAGTATAAATGGATATAATGGCTGAGCCGGATTAAGTAGCTCCACAGTAGCTCAGATTTACTCAAAACAATAATACAATACTCACTAAATTGCTTATTCATCAATGATTACATAAAACATTAATATTATTTTAACAAGTTAAAAAACATAATTATATTGACAAAAATTCAAAATCTTTTTATTTTCAGTGAGATAGTTAGTGAGTCACAATCCAACCTTCCTGCTGCTGAGAAGCTTTCTCTCCGGGCTAGCCAAACTCCTGTCTCCGGGCAAGGGGCTCAACCAAACCTTGAGAACCAATCTAGTCCAACCCTGAACTCCCAAAGTCATTCCTATGAGCAGAGTAGGGAGTCCAACCTGAACTCTTGTTCTCCTGATAAACCAGTTCTACTTTCTGAATCCTGTATCCTAGAGAGGATAGATCTCATTAGCAGGTCAATAAATATATTAAAGGGGCTGTCAATTAATTATCAATGCTCTTAAAACCTTCACAAGGATGGCATGGATTTTTTTTATTTGAAAGGATTTGAGTCTTTGCCAAAAACTCAGTTTTTCTAATCCCTTTATTTTTGCAATCCAATGTCGTAGACCTTAGATACTTCGAACTATGAATTCTATTAGAGCAAATAATCTAAGTTATTAATAGCAACGGTTAATCAGGTTTCAAAGATATAGGGATTCGAAAATTTGAGTTTCGTCCGATTTCTTACTTCCTGTTGAAATAGAAATCTACAAGTTGTTTACTAAAGTCTTCAATAATAATTTATATGAAGGGTTTAAGGGTATCGTAAATCATTGATGGCACTGTTTTAATCGAGAGTTGATCACTAAAGTAGACATTGTAACTCTTCTCAAAAATCTTAGATATTTCAAACTTATATTATCTAATTTAACAGAATTCATAGTTTGAAATATCAAAAGTCTACGATATTGGGTTGCAAAGATATTAGAAAGTTTATCTTGCTTTTCATGCGCGTATTTTTGTTTAGGTTTACATGTTTTAGTACAACGTGAAAAGGCGCGGTGTAAGGATGATTGACAATGTTGCTTCCTTTGAGTTTATCACTAACCTAAGTTACCAAAAAACTATTTTATTCTATCTGTGTCTGAAACGGATTTAATTTAGACAACTGGAAAATCTTGAGCTCCGGGTATCCCGGGATATCTACTCTATCCTGAACCTACTGGAGGAGAGAAGAGACAGTGGAAACCAACCTACTTTAAACCAACCTTATCCTACCCGCAGTGTATCCCAACCCTCAGAAATTGCACAGGTTAATAATATATTTTACTAAGCTGAATTCGAATGATTTGAATATTTCTTATTAACTTAAACTATTTTTTCATTGTATTAAAAGAAAATTTTTTTTTCTGTTTTTATTTGTGAATATTCCAACAACCTATTTTAGCGTTTAAATGTTGCTTTTCAAGTAATTGTAAAACTCAGTTTGGCAAATTTTCTGTTAACATTCATGTATTTTTTTATTTAAAAACCCGACACTTCTTTTCTGGACAAAATTGTTCAATTTCGACCAAACATAATTTTTACGTTTTTTTGGTACTAAAAACAAATATATTATATATATGTTTCCACATCGATAGTTTAGTTATACATACACCCAAAGAAGTATGGATGGATGGATAGCTATAAGTGTTGTTGTCTAATACTTTTCTAATGTTCCTTTAATCAATATTCTGTAAGATATTGGATAGCTGATTTGTATGCTATATGAAGTCTGTGACGTGTTTTATACAAGTTATTCAGCTTTTTACTATTCCTATACATGCAATACAGAGATGAATATCAGAGAATTAGTGTTTATAAAAGATCATGGACGGAGGAGAAAATGAGATATAATAAACCCTAACCTTTAATTTGCCCTTGTAGTATTCTGAGGAGGGTTGGAGACCAAGTATACGAGAGAACTCTCATGAATCTGAGGGAGGAACAGAATCCTGGGAATTTAAATCTACTCTGGAAGCTCCTATAGCAATACTTGAGTCCTTGGATGAACTTGAATCCAGCCAGGTGACAAATATGTTCTACTAGAGTTTATGCATATACAGGGAGTACAGTGGTAACCAGAAAATTATGGAATGATTGCCTTCCTTTAAATCAGGAAATTTCACAAATTTTTTAATTTTTAATTTTTATAACTTACATAGCACAAAATCCTTGATCACTGCAAACTAGAGAAGAAGGAAAAGGTCAAATTTATGCGTCAGTACTGGTACAACTTTTTAACCTCGCAGCGCCTCTAGTTTTAATTTTACGCCACAGAATGAGAAAAGAAAACTTATCCGGTTATACATCAGAAATTATAAACATTTTCGGTCTTTAACTAGCTCTCCTATAAGAGGAGTTATGATTGAAAACATATAAGATCTTAATCTTACGTCCAATTTACCGTTTAAAATGAATAAAGACGAGAAAGAGTCCACATTTTTCTGGAAATCACTGTGTTTCCAGGGTTTCACTCAAGAGGTTACGTGTCATAAAATAATTTTTGTTTAATTTAAACAATCTAATTTTATATCCTCGTTTATGATTTACAAGATTTATTAAGATTTATAAATGCTTATTCAATTCAGAACAAAAATTTTATCATTAAAAAGAATATAACAATTCTATACTCTAAAGTCTAAATGCCTAATAACCATGATGGATTTTAGATTGAATTCATCCAATCTTAATGTCTAAACTTTTAAAATCAACTAAAATATTTATTTAAATTGTTTATTTGAAACACCTTGGTAACTCATTACGGGAAAGATTTTTTTATCAATGATCTTGGATTAATAGCAAAAACTTTCTACCCCTTGAAGGAACTAAACGCTTGCCATAAACTATAATTTTTAAATCCTTAAATCTTTTTTAATCCGATTTTGTAGATCTTTGATATTAATAACATTGAAGGTTTGCAGAATTTCTTAGTTTGAAATATCAAAGGTTTAAAAGTTACAACATTATGGGACAAAGAGATCAGGTTTAAAATTACAGATTGAGACACATTTTTAGTTTCTTTGCGAAATTTCTACTACTTAGCAAGGTTTTTTAGTTTCAACTGAAAACCTAAGGAAAATGGACGACATTGCACAGAACTTTGAGTTCTACACTTTTCTTTTTTTATAATTTTAATAACACCTTATGTTTTATTTAACCCAACCATTATTATTTTTTTTCCCTTGATTTTTTCCATTTTTTTTTCTCATTTTTTTTCTAAATCATGTCCTATAATTAAGTTTCTCAAACCTTTACTTTGGAAACTTTCTTTCTTATTATTAATTATTAATTCTTCTCATTAGAATTTTTTTTATATCTTCATTGCTGTTTTTTATTTTACAACTAGCTGAAGGGCCCGGCGTTGCCCGTGGAAAAAATTTTGAAACAAAAAAAAAATTTTGGAAAAAAAATTTCTAATTTTTTTAGCCTATAACACCCCCCGGCCACCCATGAGTGTCCACAAAAAATTTCAGCCCAATCAGTCAAGCCGTTTGACTGGCTATGCGCAACATATATATAAATGTCTTGTTATATATTTTACAATTTCTATTCTGTTGAGTGTGGTTATGGACACTTTTAATCCTTTAAAGTGCATTATTTGATGCTTCTTCTAAACCTCACCTCCTAAGCAATGTCTGAGCTCTGCACTAAACACACAAAAATTGCACAATCTTCTCAGATCTTCATTTAAAGGGAGTGTTCGCGAAAATGAAAGGGGGTATAGGCTTAATGCGATAAAAAGCGCTTTTGATCGCTACTAATCTTACTTCTATCTGTTGCGTCTATAAGGGGAAAATTGTTAAGGACGTCTCATACCGAATAACATGGCGTCCATACAAATTGAGAAAATTGCAACATACGACTTAGACCGTAAAAAAATCAATCTAATTTCAAACAAATCATTCAGATATTACAACCTATAGTCATCGATTATCTTTCGCCACATTTATATATAGTTGATTTTTCATAATATGTTTTAATTGTTATGGTCTGAGAGTTACTTATAAAAACATTTATTCCTGCTTCAAGGATTTTTGGTAATGAAGACGACATTTTCAAATTTTCCAGGAATGTTCGAAAACAAGTTGTAAGCGAAAATTATTTTAAAAAAACAAAATCAAAACTAGTATGAAATATCAAATATATACAAATGTGGCGAAAGATAATCGATGACTATAGGTTGTAATATCTGAATGATTTGTTTGAAATTAAATTGATTTTTTTACGGTCTAAGTCGTATGTTGCAATTTTCTCAATTTGTATGGACGCCATGTTATTCGGTATGAGACGTCCTTAACAATTTTCTCCTTATAGACGCAACAGATAGAAGTAGGATTAGTAGCGATCAAAAGCGCTTTTTATCGCATTAAGCCTATACTTCCTTTCATTTTTCGCGAACACTCCCTTTTGAATCTTTTTAAATATGTATAATTCAAATAAGTTGAGTCTTGGCCACAAACTCTGATAATCTATTCCTTATATCTTGTAACCCAATGTCGTGGACCTTAGATAAGGGAAGGTCGATTTTTCAGTTTTTCCAAAAAAGTTAATATGGGTATTAAAAGATGCGCCTTGACCCGCTTAAACCGTCTTTTCGTCCGTTTTTCGATATTTAAAAATACGGCGTTTTGCTTATAATTTACTTAACTCTTTCACGTTTCAGAACTCAGTGTTTTAAGACGGATATTTTGATACCCATCTATTTATTTAACGACATTTTTTACTGGCTTACATTAGTGATTTCATTTACACGGAAAATCTAAAATCTGAAGGAGTTTGAAAATTATGAAAAAGGAATTCTTAAATGAAAAAAGAATGTTTTAAAGAAAACTTTAGAATTGGTGCAAAGGTGGATTTGAGCATTTTTATCAAAAAATGTCTCAATGGTTTCACTCTTATTATTATATATTGTATAGACTGCAGAATCTTAATTACTCTGGGCATCACTTGTAAACGTAATTATACATATAATAAGATTATACTCGTTATTAGATATATACTTATTTAATACATACAATACATGCATTATATAGATAACGCACATTATTTTGGGTATTAATACATTTTTCAATATTAGATTTTTTAGTTTCTGCAAAATTATTATAACGCATAATAAACCATTATATCTATAACATAGTTTACATGTTTTAAAAACTAAAATTTAACTCAGATTTTGTTTAGGAAAGCCAAGAGAAACCATTCCAAGGGAGAACTCACAAAACTTCAGAAGTTTGAAATATTATCAGTCTACTCCTCCTTACTCCTCTAAAGTGTAATCTCTCCTATACAATGTAATCTCTCCTTCTATAATGTAATCTCTCCTCAACAGTGTAATATCTCAACTACAGTGTAATCTCTCCTCTACTGTGTAATCTCTCCTCTAATCTCTCCTCTACAGTGTAATCTCTCCTCTACTGTGTAATCTCTCCTCTACAGTGTAATCTCTCCTCTACAGTGTAATCTCTCCTCTACAATGTAATCTCTCCTCTACAGTGTAATCTCTCAACTACAGTGTAATCTCTCCTCTACTGTGTAATCTCTCCTCTACTGTGTAATCTCTCCTCTACAGTGTAATCTCTCCTCTACAGTGTAATCTCTTCACTACAGGATAATCTCTCCTCTTAAGTGTAATCTTTCCTTTACAGTGTAATCTCTCCTTTGCGATTTTTTGCATTGAGTATGTCTGTAAATCCTTTCCTTTCTGATAATAATGATCTTTATATTTAGCATAGTCATCTCCCTTTTCACAAAAAAAATGTTATGGCAGTCCTTATCTTTCTGAAATTACATAACAAGCTCATATTGCAGCGAAACAATATTGCATATTTGTCATTCAGAAATGTCCTATTTGTTTAAAAACCGCTTTAAAAATAACATTTTTTTATTTCGAACATTTCACATAGTTCTTACTTTAGTAATCTCGCTATCTTTTATAACTTAGGATTATAGGTTTTGTATACATACTTATTATGAGGATATTTTTATATCATAAATCAACAATTTGAATGTGTTTTTTTATCATACATAAAATGTATCATTTACTCTCAGACAAAGTAGAATCAATGGAAATGTAAACCCCCGAGGGATTCAATGATAAACCCTTGGGCTGCGCCCTCGGGTTTATCGGGGGGTTAAAATTTCCATTGATTCTAATTTGTCTGAGAGTAAATGACATTCCTTTGTAAAAAATAACAAATTATTTTTATTATTCATTATTATTTTTAAAAGGGGCGGGATTAAATTAAAATTGTTGCGTACCAAAAAACCAGCTTTTTATAAAGTAATGTATCATTTACTCTGCGCTCTCGGGTTTATCATTGAATCCCTCGGGGGTTAGAATTTCCATTGATTCTAATTTGTCTGAGAGTAAATAACATTCCTTTGTAAAATATTTATATATTTATATATTTAGTCTGAAATCGATTACAAGGGGCGGGATTAAACAAAAATTGTTGCATACCAAAAACCAGCTTTTTAGAAAGGAATGATTTTTGTCGGCAAAAACTTTATCCAGACCTTACTTGGAAAATTTGAAAGTAGAAAAGTTTATTTTTCCATATCTTAGCAAGACAATCTTTATCAAATCAACCCAATTATGACCTAGCAATGAAGTCCTAAAGTTTAGAAATATCATTTTACGGCGTAATATTTGCTTCCAGGGACTGAACTTTAGAATGATATATTCAAAAAGTAATTATAGTTTACAATTCGACTATTTATCACGTTTCGATCCAAGTCTAAAATCTAAAGGGTTGTCTAAATATTTTCAAGAAACTGTAGAAATCCGCAAATAGCTTCTTAGAATATCTGCTTCGGAAAGTTGTAAAATTTAAGATCTAAAAGGGCATTTCCAACTCACATAAAGGTTTAAAATGCGCCGCGGCCGTTGCGAATTATTGATGACACATTTTAGTTTAAGCTCATTTAGGCGTTGACTTGACAATCCTTTCAAGCTATAATACCTAGCATCTCTAATTGAATGCCTTGTTGCAAGTTCCTTAAAGGGACTGTAAGCGTAATTTCAACCGACCTCCATACAAAGTGGGCAATACCCTTAAAAGCTTTGCCTGAACACCACACTATCTTCCACATTATTGATCAGACACCGTTGTGAATCGGGAATTGCCATCTTTGCAAGAAGGGTCACTTGAAATTACTTTGTAATCCTTATTAGAATAGTTTAGCTTAGTTTCTTTGGTCAGAGTATCAAGCATTCTTTATTCTCCCACTTTTGCCAAGCTTTTATTCTGTTTTGTACTTTTAATTAAGATTAACCCTGATAAGGAAACCTTACATTTATATCCTTTTAAATACAACATTGTGCATCAATCGCATTAACGCATACAAATTTTATTTTAAAAAATCAAGAAAAGTTTCGCACAGTGAAGTGAGAAACATTCTTCAAATATGATATAAAGATAGACATTTAAGGTTCGATTCAAAATCAGAAATTAGTTCAAAATTAGGACTTGTTTAACGGTTATATCTTGGTTCAAGATTATATCTTGATTCAAGATTTTATCTTGGTTCAAGATTATATCTTGGTTCAAGATTACATCTTGGTTCAAGATTATGTCTTGGTTTAAGATTATATCTTGGTTCAAGATCATTTCTTGGTTCAAGATTATGAGTGGTTTAAGTTAAAGAATATATTTGCCTTGGTTCATTAAAGATCTTGGTTCAAAACTAGATCTAGGATAAAGAAAGGGAGATTTATATCTAAAGTTAATTAAAGGGTGAAAGGAAGATCCAGTGTAAATATTTATTGTATTATGGAACTGTATAAACCAGTGCTGCCTTCATACAAAGAACAGAATCCTTTACAGTCCACGATTAATATTTTCCTTTTGTTTTCCTTAACCTCACAAATTATTATGTATTCATGAACTCTCTTTATCTTACCTAACTTACTTTCCGCCCATCGTATCATGACCTGACATCTCCTCCGCCCTACTCATCATGACCTAACATCTCCTCCGCCCTACTCATCATGACTTAACATCTCCTCCGCCCTACTCATCATGACTTAACATCTCCTACGCCCTGCTCATCAAGATCTAACATCTTCTCCGCCCTACTCATCATGACTTAACATCTCCTCCGCCCTACTCATCATGACCTAACATCTCCTCCGCCCTACTCATCATGACTTAACATCTCCTCCGCCCTACTCATCATGACTTAACATCTCCTACGCCCTGCTCATCAAGATCTAACATCTTCTCCGCCCTACTCATCATGACTTAACATCTCCTCCGCCCTACTCATCAAAACCTAACATCTCCTCCGCCCTGCTCATCATGACTTAACATCTCCTCCGTCCTACTCATCATGACCTAACATCTCCTCCGCCCTACTCATCATGACCTAACATCTCCTCCGTCCTACTCATCATGACCTAACATCTCCTCCGTCCTTCTCATCATGACCTAACATCTCCTCCGCCCTTCTCATCATGACCTAACTTTTCCTCCGCCTTTCTTATCATGTTCTACCTTCTTCTCTATACTTCTCATCATGACCTAACATCTCCTCCGTGTTCTATAACCATCTTCTCTGTACTTCTCATCATGACCTAACTTCTCCGTCGCCTTTCTCGTCATGTTTTAACTTCTCCTCCGTCCTTCTCAGCATGGTCTAATTTTTCCTCCGTCCCTCTCATCATAATCTAAATTTTCCTCCGTCCTTTTATCATAAACTAACTTCTCTCCCGTCCTTTTCATAAAAACCTAGCTTCTCCTCCATCCTTCCTATTATAAATCAACCATTTCTCCATCCCCCTCATCTTTACTCCTCCGTCCTTTTAAAAAATGTATCCCCCTTCCTTCTCATTTTTCCTAACTAAATAGCTTCCCCAACGGCATTCTTCTTTTCACTGAACTTCTCCAACCTTTCTTAAACTTCTCAAAGTTCTCATCATTAATTCTTAACATTTTCCCGCCCTAATTATCTGTAACTAGAAGTTCTCAGTTTTCATTTCTAACTTTAGTTTTTCAAAATGTTTATTCCTGCCTCTTCTAATATGTCTAAGGCAAATTATCAGATGTTTAACTATTTTAAAGACGAAGTACGGTATGTATCCAAGAGACTGAATAATTACAACTTGGTCTACCATGATTACACTGTAAAGTGTTATTTATACCAAAATTATAATGTGATTAATATAATTATAAGATTTTTATCTATATTTCTTTTTAATCATAATCTATGTTCATTCATCATTGCTCAATTTTCGACAATTTGTCAACATATTGTATCACGACCAATTTAAACTAGTTGAAATAAATATAACATGCTTCAAAGTTTTTTTCCACAAAGTTAGCAGATTTTTACAGTTTTTGTTATTTCATATTGAAAATTTACGATTAAAATTTATTTTTATAAAAAAGACCATTTTAATATTTGTTAAAACTAAATCAACTGTTCCAAGTACAAGATATAAATTGTTAAAGGGTTTTAATTTCCTTACGATTCATCTGATATTGGAAAAAAATGCCTTAAGTGATGAAATTTTTTAAAATGTTGAAGAGATAACGACCAGTTTATTCATAGACGATCTTGAAATATTTCTGGTACGTCCGAAAAATGCCAATTTAATGCAACCCAATGTTCCAGGTGATGTGGGACGCCAATGTATCTTTTTATCATAAAAACAGGGATTCTACAGTCCTCGGGTCTCTTTCACGGAGTTGGGCATCATTATTATTTCTTATTTTTCTTCTTCACATATATTCTAGGATTTTTGGCTTTTAGGAGTATTCACATACCATATCTACCAAGTCCTACTTAATTACAATTTTAAATTCTAAGTTTGCCTTTATGAAATTATGCAAAATGTTTACTTTGACTAAAGATAAAAGCCTAAACGAAACCAAATTAATCGTTCCGACTAATACAGGGTTACCCACAAAGGATGAGACTTCAGAGACGACTGTTGTTTCGCGGATCTAAAGGACGGATTAAGAAATAAAAGATGGGCTACATATCTAGATTTATTTGATATTGAGAGACAGAAAACATCATATACAAAGTATCTTGGAAACATAAAGTAACTAATCAATGTTTGGTCTAACAATTGTCCGTAATATGAAAAGAAACATAAAATATGACAGAATAATGCTCAACGTCTAAAGTTCATCAAATACTCGGTTTCTGGTTAGGTTTGGAACCCAAGCTGGAATTGAACAGTGTTGAAGAAAATGTCTCAGACTAGCTGTCAGACCTATAATCTCCTATCCACCATAACGGGTAGTGTAGAAAGGTTAAAACTAAACAGGATTATATATCACAACCAAACAAATGAATAAATACAGTGAAATATTTTTACTGAAACTCGAGGTGCATTTCATAATATTCACAAAATTTATAAAACTTTTCAGTGTACAAATTAGACGCTAATTATCATAACAAAATTGAATATTTCTCAACCAGTATGTAAATATTTGCTAGGGGTATAAAAGCATAGAATGTTAATAAATACAAAAATAGTATGTTATTCAAAGCCATTACCTACGTTTCTGAAGCAACTTCTAAACGAACATTTAATTAAGCAGTGAATTAGCAATAAACCATTCTGCAGGGTAAAAAACGATATGACCTCTAGGTAAACAATCTCCTCAGCCCCATAGACAGTCTAGACAGAGGAATCAGATAAAGTAGAGGGAGCCTCGCAAACTGACCTCCAGAGTAGGGTTTCCAGTTTTTTTTTTTGCACGAAAATCGTGCAATAATTGCGCAACGATTTTCTTACATTTTGAGTAAAAATTGCACGAAATTTCTATATGATTTCGCACAGATGCGCAAAAGCTATTTCGCACAAATTATGAACAAAAATCTTGTTATTCCTGCTATCTGATTATTTCGAGCTATTTCATTAAACTTTGAGAAACAATTCCAGGAAATGAAAGAATCCAAAATTAAACCAATCAGAGCCCTACTGTACTGCGGCCCAAGGTACTAATGCAAGGAAAGGTTATTGCGGTTGCGTATACTCTGCTTACATATTGGATCCAGTTCTCTCTGGGCGGATTTTGTAAACAGAAATAGATGCATCAGTGTTCGTTCAGTATAAGAGGATGTTAAAAGCATTTAATTTCGATAATTTTGAAAATTCACATAATAGTTTCATATGACCATAATATTTCATTTATTATTTATGTGAAAATGGATTTCATGTCAAGCTGTGACATCCGTCTTGTGTTTACTTTTCCGCCCAAAGACAGTTCACTGCAGTACAAAAAATGCGTACGCCTCTGAAATAACTTTCCTTGCATTAGTACCTTGCTACGGCCCGCTCCCACCCGCACCTCTTTAGCGGTGGCTTCACTTCTAAAGTTTTGAGTAAATCATCACTTAAGATAGGTAACAAACAAACAGACACCCAAACAAGAGAAATGTATATTTACTTTTGTGGTTAAAATTGTAAGGTGGTTCGTTTAATCAAAATTAGATATTTTGCTACAGTGAGAACCAGAAAACTATGGAACAGAAGGACAACATCACAGTATATTTGATGTCATTACAAATTAGCAAAAAACATAAATTAGTATCTTATTAATCACTTATTCAGTTACTTTAGTCTAAAATGTCGTCTTCCTATGCCAGAATTTTCTGGTTATTATGCTGCAAATGAATATTATGAAACAAAAGATTAAGCTTAAATTCAATTTTCTTAGCATTTGAGACTGAAATGTTAATGCTGTTCAGTTTATTGTATGCCACTACCAAAGTTTAAATTAAATTTTTTGTTGTTGAAAGGAATTGCGCAATAATTAATTGCATTTATTTGATGCCATAAGGTTTAAACTTTAAATTGAATATCAGAAAGAAAGTTGGACGGAATTGCACGCAATTACGTTGCGTTTATTGCGCGCAATTATTACGGAATTGCTTGCAATTAAATTCAGCAATTTTGCGCAAGTAAAATCCACTTGCGTTGGAAACACTAATTGCGAATCATTCAGAGAGTAAACATTATTTACAAAATATTCGGAAATCCAATTCTTGCTTCCAGATGGCATCATTTGGTGAACTTGGTGCTTATAAAGTGATATCTGAACATGGTTTCATGCAAACTATTAAGGTATGAATTTAAGGTATGACTGATTTTAAAATAAGTTTATCTAAAATAAAACAGCAATTCAAATTTAATATTACAACTTTTTCAGATCCAGGGTTACTTGTACCATTTGGTTGGATTAATCCAAAGAAGTGTTCAAAACGATTTCCACGTATCCTTTCAGAAAATACTGGTCATGATGGTTACCCATTATACAGGAGAAGAAAACCTGTGGATGGTGGTGGCAGTGCAACAATTGAAGTACGTGGTCAAGAAATGGTCCTTGATTGCAGTGATAATCAGAAAACTATAGAATAAGAAGACGACATTAAAGTAATATTGAAGTACATTTGATGTTGCAACAACTCTAATAACTTTACAAACAAGTTATTAAATCACTTATTAAGTGAAATGGGTCTGTTTATAGTGATTAATTGCTGTGCCTCATGTTCATTGGACTATTTTGAATCTAAAAGTCGACTTCTTATTCCAGAGTTTTCTGATTATCACTGTAGTAACTGCGTAGCTCACTAAACTCCTTCCTTTCAATGCTCACACATGGAAATGTGCAATTACGTCAAATCCATCAAGTATGTATGTAAATACATTAACAATGGTTCAGATATGGCAGTTTCAGGGGTTCAGAATAATGACAGAGGTTTAGTTAGTCAATAACAAACTGAACGTTACATAAGCAGCAATGAGGAGCATGGAGAATTTTTGAATTCCCACTTCATGAACGTCATCCTGTCATTGTTCATTTAACTGTTCACTTACCTATTGGACAAAGGGTATATTACACTCCTGAGCATTTGAAGTTGCTTTGGCGCTTAAAAATACTACTTTGACTGTATTCTTCACTCTTTGTCAATAAGATGAATTTGCGCAAACACTTTATTACTGAGAGGTTCCTCAATATTACACCTGGCAGAAATCTGGAAAATGATGGCAAAGGAGAAAACGAGGATAGATTGTACCTGAGTATCCAGGTATATTAACATTCATCCAAATAAACAAGAACGTTTTTTTCTTTGATTACTGCTTTATAATGTAAAGGGACCCCAATCTTTTGAAGATTTAAGATCAGTTGATGGAATAGTATTCAGCACATTTTTTAGGCTTGTAATGAGAGAGGTCTCCTAGAGGATGACAGTCATTGGAATACTGCATTAGAAGAAGCTGTAGTTTCAAAAGTCCCTGAACAGTTGGGTTTATTGTTGCATTAATGCTGCAGTTCTGTGCTGTATTAGATCCCAGTAAGCTGTGGAATGGCCAAATTTTTTAAATATTCTTTGATATTTAAAAGAGATTTTAAAATAATTGTTGTGTATATTTCCCCCTATTTTAAAGTTCCTTACTTTTAATTTAGATTTTTCAAGAAATAATTTAATGATAGGTGGCATCTACTTCTTGGCTGCTCCAGGAGGTACAGGAAAGACATTGGTCACAAATCTTCTGTTAGAAGTATACTGGTAAAATTGCAATAGCTGTGGCATCATCAGGCATTTCTGCAACACTGCTGACAGGAGGAAGAACTGCAGATTCAACTTTTAAACTGCCTTTAGACCTCAATACTAATGAATCACCAACTTGCAACATTTTAAAAAGTTCTGGTGGTGCTCAAGTTTTGAGAAAATGTTCACTTATTATATGGGATGAATTCACAATGTCCCACAATGGTAATGGATTATATTTTATATCATTGCATTTTATTTTTTTCCATTTATTATTAAAATATATTTCTGTTTTGCTTAAGGTGCATTTGAAGCTCTTGATAGAACTCTGCAAGACATTGAGAACACCATCTCAACTATGGGAGGAGTAACCCTGGTCTGAGCAGGAGACATTATACAAACCTTGCCAGTTATCCCTAGAGGAACAAGAGCAGATGAGATAAAGGCAAGCATTAAAACTTCATATCAGAACACATGTTCAGAATCTTCAACTGACAACAAATATTAGGGCAAGATTATCAGCAGATGAATCAATCTGGTACTTCTTCTGATTCAACTGTTAAAACTGGGGAATGGAGATATCATTTCAAACAGATTAGATGGACAAATTAATCTGGAGCCTCTATGTACAATTATGAAAACAGAGTCAGATCTTGGGAATGTAGTATTTCCTGATCTAAATCACAATTATTGCGACAAAACTTGGCTTTGTCAAAGAGCTATTCTTGCTCCAAGAAATGATGCTGTTAATCATATAAACTTCAAACTATTGTCACGACTTCTATCTCAGTCATTTAACACTATACCAGACCAAACACAGGCAGTGCATTAGCCAATTGAGTTTTAACTCTTTAGAACTTCCTGGTGTCCCATCCCATATATCCTATAGAGTTTAAGGTTAGGGCACCAATTATGCTTTTGCGTAATTTAGACCCTCCAAGATTGTATAATGGCACTAGATTAGCTGTAAAGCAACTTCTTCCACACATTATTGAAGCAACAATAAAGGTAGGAAAATTCGAAGGTAACCATCTCCGCTTTGCTATGAGTATAAACAAAGCTCAAGGACAATCACTTGCTGTGTCAGGGATAAACTTATCTACAGTCTGCTTTTCTCATGGTCAGCTAGCTATATGTGGCCTGTTCTAGAGTTGGTACTAAAATTTATCTTTATATATTGGCACCTGGAGGAGTAACTACCAACATTGTGTATCCTGAAGCACTTGGAAACTAAACTTTTGTTTTTTGTATAAAAATTTCCCTGTGTAATGTAACTCTTTAATCGCCAAAATACATTATAATTTTTGATTATTTTTTGAATTATTCTTCTTTTAATCTCAGTGGTAAAATTATTCTACTAATAATCTCAACAATAGGAAAATGTATAAAAGTGTTTTTAAACCTGGATAACCCTGGTTACTCCAGCTATAAACTCGAGGTGCATTTCATAATATTCACAAAATTTATAAAACTTTACAGTGTACAAATTAGACGCTAATTATCATAACAAAATTGAATATGTCTCAACCAGTGTGTAAATATTTGCAAGCGGCATAAAAACACAGAATGTTACTAAATGCAAAAATAGTATGTTATTCAAAGCCATTACCTTCGTTTCTGAAGCAACCTCTAAATGAACATTAAGCAGTGAATTAGCAATAAACCATTCTGCAGGGTAAAAAACGATAGGACCTCTTTTCTTACATTTTGAGTAAAAATTGCACAAAATTTGGATATAATTTCCCATAGATGTGCAAAAGCTATTTCGCACAAATTATGAAAAAAATCTTGGTTTTTGAACATTTCGTTCTTTCTAGCTATTTCATTAAATTTTGAGAAACAATTCCAGGAAATGAATGAATTCAAAATTAAACCAATCAGAACCCCACTGTACTCCGGCCCAAGGTACTGATGCAAGGAAAGTTAATTGCGGTCGCGTATACTCTGCGTACATATTGGAACCAGTTCTCTCTGGGCGGATTTTGTAAACAAAAATAGATGCATCAGTGTTCGTTCAGTATAAGAGGAGGTTAAAAGCATTTAATTTCGAGAATTTTGAAATTTCACATAATAGTTTCATATGACCAGAATATTTCATTTATTATTTATGTGAAAATTAGCAAAAAAACATAAATTAGTATCTTATTAAATCACTTATTCAGTTACTTGAGTCTAAAATGTCGTCTTCCTATGCCAGAGTTTTCTGGTTATCATGCTGCAAATGAATATTATTAAACAAAAGATTAAGCTTAAATTCAATTTTCTTAGCATTTGAGACTGAAATGTTAGTGCTGTTCAGTTTATTATATGCCACTACCAAAGTTTAAATTGAATTTTTTGTTGTTGAAAGGAATTGCGCAACAATTAATTGCATTTATTTTGTGCCATAAGATTTAAACTTGAAATTGAATATTATCAAAAAGTTGAAACACAAACGCAAGAAAGTTGGACGGAATTGCACGCAATTACGTTGCGTCTCTTGCGCGCAAGGGCTAGCAATTCTGCGCAAGTATAAAAATCCATTTGCGTTGGAAACACTAATTGCAAATCATTCAGAGAGTAAACATTAATTACAAAATATTCGGAAATACAATTCTTGCTTCCAGATGGCATCATTTGGTGCTGATAAAGTGATATGTGAGTATGGTTTCATACCAACTATTAAGGTATGAATTTATGATTAAAATAAGTTTATCTGAAATAAAATAGCAATTCAAATTTAATATTACATCTTTTTTAGATCCAGGGTTAGTTGTACCATGGTAAACATGCAACCCAAAGTGGGCAGAAATCATTGAAGCTCTTTATCCTGACATGACATCATAGCAAGAGTTTTTTTGTTAAAAGGTTCAAAGTACATTAAAAATATTATTTGTGAAAAAAACTTTTAAAATTTTAGGTTGTTATGATGGTGAAACTCATTTCTCAGCAAGAGATTTTTGGCAGCATTTTATGTGATATCTACACCATAGAGTTGCAAAAAATATGTCTACCCCATGCTCATATTTTGCTCTGGTTGAGGGAAAAAATAGGGCCAGCCCAAATTGACTCATTTATCAGTGCTGAATTTCCTGATAAAACTCTGATCCCAACTATAGTTTTGTTTTGTATTTTGTATAAAAGTTTCCCTGTGTAATGTAACTCTTTAATCGCATAAATACATTATAATTTTGGATTATTTTTTTAATTATTCTTCTTTTAATCTCAGTAGTAAAATTATTCTACTTATAATCTCAACAATAGGAAAATGTATAAAAGTGTTTTTAAACCTGGATAACCCTGGTTACTCCAGCTAGTATCAATATAAATCAATACTATAGATGAACATCTAGTGATGGCGCCTTTTTCACCTTTTTTTCAAAACATATTATTTTTATTTAAGAAAGTAACCAACATTTATACAATGTCAAACTATAGAAAATAAAAATATTGAAATTATTGTTCATGAAAAAAATACTGCAGTTATGAAAGTTGTTTATTACTGAAACTAATTCACGGCATACTGTCCAAATGTTTGAGTCTTTTATATATTTGAGCAATGCTATATATTATAACTAGACAAATTCATATATATATTTGTTGCCTATAGCCGGCCAAACGACAGCTATAGCCGGCCAAACGACAGGACCGAATGGGCTGAATTTTTTTGTGGATACTCATGGGTAGCCGGATAGTGTCAGACTATATAAAATCTTTTTTTTTAAAATTTTTTTTTTTTCCCACGGGCATACCCGGGCCCTTAAGCTGGTATGTCATAAAACTACTAGCAATTTTATGCAATTTTGACCCTCCCCTAGGGCTCCTAGGATCGAGGGGGGGGAGGGGGGGGGGAAACTTATGAACTGTAAATTCAAAATATTTGGCTTCTAGACTATCAGGCACATTTTTTTTAATGGTTTATGGTTATTGAAAATTTGTATCCATTCTTTTATATTTTAATTTTCCTTTTAGTTATTCCTCATATTTTTACATAATGTATAATGTTTAATTTACAGTGCTACCTCTTTTTTATTGTTAAGATTAGAATTTAATATTACACAAAATCTATCTAATTTTTAAATGTATGATTACGTCTTAGGGGTGGAAAATCTGTCGGAAGCGTTTGGCTCTGATAAACACATCAAACTTGATAAGGAAACATATTACAACTTTTTAATCTAGAATCCTATATTTAAAACCAGGGTTAGGGGTTTATTATATACTCAAAAGGTACTTGTCGGAGTTGATTATAATGTGTCGGGGAAAATTAAGATTTTGTTATCAAAAGTCAAGTCTTATAACCCTCTTTTTTACTCTTCGCCTAAAGGAAGAAGAGAAAGTATAATGAATTTAACTCCAATTGCGATTTGTATACTAATTTTTTATTGATTATGGTAACTTAAATTTTCTTTTTTGAGTTGGCCAATCTTTATAATCAATGAAACCTCCGAGTTTCCAGTTCATAATATGGTTGGATTAGAGTAAGGAAGATAGAAATGAGCCGGGCGATGATGAAGGAAAAGTGTTAGAGAAGAAAGGAGTTCAGGAACAGGAGTTTAGAGACTCAACAGCGTTCTTAAAGGGAACACAATCTCTCAACCCGCACAACGACTACAGTCAGAACTTCGTAGATACAGGACAGCGACCACAAAACTTTATCCGGGATACAGGACTTACAGGACGGTTCGAAGAGTATCCTAAACTCCAGGAGTTAATACGTCTTAAAGACGAATTGATCGAAAGGACGGCTCATCCCCCCATGTACCTAAAATGTGACCTAGAAACCTATGACCTGAAACAATTAAATGCAAAGTTTGACGTGATACTGATCGAGCCCCCGCTAGAGGAGTATAGCAGAACCTACGGGGTAACCAATACCAAGTTCTGGGATTGGGACAAGATCATGGCCCTGGATATTGTTGAGGTTTCAGCTCCACGTAGTTTTGTATTCCTATGGTGTGGTTCTAGTGATGGTTTGGATCTAGGGAGACTCTGTTTACAAAACTGGGGCTTTAGAAGATGCGAGGATATCTGTTGGATTAGAACTAATGCCAAAAATAAAGGTTAAGTATTATTTTTCATTAAGAAGGATTATTTAGTCCGAACAAAGGTTTTATATGATTTAAGTTCTATTTTATTGAAAGAAATTTACAATTTATGTTTCATCATTTAACCCATGCAGAATAACATCTTTTTATTCTTAAAAACTTATGATTTTAATCCTGAACTAAGAATGAGCTTCACAATTAAATATGTCAAGCCTGTAAATTCACCTATTTTAACATAACTGCAAAAAAATAAGAAAAATTGAACCAGATCCTTTAAAAGCCTTTTAAACTACATTTTCAATACAACATTATTATTTAATATTGCATGAATAATAATTGGTATACAAATGTCAAAAACCAAATTATCAAAATGAAATATATTTTAAAGGTCAGCATTCCTTGGTGGAACCTAGAGCATCCTTAACTAGAACTAAAGAGCATTGTCTCATGGGAATTAAGGTAAATTGAATCTGTCCTAACAAGGCTTTGTAAAGGTTGTTTTCATTTAAACTAAACCACAAAACGTATTTTAGCTTGTAGAGCTGGAATAATATGTGAGAATTTACTTTGTACAATGTAGGATTTTATATTTATGTTTCATTGAATAGCAAACACCTGGATTAATACTGTTTTATAACATTAAGGGCACGGTTAGGAGATCTACGGATGGAGATTTTATCCACGCCAATGTTGACATAGATCTCATCATAGACGAGGAACCTGAGCAGGGTTGTATGGATAAACCAATCGAGATGTTCCACATTGCGGAACATTTCTGTCTCGGAAAACGTCGGCTTCATGTTTTTGGTCGCGACTCATCAATTCGTCCAGGGATGTCATTTCAAAATAAAAATCTTAAATCTTGAAGAAAGTATTCGCAAAAAATATTTCATATAATTTAATATTTTTATTATACTACAAAACATGAGATATTACAAATAAGCAATCACAAATTACAATGCAGTTTGGACCCGCCTAACCAAGCTAGGTTGTTTGAGTGGTCGGCCCTAAGTTAGTTAACGATAGTGAATACAATTAGATACGTACATCAAATTATGTTTTGGGATAGATAAGGAGTTTATTGGGAGGTAGGAGATAGTCAGGTGATCTGCGGCTGGGTGAGATCAGAGGCATTAACATAGAGTTAAATTAAATTACAGGGTAGTGGACACAAACATAAATAAGCTAAAGAAGTTTAGCTTTCTTGATAAAATCTACTCTAATAATCAACTAGTTTTTTTCGCATTTAAACCTCATAATTATCAAGATAAATCGTTTAAATATTTTTGCAGATATGATTTCTTTACGGTCAATTTCAAATGCATTCCACAATTTAGGAATAGAATTCGATACCGATCGCTACTGCATAATGATTTTAATTCTATCTGTTGCGTCTAGAAGGAGAAAAAAATTTAATTGATAGTTCTCTTACGACTTAATATTCACGGCTGGCGGGGGATTTTGGAACGTTCCTGGAAACATCAAAATGTCGTATTCATTCTCAAAAATCCTCGAAACAGGAATGAATGTTTTCAAAAGTAACTCTCGTATCATCAAAAATAAAAAAGATATTATGAAATATTAATTGTATTTATACAAATACATCAAATTGAATTCTAATTGCAGGTTGTAATATCTATATGAGTGGTTTTAAAGCTGTTTGAATTATTTACAATCTTAGTGGAAAAATGCAACAACTTGAAATTGTATGGACATTACGCTCTTGGGTGTTGGACGTTTTTAAAAATTTTCTCCTTTTAGACGCAACAGAAGTAAAATTGGTCGCGATCAAGGTCGAAATAAATTTGATTTCAGTCTAAACTTTGTCCATTTTTTGCGAAAAATCTCTTTAATGACAGTAAAAAATCAATTGAACCTTTTGTGGCAGTTGGAATTTTCTTGCGTTATGAAGCTTAGTTTCAACTCTAAAGTTCAAGGTTAAACCCGACCTGGTGGGTTTTGCCAAAGTGACTTGCTGGTTTTTTTTTTTACCGTAAACTCAACTCTAATACAATTTAGTCCCAACATATCTTAAGACTTGGTCTTATTTTAGTCTCGCTTAGCCTTCTTTTCTCAAATTATGTAATTTAATTCCCAGCCTAGGGAGTAGTTAGGAGAATTTATATAAAATGTTTTTTTTTTAATATTTGAATTATTTGTAAATGATATTATCTAAAGGTTGGTTAACGATAGGACCTGATCTCTCTAACAGTAATTACGACTGGAACCAACATCAGTCCTTCTTCAGTGATGGAATAACCACTGGTTGCACAGAGCGTATTGAACAACTCCGACCCAAATCTCCGCCACCTAAGTCTGGTGGGCGTGGCGGTGGTCGGGGCGGCGGAGGAGGGAAGAAGAGAGGCGGTAGAGATGGTAGATCAAGGGGCGGAAGACTTTGATTGTATGTCCTTTTGATAATTGTTGATGTTAGTGGAAATACTTTCAGAGAATGTAAAGAATAAAAAATGGCGGGAACACTGGCTGGAGTAGAGCTGAACGCAGAGAATGTGGAGAAAGCAGTTCTTCAGTTCTATCAATCTTCAGCTACTCAGGTTTCAATTTTTTTTATTATATTTTCCGAATAGATGAGAATTTTACGTAACGTTAGGTTTGCTTCATATTTCTATAATTTCGATTATATTTAATGGAATGATAAGATCACTTCATGTGATTCAAAACAGCCTTTTGTATTTTATACCAGGAAGTTATGGAATGAAATAAAATTAAAATTAAATTAAAATGTCCCCAATTTTTGTGCAAGTATTCTAATTACAAAAATGTCTTAATTATAAATGATAAAATTAAAATTTCTTCGCTTTGTCAGTGTGCTTTAACTAGTACACTTTAACACTTCTCTCTTGTCATAGTTTATTTTAAAAGGGGGAAATGATTGTTCTATAAATATTGTTACGATATTACAGAATAAATTTGTTCAGGAAACGCATCAATGGCTGACAATTGCTCAGATATCTCCTCAGGCCTGGAACTTTGCCTGGGAGCTTATCCGTCCGGAGAAATCTCCGGAGGTTCAGTTCTTCGGAGCTTCATGTCTTGCTGTTAAAGTATCTCGGTATTGGGCGGAGCTGAAAGCTGAACAACATCCTGCTCTCAGGAAGAAACTATTGGATACTATTGTAACGTATCAGGGTCCTAAGATAGTACTGACGAGGATTTGTGTTGCAGTCTCCGGGTTGGTTATACACAGTGTCTCAGATAATTGGCAGCAACCCATTCAGGTTGGTTCAATTTAACCCAGAGCAACCCCTCTCAGCTGTATAAAAACTGATTATTTTGTTGCAAGCACTTGGAAATTTATTTTTGTTTATGTATTTATAAGATTTTACTTCCGGACTGAGCTATATTTTAGTTTCTGAATTAAAATGTTGAACAATACGGCCACAATACACATTTATTAAGACATAAAAATGCATATTCGTCAATAAATTTATTTTCTTGTCACATTGGAAATGCGGGTAGCAGTTTCAAAATTGGACGTCTGTATGCTTAACACAGTAAGACTACCCCTGGGGGGGGGGGGGGGGGTGATTGGAAAATTGGACGCCTAAAGGCAAATTTTTTCCTATACTTTTGGATACTTTTTAAATCCAAAGATTTGAATTTAATTAAATTCCCCAGTTCAATGAAAAAACCAAACACTTAGAGGGGGAAAGGGGGAATTTATTTAAAAAAAATATATACTCCCTTTTCACTCCCAACTTCAGGCTCAATATTCAACAAGAATAAAGAAAGAATGTTGTAATTAATACAATTAGTATATATCCTTATTGTTAAATATTAATATATTTGTTTGCTGATTCTAGGATCTGATCAACATGTTTCAACCTCATATAACCACGGAGAATATGCGTCCTTTAGCTCTTCTTCTTGAACTACTTACAGTTATACCAGAGGAGTTCTCAACCCTTCTTCTTCCTTCACAACGTAGAGCACAGGTAACTACTTACTGCTATATCAGTGGAGTTCTCAACCCTACTCCTTCCATCACAACGTAGAGCACAGGTAACTACTTAGTACTTACTGTTAAATCAGAGGAGTTCTCAACTTTACTCCTTCCATCACAACGTAGAGCACAGGTAACTTCTTTAAAAAAACCGGACAGGGGTGAAAATCTTCATGAAAAACTGTTCCCTCCTCCTCGAGAATATTTTTTTTCTTTAGTGCTATGATTGGTTTCGGGGTAAATAAGATTTATTGGGAAATGAAAAATATATATTTTTATATTTTATAAAATATATATTTTTCATTTCCCAATAAATCAATTTTCAGGAGGGGAGCCTGGATAAGTAAAAAACGGCGGCAAAACCACCTCTTCATCTCAAAATTTACATCCAATAGTAGAATAAAAGAAATTCTGAGAATTTTAAATCCTTTCTCTTTCCTCTATTCAAAAACTACATGTTTCTTATGTAATATGGACTAAAAATGTAATGAATTTTCTGATAATTGGTAAGAATGATCTTATGATTAAATGAAAATATTTAGAGGGTTGTTTCTAATTATTATTTTTATGAGAAAAAGGCTTGTTTAAGATTGTTCAGATCACCCTTGACGATTTGTTTGTTGACAGGTGCGGAATCACTTGACCGGTAGTTTGACCGGTATGCTTCAGTTCCTGATGCAGGTTTTAAATCAACAAACTAACTCGGAGGTTTCTATTCAGGCATTTAAATGTATTCAGGTTAGATCTTTTATTCTTCAATCATTTTTTAGAAAAAATATTTTGATAATTTCCAACAAATAATGGAAAAATGAACAGCGTTAATCAACTGGATTTTGAGAATTATAGCAGATCTAATGTAAGCAGTAAACAAAGTCATGATATTTATTAAGATTAAAAATTAGATAATTTCTAGGCATGGGTTCAGTTCGGTGTACCGCTGGATGAGTCGGGGGAAATTATTGAACGTCTTCTTGCTGCTGTTCATGACGAGGAACTCTCCGATGTAGCATTTGAAGCCCTGTCCAGCATGGTGAGAGACTTAGATTTATACATGGGACAGTTTAATATATACTTGGAACAAATATGAGACAGTGAGACACTTTGATATATGCTTAGGACAAACACGTGACACTTCTCCATGAAGCTAGGAATTCTTAGATGACATTTTTTAATTTAGCAAAGTATAGTGCAGGGAACATTTTTCGGATTGAGATCTAATTAGCACTGTTTTTGTATTACCAATATTTATGATTAGGTTACACACCCGGATACACACAAGTATCCGAACCATCTTATGGCTCTACTTAAACGTCTGATTCCTCTGGATCGTATCCTCATAGACTATATTGGAGAGGGGAGCTACGAGTGCGCACTTCCGGTTCTCACTCTCTTCATCAGCTTCGGGGAGTCACACTCCAGGCTCATGATAGATTGGGCTACTAGTTCACAGGTAAATCAATCAATCATTTTGATATCTTAACATTTCAACAGAACTTAACTTATTTCAAGGAGGTTTTACAAAAATAACTTGACTAATATTTTTATTGATTGTATTTGGTAAAAGGAATTATTAGGACAAAATCAAGAATTTCTTGTTTCATAAAAAGTTCACTGCAGATTGTGGAAGGAATATTTACAAAACTCTGTCTGAGTAGCATTTAGTTTGTTTACATTCCTCCCGGAAACTACAGTACATTTATTATGTTTACAATAACATGAAAGTTTCTGTTATATTCCTTGGATAAAATTAAGGTTCAATCAGATAAAATAAGAGATATTTCAGGATGGACGTGAATCAGTGTTAAGATTGATTTCTACCATCTTGTACGCATCCTCTTGCCCTGCTCAGTTCCCTACACAAGAAACAATTTCTGAAATGCCCTTCGGGTTCTGGTATATTCTACAGGACGATATTATAGCCTGTGAACCTGACCAGTATCAGCAATGTGTAGCGTTATTTGGACCTGTCTACACAGCGCTAGTCAATACAATGCTCATGAAATCAATGTACGATCCTAAGGACGACCAGTGGACTGCCGACCAGAGGGAGTCTTTCAGGTGTTATAGAACTGATATAGCAGATACGATCATGTATAGTTTTAATATTCTCCGGGACGGACTATTGCATTCCTTGCTCCAACATCTAGATTCTTCCATCTCCGCGTGTTTAACCTCCCCGGCAGCCTGGCCTGCGCTAGAGGCGTGTCTTCACGCCTGGTATGCTGTAGCAGAATCTCTAGCAGACTCAGACGAAGAGGAAGCTAATCCACTATTATCCATGTTCTTAGCAAAACTTCCGATCATTCCGTTTAGTAAGAATATCCGGGTATTCTCTACAGTACTGGACTGTATTGGCGGATTCTCGGATTGGTTGGCGATGCATCCTCAACTTCTCCCTCATGTTACTCCTATTGTAACTTCAGCTCTGGGGAACACGGAACTAAGCCTGGCAGCAACCATGGCTCTCAAGGATATATCAAGGGATTGCACGGACAGTATGCGACCTTATGCCGGAGAAGTGATAGATGCAATCCATCAATCAACTGTGTCTGGATGTTTAAATACTGGGGAAATAATTCGTTTGATGTATCCTTTGGGTAAGATCTACCATTATTATTATTATTATTATTATTTTACTTACTGTTTCATTTATAAACCTTGTGTAATGTGTAATGTGTATGCTCAAACATAAATTTGTCTTGAACCAATAGTATTTTATTCTAGGGAAAATGTTGGCATTGCTGCCGACTCAGCAAATTCTTCCTCGTCTAGAACCTATTCTCTCTCCTCATCTACAGCTCATCAATTCACTTTCTCTCTCTCCTGCTCCTGATCAACAAACTAGACAGAAGATTATCTTTGTCCTCAAGTTGTTGGGAAGTCTGTTCCAAACTTTGAATATAACCCGGAGATCTGATGATCAACCTGAGAGTGAAACCTCTCAGCTCAGAAACAGTCTCGGAGAACCTGTGGATCAACCTGTCTTCATCATTTTAAAACAGTTCCTACCAATGCTAGACAAGGTTTGTCAGAACAACCCTCAGGACTCGGAAATTATTGACTCCGTGTGCGCGCTATTAAAACAGTCAGTTTCTACTCTTCAGGACGAGATCCGTCCTTTAACCCAAGATGTGGTGACCCTCACTATGACCTGTTACAGAGCAACCCCGCAACCTGCCGCTTTGGATCTTGTCAAGCAATTTTTTGTAATGTACGGACGTGAGACGGAGATGGAAGGTCCCTTGAAATCCTTAATGTGTGAGATTTGTAATATTTCATTACGAACAATTCAGTCCGGAGCAACTATGTCTGATCATGCGGATCTTATAGATTGTTTTTTTGCTATGCTGGGTCAGGTGTTGAAGAAACAGGCTGGATTGTTTGTAAACAATGAACTGGATTCTCTGCTACTATTACAGTGTGCTATTCATACTTTAACAATGCCAGAGCAACATCCTGTCAAATCCGCTGCCATGTTCCTGACTCAGCTGATCACAGTTTCCAGAGAAGTAGAGAACCTTGTACCTTTAGTAAACCAACATGGAGAACAAGTTTTTATGCAGGTAAACTTAACCTTGACATTTAGATTTTAAAGTTTTGTGTTTGAATGAGAATTTGCTGAGTTAGCATTTCTCGTTTTATCTTTACCTCGATCCATCAATCCAGAGTTTAAACGGATTTTTTGCAGGTGATGAAATGCATCGGAGGAGAGTCAAACAGAACCTTCATCGACTTTTTCACGGATATTCTATTGGCTTTAAACAAGAAATACTTTGATAACATGTGTAGGTAAAGTTAAGATTTTACAAATTTAATTTTACGCGGTTCTTGGTTCACTGTTAGAGAACCAAAATTATATGAACTTAGAGGTCAAAAATTTTATATTTTAAATTTGTTTATTAAGCACTTTTTAGGATTTTCTCCCCTTGGCCGATTATTTAAAGTCGTCGTAAAGAGGCACCCCTTCCTAAACACACTAATTAGGGTTTTCTCCCCTTGGTCGTTCTTTTAAAGGCGTCGTACACTCCTTATTTAATTATAATTTTATTATATTTCGGTGAATATCCCATTTATCCTTCAGTTTAATAGTTTACATTGTGAATATCGAGTGGCTAAACGCTTTACCAAACAAAAGTTTCAGCCTTTGGAACTTTATCAAATATTATTTTTTCGAAGATGAACCATGCGCCACCTTTTCTCCCTCTGTCATTTTATTATTTTAGTCTTGTTGTCGCAACTTTTCTATGATAATTGGTTTCTCTAGATATATGAACGCTATGGTATCCACTGAGAACTTTCCTTCTCCTCTCTGCTCTAAAGAGTCCAAGGAGAACTTTGCCCGGCTTGTGCTAAAGGTAATTTTAGAATTTGACCACCGTTCAATTATGCTGTCTTATATCTTGAAATAACGTTTGATACAAGCATAATAATCTGAACTTATCTCTGAATGGATTGATGTCACACTTTTTGCGTCCACGTCCACAAAGTGCGTTCATAACATGTACTAGGACGCATATGCATGCATTGAGTAGTTTTCAATAAGTTACTTTTTTATAAGGAGAGAGCGAACAAGAGAAAGCTCCAGGAGACGGTTCGAGAATTTTCTCTCCTGAGTCGAGGATTGATGGGATCTGAGTATGCGTCCCAGATGGTGAAATTCGGACTGTAACCTTCGAATTTCAGGAGATTCTGTCTTTGCATTAAATTTTCATATTCCAGGATACCTATATTGTGCTTGTGCATGAGTATATTCACTGGTCTATCGTCTCCATTTTACCAATTCAATAGTAGCTCATAAACAAATGTATTCTTTTAACTTGTGTGGACCTTTCTATATTGCGGAAGTAAATGCCTGTTCAGAATTTTGCGAAGAAAGAAATTTTCTTAAAAATTATTTTCATTTTCTTTTTTTTGTGTCAAAAAAAGTATGTATCTTTATCTAAAGTTTTACACTTAATGCATAATTATTAATTAATCATGATTGACATGCTCTTGCCTATATTTAACTAGTTCAGTACAGTATTCTGCTAAGCTCATGTGTACTACAGTCATAGTCGAGAACAGTGAAATATTTATGTCTGCGTTCTTTCTTTAAATATAGCTAGACATTTTTATTTGATAGTTGTCATATCTTAATCTTATAAAATATTTAAGGCTAATTTTTGGAACTATCTAATCAATACTTAATAAAAAAAATAGTTTTCTATTTTTTATGTTTAAAAATGGGCAGAAGACTACAATCATATCACTGTTTTCCGTGTTACCACTGTTTAAATGTACGATCAACTGAAGACCTGTTAAAACGTAAAGTACGATATAAAACAAAGGAGAAAATTTCATCAGTTAGTAAATATATTTTTTAATTAAATTGTCACCATCATAAGTGTAAATGAACTAGTTTTTCCCTTTGTTGAAATACAAATTATTTTTTTAAACCTACTATAAAAAATTCCTTATGTATCTTGTTTCCGATGTATTTAAAAAATAGTGAACTGTACAACTGGATTAAGATCAAAAGTTTATTTATCAGCTCTTTATTGTAAAGTTATATTTTTTTGTATTGTATTATTTGAGAATAGTCGGATTAAAACAGGACTGCATATCAAATTTTTAATCATCATTTCAATCCTTGAAAATATTTTACTTTCCGGTACACACCACACTGTGACGACTTAAATGGGGGGGGGGGGAGACGTCCAATCCTGGAGAAATAAGGGACGCAAGTAGAGAGAGCAGGCACCTTCTAACCTGTTTATTAAATTAGATTTCCAATAATAGATTTTTTACAAATTTATACAACTATGCAATAAAAATCCAAAATCCCAGCTTAAAAATAACCTATTAATGACCTATTTCCTTCGATTAAACTAGGATTTAAAAGGCATCTTTGAAAAGAGGACATTCCACTCTATGAACGGAGGGCGCTTAGATTGGCAAAAGTCTATTTAACACTTTTGGCCTATTTCTTAGTCATGTTACCATAGGTTAAACTATAGGTCGTTTCTATCTTATCTACACTGGTAAAACGTAACCATAGTGTGAATATGGTTCTATCTATGGAGACCGTCTGAGAATATGGCCATTAGTGAAAAGTATCTATCCATTCAAGTCTTTGTTCAAAAAAATTGACCAAAAATAATATTGATAAAATTGAATTTTCATTAATTTCTGAAAAAAAGAAAAATTGCATAACAATTATCAACCAAACCAATTTAAGCTTAGTCTGCTCGAAAGTTACTCTGTTTTAGTGCTTCTAGTTAAACTCAAGACTTTTTCAACGGGAGAAAATGCCGCGAAAAATGTATGTTTTTTTAGACAACACAATGGCATGCATATGTCAGATTCGTTAAACAATTTCTAGCTATGATTTAGCTGCGACTTTCTCCCACTGGGAAAACGCAGCTATATCACAGCTAGAAAATGTTTAACAAATCGGATAATAGTTTCGTAGCTCTGCTTTATATTCAAAATCTCCAAAGTATATTGTTATCCTTCTCATGATTCCAGGACCATTAAGGCAATATGTTTAGTATTTATTTTATGGTTAATACAATCCTGTAACTGTAAACTATCCACTAGAACACGGTCGAGTACACACCAACATAGCGTTCTCCAAGGAGATCTGGGGGCTCACGTAGTACTTCAGCTTCACTTTCATATCCGTCACATCCTCAAGATATTTTAAACGTCCGTAATCTAAGACTCGTTTACATTGTCGGCCGATTTCTTCTCTGGTAGCCTGATCAAGTTGAAGACGGGCGTACCTGGACAAAATATTTATAATGTAAATTCGGAGAGAGTTAAGATTTTGAATTTTAAATGAAAATTTACCGGTCTTTAGAAGGTATACAAGGAAGGTTTATCTCCAGAGTAGAACTAGGTTCTTCTAGCTCCGGAGCCAGGTCTGGTGAAGGAATTGTTTCTAGAGATGGACTTCTATGATCATCTTGGAGAACAACTTGCTCTCCCTGTAGTAATCTAGGTTTCCCTGAACCACATGTACACCAGCTTGTGATAGATGTTAGCAAAGAAAAATCTTCCTCAGTAAAACCTGAATAATATAAATATATATACTTTGTCCGTTTGTTTGAGGGAACTCACATAATCCATGGGAAGATTTTTGGGTGGTCGAAGTTAAAAAATCTGACCCAAAAAACTCTTTTATCTGTTTTTTAAATGCACCGATTGAAACAGAAAAATCGGCGAAAATTTTATAACAATTAACAATAGCGACTTTTAGAGTTGAAAGCAAATTTTTTTATTAGGAAAGGGGGTGCTAAGCAAAATAAAAGTCAAGTAATATAAATATATAAACCGTTGCATGGTTTGGAATTTTAAAATGACGGATTTGGAGACAAGCGTACCTTGCTCAGTAAGAAATTCTTTTCCAACATAAGGGCTCCAATCACATCTATGATGACAGCAAAGAGCTATCAGTAAACCTCCTAACTCGGAGCAGGAGCTCTCCAGGGTCTGTGTCAAGCACCTGGATAGAAAGCTGCTAAAATTCACGCTAAATCTTGTGATGTATACATTGTACAATCATCAACTAATCAATAGTTCTCTATTTTGTTCAACAATACACAACACACATCAACTTCACTAAAAACATAGTACTTAAAATGAATGTCATATAAGATTGGATATCAATAAACAATAGTTCTACAATCTACACAGATAAAAATATTTGAATGGTACATTGGGTCAAAAATATTTGAATGGTACATTGGGTCTAAAATATCTTGAAGATATCAAATAAGTCTATTAGGATAAAACGGTATTTTATTTTGATATTAATGATATTATAAGGATATATTTAAATATGTATGGTATTGGCTTTATACTAACCTGATGGTAAGATCTGTTGCAACTCCACAGAGATGCTTACTTACTCCAACTACGTTCTCTCGTTGCATCGTTAAATACGGAGATAATCCGGCTAGGAACAAGTCCTGGATATCTGCTCGGAGTCGAATCAATTCAATATCTTCACAGTCCCGTAACCTACAATCAGGTTTACATGAATACAAGCCAAGGAAAATGTAGTCTCCTAAGATATATAGATAATACCCAATATGACATCACTCGCGCCTTTATAATCAGTGACGTCATATTGGATATTTATCTATTCATCTTAGGAGACGACATTTTCCGTACATTGGAGCGCATCGAGAGTAACTAAACTTATTTCACAACCTTGATACAAGGAATACAAGCTAACTAATAACAACAATACAAAATAAAAAATTTATTGATCCTTTTATCCTATTCGGAAGTATTTATAATACACTAGATGAATGTATTGTTTTATTATATAGATTGTTATATAGGTTGATTTGATATTTATTTACGTCGATGAATTTTAGATATATGGGGGCAAATAAATTTAAGAGAAAAAAAGATTTATAATAAGTTTCCAAAAAGTTAGAAAATTTAAGATTGAAAGATTTGAATAATTTGAACATAAGAAAATATATTTTAACCCTTTAAAGTGTAGAAATCTTTTCCTGCTATTATTGTTCCTTCATATCCCAAGCAAAATGTTCCATGTTTTTAATATTTTTGACTTACTTGTTATCGAATTTGTGTCTATGACTGGCCTTATCTACTAGAATGAACTGACAAGTGGAAGGATCAGAGACTGCTCTGGTAAGCCAGTATGTGAGCTGACCCCTCCCGCTACCGAACTCAATAAACGTGTTTCCATTTTCCAGCAGGCCAGACTTATCAAGCTGCCCCAGTAGACTAGAGTTCTGAACCAAATGTTTAAGCACGCTTGGACCTTAAGTAACACATTTTAGGGGTGTGGAAGATTATTTTAGGGATTCGGGATCCCAATGAAAACCTTGTAGTTCGAATAAATCTATGTATATGTATATTGTATAAACATAAGTTGTATCTCTGTTTGTTGTGAAAGATTATTTTAGGGATTTGGGATCCCGTTGAAAACCTTGTAGTTCGAATAAATCTATGTATATGTATATTGTATATACATAAAGTTGTATCTCAGTTTGTTGTGAAAGATTATTTTAGGGATTCGGGATCCCAATGAAAACCTTGCAGTTCGAATAAATCTATGTATATGTATATTGTATATACATAAAGTTGTATCTCTGTTTGTTGTGAAAGATTATTTTAGGGATTTGGGATCCCGTTGAAAACCTTGTAGTTCTAATAAATCTATGTATATGTATATTGTATAAACATAAAGATGTATCCCTGTTTGTATGTCTAATCATAACTCAGGAACGCCTGGACCGATTTGCCTCAAATTTTGATTGGGGAACTCGGAAGACCAACGGAAATGTTCTTAGCTTGGTTTTGAGATTCTAAGTTTAGTGGGTCTACTTTTATATGGAAAATAGGTAAAATTGTTACTTACGACCAAGCGAGGTTAAACGGCGGGAGTAACTACGCGTATTGAGTACCCTTGGCAATACTGGGTTCTCAAGCTAATATTCAACATTAAGAGATGTTAGCTATAAAAACATGATATTTGACTTTTAAGAACGTAAAATTTTACTACAGGCATGAACCATTTCAAAGGAAAAAGCCGAAAGAGGTTAGATGTTTGATTTCTTTTGCTTTTGTCGTTTTTGTTGTTTCTTATTTCGTTTTTCATACCGTATTCAGGGTTGCTAAGCTCCTCTTCCATGGCTGAGTGCCCTAATGGTTCCATAACTATGTTTCCTTCGACAAACCTTAACAAAAATTTTATATTTTTTGTAGGTAAATTAGTTTACTATTCTTAGATGAAAATTAATACAACATTTTTTTTTTAAGGATTTTATTGGTTTAATTTGAATTAATCTGGGTAATAAAATAAATAGATTACTTTTTATACGTAGACATTAGCTGTCCAATGATATTTATCAACTTTTCGTCAGAAACGTTTCCTATCGTCAATTTCTCCTGGTTTAACTTCAGATCCAAGGGTCTAAACATTAGATAAATAGATCCAAGGGTCTAAACATTAGAACAGTAGATCCAAATTCCAAGGGTCTAAACATTTTACATAGATCCAAGTTTCTAAACATCAGAAAAATAGATCTAAATTTCAAGGGTCTAAACATTAGATAAATAGATCAAAGGGTCTAAACAAAGATGCTACAAATGATCATACTGAGCTCCTGCTTTAATCCTACCTGGATTTCTAGGACTTAATATAAGAAGTATAAATATTAGATAAATAGATCCAAGGGTCTAAACAATAGATACATAGATTCAAGGGTTTAAATATTAGATAAATAGATCCAAGGGTCTTAACATTAAATAAATAGATTCTTCAAAGGTTTGAACATTAGATAAATAGATCCAAAGGTCTAAACATTAGATAAATAGATCCAAGGGTCTAAACATTACATTCATAGATTCAAGGGTCGATCACCATCAGATAAATATAATTTTTTTTTATGAAACTATTGTGTACTTTATCATTATTACTCACTTCATCGTGAATTTCATAATGAACGTGCTAAGAAGTAATCATCGTGCTATAAAGATAAATTATGCTGTACATTATTGCACGTGAGCTATAAAGTTTTGATTGGTTCCCGGATTTTCTCCAAAAAATGTAGGATATCTCCAAAATATTTTTTTCAATTAAATAAAAATAAAATTGAAATCAACTTTATTCTGACTTCTGCTTTGTTTCAAAGCTTATTAGATCTAGAAATAGCCATTGAAAAAGGAAAAGTACACAAACGTTTCATAAAATTACCTATAACACTATTATTTTGGTACGACTTAAATTTTCTCTTTATCTTGAAGGTTCTCGCCTTTTTAAATTTTATCCCTCGCTAAAGCTCGTGACAAAATTTAAGAGAAAATTTCTGTTCAAAAACTTTTTAACACTGCGAACCAAAATAACAGTGTAATAAATAGTTTTATAGAGATAATTATTTCTTTGTTCTTAAAAATTGTCTAATATTGCAAAATATAGATATTTTCCAAAACCTTGCTGTTCCACTGTTGACTCCAGGTACTATATATTCCGGTAGGGTGAGAGGAGGTTTGGAATTGCAAATTTTCAAATGTTTCTCCATCCTTGTGGCAAAACAGGTGTGTTTTGGGTCGTATGGACATGGCACTCGGAGCTCAGATATATTCATTCCTAACATTAGATGGTATTAAATTTAAACATAAATAATTTTTAAAAAAGTTGAATTAACCCCTCTTCCCTCTTTTGGAGGACTTTTTCGTATGTAGATTTTGTAAAAAATCGTTTTTACTACAAAATTTTAACTTTTGAGTGAACTTCAAAGTTTTAAATGCAATTCAAATATCAAAAATGGAATGTAAGCCAAAAGACTTAAACCCCCCCCCCCCCACTAGTTTAACTATCTGAATCAGTATGACATACCCAGTTGATGTTCTGTAGCCGGGAGAGGAGTATGTTCTCCACAGTATTGAGCTCCTGGTTTCACAACCATCCTGCAGTATCTTTTCTTTCTTTGAACATAGAACCCGCATCGTCCTGGCTCCGGTCTCTGGATTACCGGTCCTCAAGAGTATTTAAATTGTAAGTATAATAACAAAATATCAAAACTTTGCAGATCTGATGTGAAATTATCATGCAAGATATTTAATTGTGTATCCTTCTTTATGACCATAATTAGCGAAAGTTAAAAAAATTAACAGCTCTTACAATAAACATTAAACATTAAACATTAACAGCTCTTACAATATTTAAACCATAGGATATTATTATTTTTGATTAAATATGGTCAATTTCCTAGAGAGCTATTTTTGGACCTACCTCCTATCAATTTTGTACATGGATCTCATATGTAACACGTTGTTACTATTGGTCACGTGGCCGCCGCCTAACTAATTTTTCTGAAAATTAGTAGTCATGTACAAAATCGATAGTAGGGGAGGGGGGGGGGTCCAACAATTGTTCTCTAGGACAGACCATGTTAATTTACTTTGAATTAATTTATTCATCTTTTACTTAAAAATAGAACTAAACTTAACACATTAGTGACGAGACCATCAACTATTAGTGAAGTTGTTTTTTGTCAAAACAAACTTGATTGTAATCATAAAAAAAGATGCTCAATTAAATTTTTAATTTTTTTTTTGTACAGGGTGACCTGTAAAACATGAATATCTAAAAAACTTTGGTAATTCATAATTATTTAATGATCTTCAAAACTTTGCTTTTCATGTTATAGGTATTTAGATCTTTAAAAGAAGATTCCAAAAATATCTTTAAATTTTTTCTAGCAAACAAATAGACAATTTTATAGATTCAAAACTAAATTACAGAGTGTTCTTTTGGTTTTTTTCCAAATTCAAAATCTTGTTTTTTTGTGTTTTTTAAAATTGAAAATTTAATAGAAACCTCAATTTTGAAGATACGTCAAATATAAAATATGTTTTGAAAACAGAGAATCCTAAGGAAAGCGCAGGAAAAGACAGGACAACATTTAGTTTAAGAAAAAAGGCACTTGAAAAAAAAATCTCACCCGGTCAAAATTGACCTTCTCGTCACTAATGGGTTAAGAAATCCCCACAGTAAATTCTTGCGTAAAATTAGTAGGAGCTACTGGGGGGACTAGGGGGGCAGTTAAAACCCTAAATAACTGAACATCTATTTTATCTCTATACTCTTTTAAAATTAATCATGTAACTCGAGTCTAGATTTATTATAATCTTAAACCTGCTTGCTTAGGATCTCCTAGAGGAACAGAATCGTCAGGTTTGCTAGAATCAGCGATTCTTTCACTCATGTTTATTCTATTATCTCCACATTCAGTCGGCCAAGTTAAGTTTTGATGTGTGCATTTACTAGAAATTGCCGGTATTTGTTCAGTAAGACCGGAGAGAGGGAGAGAGAGAAAGGAAAATATTAGTCAGCATCTCAAACCCAGGCTCAAACCTTATTTTCTCTCTTGAACTACAAACTTATATTTAGCAAACATTGAATTATAAATGAAAAAACTCCCCGAGAAGTCCTTAAGTGACAAAAAGGTTTATATTTAGTAATAAGTTTGAACTTTTTAGTCCTGTTAAACTTGAATGGTAAAGTTAGGATTGGATGAGCTGACTATATACAGACTGGAGACAGTTTCATTTACTCTTTACAGCTGAACCAACCCGCTTAAACCGTATCCCGGCGCTTAAACTAATAATTTCAAAACAAATAAATTAAAATATACAGAAATTCCCGATATGAATTGCTAAACAGACTAAAGACACTCTTATTGATTTTAAAAAAATTATTCCAATTTTTTTTTCTAGAATTTTAAGCATTTTGATCATGTCGAGTAGATATAATGAACTTTAAATTTCAACTACAGTAGTTTTCTGTAATTATTAAATATGCTGTTTCAAATTATTTAAATATTTTTCAGACGAATTAATGAGCGTAGAGAGAAGAAAATTTGTTTACTGGGTGCACACTGCACATGTAATAGCTATGTCAAGTATAATTGTTAAATTAGTGAAGTATTCGTAGTAATTATGTCACAAACTGAACTTAGTGAGATCTCTCTAAACTGTGATAGTTCCGGAGTTAAATATGGTATCCGCGTCAAGGATGAACCCGATGACCCGGATCCGGATTCTACGATTCAGGAGCGGGACTGGAGCCGGAAACTGTTTACAGAGGGTGAAGATATCCTGGTTCATGATCAGGACGGACTCATTTATTTCGGGATAGTTGTAGAGGTGGACCCGGATATAAAACAGTGTCTAGTCAGGTAGGAATTATCCACCTTTACTTCTCAGCATTTATTTTCGACTTTTCCTGTTGATAATTTCCTAGAGAACGATTTTTTTTTGGGACCTCTACTATTAATTTCATAATGACACCCCGGGTTAATTTGTAAAGATGTACTACTTCCTTACCATGTCTAAATCAGCCATTCTAGAATCAAGTGCTAGAGTCTAGATTGTTGGAGGAATATAACCCAAGCTATCAAAAACGAATAAAATTATGTTTTATATATATTTGAGCTTTGCGTTCTTAAGGCCCTAACATGCAATTTTGAGACAATATTTCAACCTAGTCATTTGTCATTGTTTTAGATTTGGGGACTGCACAGAACGCTGGAGCAGTTTCTTTGAGTTGAGACGCTTAGGAGAACCTGAGACTGAGAATACCGAAGAAAGTGCTGGAGCTGTTAACCCTCCTAAATCTAGTTTAGAACTGCTCCACGAAGAACTAAAGACTGAAACTGAAGAGCTCCCCCAGCATGTGCTGGACGCTAGAGCTCAGCTCTCATATAGTTTTGAGAGTCTAAACTGGGATTCCACGCATCAGAGGAATGAGAGTGAAATCTACTGTTACTGCGGAGAGAGCGGGGACTGGTATAAGAAGATGCTCCAGTGCAAGGATTGTTTGCAATGGTTTCATCAAGAATGTATTAGATCTCTCAACTATCAACTGCTCTGCGGAGATAGGTATACTGTAGAAAAAGTTGTTATTTGACACAACATTTTCATCATCCCATTCTTTAAAAAAAATATTTGTTCTTGAGTTTCCCACAGGGTTTTATATTTTTAAGAAAAAGAGAGGGGGGGGAGAAAAGAGGTTCTCGATACACTAAGGAAGTAAATTAATAATTGGACATCAATATAAAACTCTTTATAAAACTGACAATTTCTTGTTTCAGGTTCTTTGAGTTTGTGTGTACTGTGTGTAATGGGAAGGAGGAAGAAAGCATTGAACGATTAGATCTCTCATTGGTTGACTCAACTCACCTTGTGATATTTAACCTCATTATTTCTAAAAACCAAAAATTTCACGACCTTGAGACCTCTATCCTCCCCTTCATGAAGAAGAAACTGAAGTATCTGCAGGGGAGCAGCTCCAACCCGTTGTTTAAAGCGAACAAGATTGAATCCGAATATATCTCAAAATTGTTATCCGCAAACAAATCCCGGTTCAAGTGCGGAAGTGAGACTGGGAAGAAGAACTCCTTCTGGGGTTTGAGAAAAATGTGTGCTCCGCCCCTACCCAGTAAATACTTCCCTAGGGGCTGGGGTAGATGGGCCACTGGACCTAAAGGGTCCGTAAAGACATATAGTAATCTTGAAATTAGTTCTAAAAAAGGGCGCAAAGCTGTTAAAAATGATTTTCCGCGAAACCCGCATGTCCGGCGGAACAAAGGGAGATTTAAGGATCTCAGTGGAGAGCATTCCGATTCCGACACTTCAAGTCGCGGAACATTAGACTTCTTGATCAAACCTCCGAAAGATTTTACAGGTGCTAACAATCCATTCCGAAGTTTTGGACCACCAAGCGAGGTATCTGACTACATGAGTAGGGGTGGTTCTACTCCAAATAGTTCTCTACGACGAGTTATATCTTCAGATAAGGGGAGTCCGCTTAGCTCAGGGGCTCCAAGCACTGTTACAACAGACGGTGAGTTTTTGCTATATTTAATCTTTCAGTTCAGTCTTATATTGTTTTTGTCTTAAATTGCCTTTTATTTTCTTAATTATTCTTATTATTAAAAGAAACGCTCATTTAATTAATTAAGTGTTGATAGCCTAACCGGAATTGCCGAGATATATTTACGTTTTTGAAAACCGATTCAAAACCAAAATTGTAGTTAGAACATTAACTCCATTCTGAAAAAATGATTGTTTTTCCTTTATGTAAACTTATTGTTTCAGATTCTCTAGTTGAAGATATGCTGCAGAATACTGAAGCTCTAGATTCAGCAGAGCAGGACGAGGAGTTGAAATCTCCAGGTATCAAACTCTCCGATCTCAAAGGTTCATTAAGTTCCTACTTTGCTCCAAGTGCTAAGAGACGAATAGAGCGAGGAGATAAGTTTAGTGTGAAAGCACGTCGTCTTACACTGAACGGAGATATAGCTTACCTCATAGACTGGGAGTCCGGTTCATCAGAAACCTACTAGTTCAGTTGGTTAATGACTGGGAGTCCGGTTCATCAGAAACCTACTAGTTCAGTTGGTTAATGACTGGGAGTCCGGTTCATCAGAAACCTACTAGTTCAGTTGGTTAATGACTGGGAGTCCGGTTCATCAGAAACCTACTAGTTCAGTTGGTTAATGACTGGGAGTCCGGTTCATCAGAAACCTACTAGTTCATTTGGTTAATGACTGGAAGTCTGGTTAATCAGAAACCTATTAGTTTAGTTGGTTAATGACTGGGAGTCCGGTTCATTAGAAACCTACTAGTTCATTTGGTTAATGACTGGGAGTCCGGTTCATCAGAAACCTATTAGTTTAGTTGGTTAATGACTGGGAGTCTGGTTAATCAGAAACCTATTAGTTTAGTTGGTTAATGACTGGGAGTCCGGTTTATCAGAAACCTACTAGTTTAGTTGGTTAATGACTGGGAGTCTGGTTCATCAGAAACCTACTAGTTAAGTTGGTTAATGACCGGGAGTCCGGTTTATCAGAAACCTACTAGTTAGTTGGTTAATGACTGGGAGTCCAGTACATCAGAAACCTACTAAATCTAAACTCTGCTATCTGATAGTCTAGTTCATCAGACATACTTATCCAGTTGTTTATCATTAAGTTAGTTTAATTGAATTACAGTGCTCAGGATCTAGATCTATGGGAGTTTCTTCATATGATGTACATAGATTTTAGGTTCTCATATTTTACTTCAAATAAGCGTTTCCCTTTGGAAAAAAAGTTTCCAATTTTTTTGAAATAACATTTCTAAAAAAATTTAAAAAAATTTTGTTTAGCCGAAAACACCCCACGGCCACCCATGAGTGTCCACAAAAAAATTCAGTCCATTCGGTCCAGCCGTTTGACCGGCTATCGGTGACATATATACGAATGTCTTGTTTTATTATATAGATAGGAAAAACTATTGTCGTGAAAAAATATCTGTAGATAAAGTGGGGGTAAAAAAATATTTTAATCTGAATTTGGCCGGAATAATTTTGTTTCTCTGACGGATAAGGATTATAAAAGGATCCAAAGCACTGACCTCACAAACTAAAACCTATAGTCATGATCCATGTCTAAATTTGTATTTAAAAAACTTCATCGTAATGTTTAAGTGACCCTCCAATCAAACTAAGAAATTGTCGATGATTGAAAAACTGTGATTTGATCAAATAAATGTTTTGAAAGAACGGAAAGGAATCGACAATCTTTGACAACCAGTCTAAACTTGAGGGTCACGCAAAGTTACGTTCAAAGTCTCATCTAGAGGACCAGACGTTATGCATTATTTATGTGCTATAAATTATCTTTAGTTATAATTAATTGTTCTAAACCATTAAAAAGCGGGCCAATTTTTATACATTTAATCATGCATTTTGTAAATAATTTACTTACACGCAACTTCCCTTAGAGTTAGTACTTACCTTTTTTGAGGCTGGTCTTTGTTTTCTATTTCATGTTCTATCTTATCTCTTAAAGGGACCGTTCACTTATTTGGGTAATTTCAGGGTAAACTAAACAGCCTATTCGCTCTTGATTAGTAATAGTCTTACTTTTCAAAGACAACTGTGGCCGGAGAAAAAGTCGATTTTTCATTCAGAATTCGAGCGCAAAGGGACGGTCCCTTTCTATAGACACTAAATGATGTTTTTTTCAGCATGTTGTGAATCAAACTAAATTTCGAATATAAAATTAAACTGTAGTATCTAATCGTTAATTGTAAATGTCATTATTTTTAATTTTTTTTGTTTTTTAACTTTCTATTTCTAAAATAACACTATTTTATCGCATTCAAAATTGTGTATTGCCTGTGTAAAAAGCTGAATTGGACGGGCATGACAAATGAAAAGTTGTGCACATACGGGAAAAATATATACAAAATCTACGAACCAAAATACGAGTAATGATAAATTGATTATCGTAGAGACGTCGTCTTTGTAAACACATTTTACATGTTTTAATACGAAAAACTCAAATATCAAAAGTTTTCAGATTTTAGTACATAATAACGAACACATAATGACATAAAATATAATAAATTAAAATGTTATTGGGCTGCTGTTACTGAAAAAAAAACATCAAATAGTGTCTATAGAGAGGGACCGTCCCTTTCCGCTCAGATTCTGAACGAAAAATCGGCTTTTTCTCCGGCCACATATGTCTTTGAAAAGTAAGACTATTACCAATCAAGAGCGAATAGGCTGTTTAGTTTACCCTGAAATTACCCAAATAAGTGAACGGTCCCTTTAAAAATAGTAATCATTAAAGGTAGTTTCAAATGTTTCAACGCATTTATTTACTTTCTTATAGCTTTTCTTGTTTTAAGCATAAATGAAAATGTAAATTGTAACTCAACACTGCCATACAAATATGTTTATCTCCAAATTTGTGTAAAATGTTTTAATTTTTTACATCGATTTATATCTAGTTTAGACAATGTAGAGGATTTTTATATATTTAACAAATTGTTTAGATAGCTTGGTAATGCGGGAACTTTAAAATTATTGAATAGAGAATTTTAAGTTTCAGAGATAATAATTATCTAGTTTTCGGAAAATTCTTATCAGATTTAACCGTTTTCTTAGAAACTAAAGATAATCTTGTTTATCGTAATCCAGAGTAAGAATTTAATGAATTTGAGCCGCGTCTCAAATCCGCCAAAAACCGTTTTCAGTTGAGCGCCGGCTTAAATCTTGAAACATTGAATACAATTTTAAGTGGAACCAACCATATTTGACCCGCGGCTCAAATTCTTTAAAGTCGGCCTCAGACTTAACAAAAAAAATTATTCAGATTAAAATCGAATATGTTAACAAAAATACATAAAATCTGGAAAGCCTTTTCAGAAAAATATAAACAGGCAGAATTGGTTATTTCTTTTTGATTAAAAAGTATCTGTAAAACCTCTTCGATCTACATTACTCAAAGTCAAATATCTGAACAATCCGTTTATATATTTTAGTATCAAGCATTTAAGATGAATAGGCGTAAAAATGCTTTATCTTAAAATATTAAGAAATTTGTATGTAAAGCATTTGTATTCATAGCCTAAAAATATCTTTATTAAATATTTCTTGGACTCATATTTTGGAAGCAGATTTTCGTTTGTAAACTTCAACGTTACAAATTGCAACTTAACCTTTAAAACATAAATGATATACATTTCATTATGTACGTACATTTTGCATAGGTAACATTTTTTATTTTTTAGTATTGGTAACATTTTTGATAAGGTGAAGATTTGAAAGAGGTTAATGTTGTATAGAATGAAATGGAACTTCTGCAAGTTATTAAAACAAAAAATGTTATTGCAAAAATGCCCCCCTCCTCCCCTATTTACCCTTTTAACATAGCTTCAACTTATACCAAATGTACCATGCAAAAAAACTTCTCCTCAGAATGTAAAAACTGAAAAATGTACATTACATAATGATAATCAAAAATGTCATCATTCTTTGAAATTTTAAAAGAAAATTGAAAATACAACCAAAGCAATTAATATATAAGAAAAGACTTTGAAGGCTTAGGTTTTGTTTTCTTATTCTATGTAAAAAAATCCAACTCTAGTTAAATATGTATTTGTGAAAGCTTTGACATAAAGCTTTTTAGTTTGGATTTAGACCAACTTAAGCAATCAATCCAATTTCAATGAAGACCTTTACTTGACTGAATATTGAAAGTTTGTGTCTTTTGAGACTTTAATTTATTTATGAAATTAACTTTGTAACTTGAACAGCTAGTAATGTAATTAATTTATATGAAATAGATACATCCAGAAGTTAATATTGTCTTTCCATTATTATTACATAGTATCACACTAGATAACACACAAGTCGCTCAGACTAAATTTTACTATCGGTATTTTAAATTTAGAATGTTATTTTTTATATCAATTTGTAAATTTAAAAAATCTAAATTCTTCAAATTGGAAATGTTACCTATCTAGAAGAATTTCTTCTCTGTCTATGAAGTTTCCTGAACATTTTCACAAGAACGTCATTTATTTTGGGGAAAAAATCCTTCTATATCTATGAAATCATCTGTCTATGAAAAATCTTTTATATCTACCATGGTATGCCCTATCTATCAATTTCCTTATTTTCAAAATGTCCTTTCTATGATATGTTCTATCTATGATTTTGTTATTTATGAATTGTCTTTTTATAATTTTATCTATTAAGGAAAAAAATCCTTCTCTATCTATGAAATTACCTCTGAAAAATCTTTCATTTCTATGATATATCTTTTCTCAATTTTTTTATATAAAATAACTCATCTATTAAATGTCCTGTCTATGATTTTGTTATGTATGAAATACCCCAACATCTGGCTTAGAAAGAACTTACTGAATTGTGGTGGTTTCAGAAAAGAAATTGGAAAAGAAAGATAAAATTAGTGCTAGGTTTATAATGGATTATATGATTATGAAGAAAGTAGAGTAAGAGTAGGATGAATTGATAGAATAGAAAAGAAGTAACTGGTGCTAAGATTATAGGACGAATTGAAAGGATAAAAGGGGTGCTAGTAGTAGAACGGATTGGAAGGATAAAAAGGGGTGCTAGTAGTAGAACGGATTGGAAGGATAAAAAGGGGTGCTAGGAGTAGAACGGATTGAACGGATAAAAACGAAGAAATGGGTGCTAGGAGTAGAACGGATTTAAAGTGTAAAAACGAAGAAATGGGGGCTTAGAGTAGAACGGATTTAAAGTATAAAAAGATGAAAAGGGGGCTTGGAGTAGTATGATGGACTAAAAGAATTCCAAAAAGAAAAAAGGTGCTAGCCGCACTAACAAAGGTACACTAAATTACAATTTAGAGCTGTAAACGATCTAATATGATGTGGGAGACCCATATTCAAAAAGCCGACTTATCGTCTAGTAGAAAACAAATGCGGGATAATGGGCTAATAGCCCGAATAGGAGCACTAGCAAACAAGAAACGAAAAAAAACGCCGGCTAAAATATTTCTAAAATGATTCAAATATTATATTCAGACCGCGGGAAAACAAAACTTGAAGAAAAAGTCTAAAAGCATTTCACATTAAATCTAGCTTTAAACTAAATAACCATTATATTTGGCATTTCACCTTGGTTTCGTTTTTAATATCTTTTATATATCTATATTTAACGGGTATAAGGAATTGAGTGTTTGCCACAAACTCTGATTTTATAATCACTATGTTGTAGACCAGATGTTTCAAAATACAAATTCTGTTAAACCAAATAATCTAAGTCTGAAATATCAAATTTTACACCATCGGGTTCTAAAGATATTGGGGATTAAATTAAATTTTGATTTTGTTCCTAAGACTCAATTCCTTTCTGCTTTTCATCGGCATCTAAAGCTTCCCATTCTTCCTCCCCTCAATCTCAAGCCCTGCGATTTTGGAGGAGGCTGCATTCGATTATGTTGTACAGGACCTTTCGAAGTACAAGATGCAGGCCCTGCCCTTCCTAAGCCTTTTTGAGAAATAAGGAAAGTAAAAACGAACGGATTAAAGATGAAAAACATCTTTTGAACAAACTCTATTAGAAATATGTAAAAATAAACAAAACATCAAAACGATATCATACTGATCGATAATATACATTAAAATACATGATATTATATTAAACAATCTACAGAGCGTCCCATATCATATTAGATTATCTCCAAGTTTTAACGCCGAAAGAAACCCAAAATACTCGAAAAGCTTAGTAATTTCCAAAAGAAAATTCTTTATTAGCCTTATCAATTTTTCAAAATAATTCATTCTTCTTAATTTTTCTTATTAGTCCCGAAATTCGCAATTTAGACCGATTGAGGATCTAATATGATGTGGGACACACACACACCCTGTATTATTTCGAGTTAAAATGGTCTTTCAAGACGACTAAATAATTATCATCTGTTGAAAGTCGGGAGTGAAACGCGGTATTCATGTTAATGTCATCAGTAAATACAATCGTTTATTTACAAGAGCTGAAATTTTGTTAAACATATTAAAACAACAAATTGATTTCACACTGTAAATATAAATGTAAAACTTTTAATTTGTGAAGATGTTAGGACGGATTGCTCTGGTTCCTCTCTCCGCCGGGTTCGGAGTTCTGCTCCTTTATCTTCTCACTCTTCAAGCTCCACAAGTAAGAAATATCAAATTATTTAAAGGGTCAGTCCGCTGGAATTCTTGTTTTGCTTTGACTCCTTCTCCTTGGACTTTCGTAGTTTAACTTTCATTATTTGTTTCTAATTTGTTTCTATACGTCTGCGGAAGATATTTTCTGGTCCATATGTTAATATGTTTCCATCTTGATTTACTATTTTTTTTGCTTCAATAAGATTTATGTAAATAGGAGTGTGTGCATCTGCAAAGATCTAAATTTTTTACCTATCTCCCGTTCAAAAATTATTTAGAAAAAAATAGTATTAATGATTTTTTGAAAAAAAAATAGTTTTAATGATTTTTTAAATTTATAAATAAAGTGTATAGAAATGACAGATGATGGTAACAGGAGAGACAAAATTGGTAATTTCCAATTGTACGATTTTTGGACCCTCCCCTCCCCCTCTCTAACAATTTTGTACATGCATTTCATATGTGACATGCAAATAATTGGTTATGTGGCCGTAGCGCCCGGCCCCCTAGTCTGTCCTAGCCGCGGCGCTCGGCCTGGAAAGTATCATAACCTTACCTAACCCTAAAATAATTCAAAATAATTAAAAATGGTTTTGCTGAAAATTAATAGGTCATGTACAAAATTGATAGTAAGGGGGGGGGGCGGGGTGTCCAAAAATCGTACAATAGGACAACGGACCCACATTATTACTCTCATTTTGTGCCTTTTGCTCATCTTATTGTTTTCTAGAACATTGCTCTGAAGTTCCCCTCCTCTCTGGAAGATTTAAAGCTGATGTCGGGAACCCTAAACCTTTTTAAGACAAATCATCCAACCTACGTTCTCCTTCTCTTCTGCTCAGCGTACATATTCAAGCAAACCTTTGCAGTCCCAGGTTCTGTATTCCTGAATATCCTGGCTGGAGCTCTGTACGGAACCTGGCCTGGGTTTATTCTCTGCTCTGTTCTAAGCGGGACCGGAGCATCTTTATGCTATATCCTGGCCAACCTGGTCGGATCTGAAGCTGCCCGGTTTTATTTCCCGGAGAGAATATCTTCGTTTGAGAAGAAGTTAGAGGAGAACCAAGCGGAGCTACCATTCTTCCTTCTCTTTCTCAGATTATTTCCGATGTCTCCGAACTGGGCTTTAAACATGGCAAGCGGTGTATTAGGTACTAAAATATTAGAACTACCTAATTTTTATCTACATTACAAAATGTGCGTCACAACTAGATCAAATCCTTTTAGAAAGATGTATTTTATTTTAAATATAGACCCAAACTGAAATTAACTATTTAGGTAGTATAATGTCAATTTTTTTATATTTTTTTATGTCTTTGTTATCTCCCTGTTTAAGGATTTAGCATATTAATATATTATGTTTATAATTCAAAGTTGATATAACAACATCAATACTGCTAAGTGCTAAGGCTGAATTTTGGAACTATAGAATAATAGATAGATATTCTTCCATGTAGTGCTCAGGATCCGGATCCAAGTTGCAAAATATCAACCAAAAATTGCAAACAAAAAACTTTTGCTCCCATAACCTAAATCTGATTTGTTGAAAAAAACAGAGATTATAAAAGTTTCTCTATCTCTGAATAGTTTTACGTAAAAATAACAAAAAAAAAGGAAGAAAAATAATTTTAAAAACTCTTCTTTTAGAATATTCAAGAAATGCTCTTGACCTGGACTCGTATCCTTTTTTTCCAGTGCGGATTCAGGATCCAGATCCGTGTTAAAAGTAAATGGATCCTAAGCACTGCTTTAATGTATAGACAATAGACGCGTTTACTGGATAGAAACATTTTAATGGTTTTATACATTCTCTAGGTGTTCCATTGCATCTATTTTTTCTCAGCGTGTTTTTCGGCTTAATGCCGTACAATTACTTGTGTGTTACTTCCGGTGCAATCCTAGCGGATATCAGGGATCTAGCGGATATTATGAGCTGGGCAAATATGGGTAAGAAAACTCATTCATTCTCAATCTTAGATTTGCATCTGTTTTGCAAGAATGAATCTTGATAAAAACTAAACCAATTGAATTTTTCAGGTCGATCAGCTGTTGCTGCTGCAGTTGCCTTGGTTCCCTCAATTCTAATAAAATACAGATCTAACAATAAGAAAAGATGACACGGCAGAATTAATTAAATATTAAATTTTCCAGTATTTCAGATAGAATATGCCTGAACATGAAGATGATGTTGTTGAGGTGAAGGAAGGAGGAGGAGGTGGGATCGAGGGACGAAATGAAACTGTTTTGGCGAGGAAGTTGAAGAAGACGTTAGAGTTAAAACTAGAGAAGGACGGAGATACTGTGGATGCACTCATGGAGCTTTCTACATTCTTCAAGGTATATTTTATATTGGAAATCATTTAAACCCAACTCACCCTAGTTCTAATTCTATTCCTCAATCTTATTCTTAAGCCAGACCTTTTATGTTTTACTGTGGCTTATTTATTCAAGCCCTGCTTTTCCCATTTTTATTCTATTAATTTAAGTTTCATTTGATCCAGACCTTTCCATCTACTCCACTCTTCCATTTTATATTTTGTTATATCTCTCAAGAGTTAAAAACTTTCTGTTTTGTTACCAGGAGAATAACTTGAAGACTCGGAGAAACCTACGAGGACAGATTGAAAGACGTAGTTTAGAGATCAATCATGAGTTCCTCTCCGCATTCCAGGCCGTCAAGGAGAGCCTGGACGGGATTCATAATAACGTCAAGGGAATGTCAGACTCGTGCAAATCTATGCAGGTTATTTTTATTATTAATCTTAATATAGAAAATGGTTGCTAATTCACAATTCAGTGCTTAGGATCCATTTAATTTTGATGCGGATCTGGATCCTGGATCCGCTCTGGAAAAAATGGATCCGGATTCAGGTCATTTCTATAAGGTTTCCGAAAGTCACGTAGTTCATTACAAAAATACACAAGGTTGCAGTACAATGTTTATTTATGCTTGTTGATGTAGAACCGGTTGGAGCTGAGTAAGAAACAAACCCAGGAACTGATGAAGAAGACAACTGAGCTCCGAGGGGAAGGAAATAAACTGACCACTCAGAAACAACTAGCGGAGAAGATGAGAGAACGACTAGTTCTCACAAATAAGGTTAAGCATTGATATTTTGTCTGTCCAGGATGTTTCTTATGTTAAGACATGACATTTATAGTTATCTGAGATCGTAACTTTAGTGTGGATATTGTTAATCTTGAACGATTGATCTCGATATCTAATGTAACCACTTATAAATCTGAGGATCAATGCTTGATCCCTGAATTAAAGTTGTCCTTGCTTGGGATGACTATCACGAGAGGAATTAAATCAATCTGTAGATCTGCATAATATGGAGATCAATGCCTGATCCTGAGATTCACAACTCAAAAGATCTGACTTTTGGGACTTCTTGAATAATGTATATCGAGATCAACCATTGGTATTATACAATGTTGAGCAAAAACTGAACCCAGCTTCTATCTTATACTGATTTGATTCATATCTTACTTCCTTTAAGCATTAATTTATTGTTAATTTTATTATTAATTTCTGTAACGAAAAAAGAAATAGGCTATAAAAGATAAAAGAAAAATAATACCAGTATAAAATGTTGTATTATTGTATATGAAAGAAAAATACTTAATGCAACCACTAGAAAATAATATATTCGTCGAGTCGGTTTTTCTTATACTTTATTTTACAAAGATACAAAAAATATAAGATTGATACTATACTAATCAGCCGTGTTAAAAGTAAATGGATCCTAAGCACTGCTTTAATGTATGCCTCTCTTATTAACTAATTCGGATTTTTTTACAACNAATCCCCAAAAACCCGGTTTTAACTGAGCGCCGACTTAAATCTTGAACAATTGAATACAAGTTACAGTAGAACCAACAATATTTGAGCCGCGGCTTAAATTTAACCCGCGGCTCAAATTCTTTTAATTCGGCCTTAGATTTTGTTTAGAGAGGATTATCTTCTCTTCACGTAAAAACCTATATATTTTTGTAACCAGAATTATTCAGTGCATTCACTGATAGAAAAATACTTTTTCTAAAAGAGAATTTTGTTGTCCCCAGGACATGATCGGGGTGTTACGATCAAATTTCGGATTTTTTTTCTATTGCGAAAGTTTGGTGTTCTCTGGGTTTATATTGATCTACCAGGTGCTGTAATCTTGCTGCACATTAATCCATCCACGCTTCATTCATTCTGAGAAGAGGGTTGTCAAGATTCCAGCTGCCGAAGGGCTTCTTAGGCCTGGGAATAATAGAGCGCAGGAATTCTTCTGATGTAGTGGAATGAGGCCCGGGTGACATACTAAATCTGAATCAGGGCATACTGCAGTACAGTGTACAGTGTATACAGTACATGTTTAAGTTTGTAATCAGGTTTCTGTATTTTCATCTTTCTCCAGGGTCCTAAAATAACAGCAAAGGGGGCCGATATAGAGAGAATACATATATTTGGTTCAATTTCTTTCCTATGAAATGTGCAGCTTGTACAACATAAAAAAAGAAATTTTTTGTGACATTTTACGCATTTAGGAGGTTCAAGAGCTAAAGGGAGGAACTGAGATTAATAGGATCGGAGCAAGCTTCTTCCTTGTACTGGAAAAAGTTAAACGGATACACTCGGACTGTAAGGTTTGGATTTAAAACATTAGATCTTAGTTTAATAACCATCTTATATTAATATTTTTGTGACTTAAATATAATATTTTCATGGTCCAAACTAGCTTAGAAACGATTTCGGAAAGTTCTCGCGATAAAAATGAAGTCACTTTTTGTCCCCCCCCCCAAAAAAAAATTGGAAATCATTTTTGGTAGGTGGGGGGATATGCTCTGAAATATTTCCTTCTGAAGAGATTCCTATGCTAGGTTCTGCTTGCTGCCGGTCACCAAGCTACAGGGTTGAGTGTGATGGAGAGAATGGAAGAATACCGGGAGCTGGGACTAGACAGACTTTATCGTTGGTCTCAGGTATTTTTAAAACTTTACAGAAATCAAAAACTTTTGGACACACATTTGTGTAATTTTGAGTATCCATAGACCCTCCCTTGGGTCATGTGAGGCCCCACATAAAATTTAGGCCTTTAGGTTCTTTCGTTTTGACGTTATTATCTACAAACAGACAGACAGAATATAGAATAGATTTATTTTATTACCCAAAATCTTGTTTGATAATAGCAAATAAAACTTTATTGTCCCATGAATCTAACTTTTACACTTGTGTTTTATGCCGAATGTAAGAACATATTTTTTTTACCGTAGCAAGTTTAGTTAGTTATTTAGTCTAAGGAATAAAGTAGAGTTATTTCAAAATCCTTAGTATAGAAAAGTCGTCATTGTGTAGATACATACATCAGGAAAGAATTCAGACTGCAATTATAATCAAAACGTGCGGTGGTTTTATTCACAAATGTATATAGAAATATTTACTAAATTTAACTTTTACGTTAACAATATAGTAGGAATGAAAAACTCAGTTTGTTATTGACTAAGGATGAATATGTTTAGAGTGCAGTACGGAATATAGAGATTGGAGAGAATTCTGGAAACCTTGCTCAAGGATTCTTTCATCTCCAGGAGAAAGAAGCTCTCTTCAACCACATTATCGAGGAGTTCATCTCTTGCCGGAGACAATATATAGTTCGTCAGTTCCTGGATGCTCTAACTGTCGGAGGTCCCGGAGGAACTCCGCGTCCTATAGAACTGCATGCTCATGATCCTACCCGATATGTCGGAGATATGTTAGCCTGGTTGCATCAGATCTGCCCCGGGGAGACGGAGAATATAACGCTTCTTTTTAAACTATGCGATAGGACGGATAAGGTGGAGCTGACGGGACGTATTCTTTCCGGTATAACAGAGGGAGTATGCAGACCTCTGAAATCAAGGATAGAACAGATCCTGGTCTCCGAGTCCAGTGCAATTATTCTCTACAAGCTGACTAATCTCATCAGATTCTACGATAGAACAATTTCAGATATTCTACGTTGTAAGTAATTCCATTAATAATAACAAATGTATGTTGTAAATTCTAAATTGATTTATATTCTTTATGTTGCAGGTTCAAGTGTACTGAGTTCAACTCTATGCGAACTTCAACAACTGTCATATTCACAGTTTCTCTCCTTGCTTCAAACATCTGTGACAGCACAGTTAGCAAAAAGTGAGCTCGGGGACGGATCTTCAGATTTATCTCCTTCTTACACAACATCGTCGCTATTGGGACTTTTAAGGTGTGAATTTTTTCTGGATCAAATCGGAAAAACTTTAATTCAGGACTACGGAAAGAACCAAGAATACTTCAAAAGTATTTTGTTTATTGTTTAAGTAGATTTTTTTTATTTGAAGCTCATTGATTTAGCAAGATACTCTCTCGTCCTAATTATTATGTTTTTTTTTGTGTGTGATTGATTGATTTTTACTTTTAAGTACTTCTGCTCTGTAATAAAATCCTTCTCAGTTTTGATATAAAAATTTTGTTTATCGATGTACTTTTATAAATTACTTTTAAAAAGTATTTTATCTTTGTTTAAATAAATAATCTTTTTAGAGATGTTTTGTCTGGACACTCTGTCGTAGAATCCAGTCAGGCTGATCTACCTGTTGTAGTTCGAGCAGTAGTTGATCCTCTTACTCTACATCTACAGGAAACTGCTCTTAAACTTCCTAAACAAGATGCAGCGGTTTTCTTGCTAAATAACTTCCATCCTCTCCGCTCCACCCTCTCCCTCTACCAGTCCGATGATAAGAGGTTACTTGAGCTGAACAAGAGAATGGAAACCTGTATCCTGGATCTGGTCAGAGAACAAACCTCTTATATTCTTCTTAATCTTGAACTAGTTCCGATCCTTGCCATCATATCACAGGTAGAGTATTTTCATCCATTTTCGAGAAACTTTTATTTTATCAGCTACGAATTTTCTCCTTTAAAATAAAAAACTCGAAATTTATAAAAACCTAAAAAGTTAAAAAATTGATTTCTCTTAAGTTTGAGCTTTTTAGAATGACGGTAGTTCACTCTCCTCTGTGCCTGGCACTCATAGGGAAGCAATAGGAGCTGCCATGGCTAGACTTGATAATCTTCTCTCCGCTCCTGATCTTTATATTCTTCCGTCCACAAGGTATGTCTATTTTAAGAAGTTTCATAAAGACACTTTACCAAATGATGGTCTTCCAAGATCATTTCAACCATGGAAGGGGTACCATTATTGGGAAAATGCATTTAGGAAAGACGGTTTGGAAAATGATATTATAATCTTAACCTCGTCTCATCTATCTTTAACAAGATCTCAAAAGTCTCGTTTTCCCGCTAGTCGTGACTTTTTCTTCAAGAAAGGAATAAATTGAATTAGTAGATAGTGCTAAACTATCCCTATCTGTAGATAGTAGCTAAACTATCCCTATCTGTAGATAGTGCTAAACTGTAGATAGTGCTAAACTATCCCTATCTGTAGATAGTGCTAAACTATCCCTATCTGTAGATAGTGCTAAACTATCCCTATCTGTAGATAGTGCTAAACTGTCCCTATCTGTAGATTGTGCTAATCTATTCCTATCTAAGTCGTTGCTGGAAAGGTAACTTACCGATTTCTGATGTAAGTCACCGGGATGTCACAGTTTTCATTTAATTTGTAGCGATTAAATATTAAATCCGTTAAATACAGCTGTCGCATATTTTCGTTATTTAGAGTTATCCAGAATGCATTATACAAATCTGACAGACGGATTAGTCATTTCTGAAGCGATAAACAATACTTAAGTCCTGGCCTCTGATTTTATAAATCTTGCTTTTGCCTGAATGGATTCTAGAATGATTGCTGCACACTAGAGTTCTAAGAATTACTAAATTTATTAATCTACTCTAGATGGTTGGTTTCCTCTCAGCACAGAAAAACTGTCCGGATATCCTCTCATCTTGAATTAGTGAAATCGTACACACTTCTTTATCAGGTACAAACCTTTACACTTGGGGGGGGGGGGAGGGGAGGGGATCTTATTATTATATGATAAGTAAAAAAGAATTTAGCGTATTAGGCTCCTAGGGATATAAAAATGGGAAACCACTTTTTTTTAACTGATAAACAACCTACCTATGCAAGATCTAATTCCACCGTAAAAAAGAGAACCTCCAGTGAACGGGAAAAATCAGTAACTCCTACATAAATTCCTTAAACTTTTTCCATTTAATGTCGAACTAAATTGGGATTTGAAATGAACTTTTTTTATAGGAAGGATTTGGGATTAAAAAATTCTAAATGTTGAATAAGTTCTTTGTATTCAGGCTGTAACGGATCCTAATAACGGATACGAACCTGGAACCCTGAGTAAGACGCCGGAGCAGATAAAACTACTCCTACAGATCTAACACCCTTGTCTTATCTATAGAATGATGAGAAGCCAGCAATATGATGAATCCGTTTCACGTTTTTAAGTTTTTGTTAACTGTACTCTATACCTGAGCGAGTTTTGTATTTATTTCAATTCGTTTGCAATATTTAAACCAATTATATAAAGCTATTTTTTGATCATAGGCCGAAAAATAATCTAAAGGGGTTTACAGAGTGTAGTGGCGATTTGGTAGTGAGGAGTACCAACTGTACCAACCTGTATTTTACTAAATGATCAAATGTTCTGAAATGATGAAAACAATTATAGTTAAGTTTTTTGGACAGGGTAAAAATAATTATTAAATTGCTTTATGTCGGTACAGGGGTTCCAAGTCAGGTTCCCTTTCACATCTATATAATATTAAGTTAAATATCTTTGAATGTTGATTGAGGTTGAGTTTTTTAAAGGATATTGTGAAGTTTTTGGGGTTTTAGCCATAATTTGAAGAAGAATTTAATATTTTACCATGTTTAAGATTCATTTATTGTAATCATCATTTGCTATTAGTTTAGAGTGTTGATGAATTCAGTGATACACCAGTCGGCCGACTTTTTGTGATATGAAATTTATTCCACAGATTTATAAATTTTGAAATTTTATGCACCTATCTATATTTCAGGTAGAATGGGTCGTATCCGGTTAAGACCAGACTCCGCCAGGTTCCAGAAGGTTAAGGATTCAAACCGTATTCGTATATCCATACAAGAGGATGAGGATGAGAAAGATAATGTTTACGGATTTCTCTCAGGACGGACTATATTTGTTGACTCCGGGTACTCTGATGAGTTCGGTAATACTAAGAATATTATGGACTTTATCAGGGATAACCTGGAGATATTCAGTGATATTGAACTCAGGTTTAAAGATCAGAGTATAAAAATAAATTCATTGGTTGTTGGGTTTCTTTTCCCAGCTCTAGAGGATAACCCTGAGCTTGAGGTTGTAATTCTACCAGACCAGTCCTTGGACGAGTTCTTACAAAACCTTGACTTCTTCATGCTCCAGGCTTCTCTTAAACCAACTTCACAACAACCGGTTCAGTTGGAAGAAAAGCATGAAATAGTGAGTATTTTATTAGCTAAATACATTTAATAGAACAATTTAGTTAATTGTAAATATCTAGGATGAAGATTCTCCTCCCTGTGCGAGCCATACTCCCCCTCTGAGGTTTATTTTACCCAAACCACCGGAGAATAATCCTTCTCCAGTTTCTAATCTCGGGTAAATCATGAGCATTTACAATTGTTTCATAACTTTTCAACTTTTTTCCCAGAATTATTACATTATTTATATTCCCCTTTACATAATTTATTTGCCTTCCTAATTAAGGGTTAAACAAACTTTGAAAATAATTCCTAACATGGGGATGAGAGATTTGTGAAAGATATATTTTTAGGTAAAAAATATTTTTAATTATTAGGTCCGAGTCTGTAGCAGAGTCCTTGTATCGGAAACCTGAACCTGGAGATATTAATCCACAATTAAACCTTGATCTTGAAGCAAAGAAAAAATTCTCCAGAAGCCTAGATAATGATGAATCCAACGCTAAAGAAAACCAAGCCCCTACATTATCCTGCCGAGTCTGTAATGCTAGTTTCGACTGTCCAAAAACATGTTTTACGCATGAAATTGTAGATTGCGATATTTTCAGTTCTAGCAAACCGGCGGTGAAGAAAACGACGAATTGGAAGAATTTGACTTCTTTGAACCCCAACCTTACTTGTGAAATATGTAATCAAATATTTCAAAGTAGACGAGCTAGAAACATACATCAGGTGATGATGATTATTCATAATCCATAAATTCTTTTTTTTTAGCTAAAATGGGGGAAATCACTGGGTTTTTTTCGGAGGAAAAGTATAAAATATTGGAAAACTTGTCAGTTAAAATGCAAATTTTCATTTGTCCCCTCAAATAGAATATTTTCATGTACAGGGAAATTATATTCTAGAAAATATTTCCCCCTGATGATATATTCTAATAATTTTTATATTTTAGAGACAAGAACATAAAGATATATTTCCCCCTGATGATATATTTTATAATTTTTATATTTTAGAGACAAGAACATAAGATATATTTCCCCCTGATGATATATTTTATAATTTTTATATTTTAGAGACAAGAACATAAGATATATTTGCCTCTGATGATATATTCTAATAATTTTTATATTTTAGAGACAAGAACATAAAAATATATTTCCCTCTGATGATATATTCTAATAATTTTTATATTTTAGAGACAAGAACATAAAAATATATTTCCCTCTGATGATATATTCTAATAATTTTTATATTTTAGAGACAAGAACATAAAAATATATTTCCCTCCAACTATTACTGTTTGTACTGTGACAAAGTATTCGCCAACAGCAGCTGTTTGACCAGTCATCTTACTCTTCATTCAGAGGTACTGTCATTCCTCATTTTTCGAAACTTTTGTTTAAACCGTCTTCTTCATATAATTCCTTCTCAATATTTCCAAAGGTCAATGGTAGATTGCAAAAATAAGATTAAGCTGTTTTTTACGGTTTAAGAACTGAACCATCATTTAAAAGTTCCACTGTAACATCTTTATCCAGCTCTATAGATTAGTGCCATTTTATACAAAATAACGGAATGAGGCTACTTAAGATTAACCTTTTTTCCGCAAGGTTTTCACATTTTAAAAAATGTACAATAAAATCTGGGATTCTCAAAATTAGAGTATGCTCTAATCTTTACCCTTAATGGAAAGGATTTTAATCAAAAGACATCAGTGAATGTTACGGTATTTTAAAGTTATAAAAACTTTTGATATTTTGCCCAATTCTAGAAAAAATACATAATCTTTCAAAAAACTAATAATAGAAGTATAATGTATGTATGTATTTTCTTAAGGCCAAAGAGTTTATGTGCGACGCATGCGCCATGAATTTCCGAACCTTAAAAGCTCTGCAGAACCATCAGATAAGAGAACACCACGAGGAACTGCACGATGTTAAGAAGTATGAATGTAGTTTCTGTGATAAAGTATTTAGATTTCCTGCTCATCTTAACTCTCACGAACGAGTCCACACCAAAGAGAAACCCTACAAATGTGAAAAATGCGGGAAGGGATTTTCTGTGAAATGCAACTTGAATATGCACATGGAGACGCATAAAAATATGGATGAACGCAAATTTAAATGTACCCAGGTGATTTATTTGTTGTAAAGAATTATTTTCATTATTCTCTAGCCTAGATTTAAGACCAGATCTAATTACTCAAGATGAATGGGGACTGGAACTTACAAAATTAAAGATGGAGTTCGGAAGTAATTCTGTTAGGAATGACATCTTGTTTGAGATCTTATGTTAATGTAATATCCGGGGAACTTATATATACAGAGTGGCATGTCCGATTTAGAGCGGTACCCTTTAAAGCTTTGTCTGATCAAGTATTAATTAGATAATCAGGTTTTTGCTTCTGAAAACTATTTATTTTGTTTCTTGGTTTCTCCACTAGAGTGACTTGCGCAAATCTTGCAGGTGGCTGTTTAATATGATATAGGATTTAGTAAAGTAGTTAGGATCTGGAGCAAGGACGGTTCAAACCATTAAACTGGAAAACATAATGTCTAATTAATTCAGTGTTCTCATGCAGCAACCAGTAAGATTCTGTTGGACCTTCACAATAACACTCACCTAGGTCTCAGACCATTCGTCTGCCAGTCTTGTGGAGCCTCGTACAAGTATGTTTTTTTTATTCTAGTTTGGTTTAGTAAGGTTCATATTTAACAAAAAAATTCTAAAACTTATATAAAAAGACCCCCCAGGCAAAGATCGCAATTTAAGTTGATTTTTTAAGTTGTTAAATCAAAAACTAGAGATTATTTTTTATTTAGGCGTCCTTCCCATCTCCGACGGCACTCTCTTCTAGGATGTAAAAACTTACCGACCAATAAGGTAAATTTTGCATCCTAAATTTGCCAAGCGATTGGAAATTCATTAGTTTCTTAATTTATCAAAAGTAAAGCCAAACAATGCATTACACGCTTGTTCTGCCCCCCCCCCCCTAAACTAACTATAACCGCGGTGTCCAGAATATATCCATAATAATCAAAATATAAAAGTTTACTTGTCTTTAGTATTGAGATGAAATTACTGATGATATATTTTTATCAGAAATTTGCAAGACCAAGATTAAGAACCGAGAATACAAGTTCTTCAATTACACGTGTTCTCTTGTCACACCGAGCAGATGCTGAGTTTGTTGTGGAAAAAACTGAAGAGGATGAGGAGGCTGATCAGGAGAAACAGATAAAGCATGAGGCTCAGGTTCTGGAAGAAGATGAACATTCCATTTTCCCGGATCAGGTCTCAGGAGATCATCAGATCAGTATCGTAGAGGAGGTGGAGGAGAAAGAACGGATAGATTGTGAGGTTGTTGAACAAGAAGTGGAGTGGATGGAGGTTGTTGGAGAAGAAGTTGTTATCGATGGTCAAATACAATACGAAAGTTTAAACAACTATTACTAGTACAAATCATTATTTAAATTTCAGATTAGAATGTTCTAGGCTTTCATTCTCTAGTCTGGGATTAAACCAGGATGGGAAAAATGATTCCCGGCCTGTTCTCCAGGTTTACCCGGAGAAAACAGCTGAACTCTTCTGAGTCAGATAGCAAGCTTGCTCGTTGTTTGAACACTGTAGACCTTACACTACTTGGAGTAGGATCGACCCTAGGAGTAGGAGTTTATGTTCTGGCCGGGGGAGTAGCTAGAGATTCAGCAGGTATTTAAAATCAACGATCATTATTCGTCTGACCGTATTTAAATTTTAAACATTTTCCGTTCTACAAAGTTCTACAGATCACAACTGAGGAAAATGCCACCTTGGTATTTAGTTACTTGGTTACTTAATATACTAATGCCGGATTGATCCACAATCTGTAAATTAAAAGAAGATTTAATTTTTTAACTTTTAGGTCCTAGTGTTGTTCTATCATTCCTGATAGCTGGGATTGCCTCTGCCCTGAGTGGACTGTGCTACGCTGAATTCGGAGCCAGGGTTCCTAAGGCTGGTAGTGCATATATCTACAGTTATGTTACAGTCGGAGAACTTTCAGCTTTCGTGATCGGTTGGAACCTTATCCTCGAGTACGTTATTGGAACAGCCAGTGTTGCGAGAGCTTACTCAGGTGTGAAACTCATTAAACTGGGATCGGATTTTATGAGTTTTGAAAAGTCGTTGAACTACCTACCGCTGGTTCAAATCCTGAATAAACTATTCATTCTCCAATTAGTTACCCGAATTCTCACGAATCTTCAACTTTGAATCAGTGATTCAGGATTTGAACCGGGTGGTGGGTAGTTTAACGACCTCTCCAATTCATTAAATTCTGTTCCTGAATAAATGAGATTATGATTATTTTAAACCTTTATCTGTGAAAAGTTTTGTAATACTAGACTTCTTGTTTAGGATATCTGGACAGTTTGCTTAACAACACGATGAAGACGACATTTAGAGAATATATGCCGATGAACGCTCCCTTCCTTGCAGATTATCCAGGTATAACATTTACTGACGATTTCGGATCTGAAATGTTTATTTAAAAACCAGATGAGCAAAAGGCTTCATTTTATGTAATATTAAGTAAATCTTTTTTGGTCACATCAATAAGCCTGAATTAAGACATAAATTTCCCTAGATTGGACTGCGTTTTCGATAACCCTACTTCTTGCCCTGGTCCTGAGTATTGGGGTTCAGGAGTCCACTAGGTTTAATAACATCTTCACCGTCCTCAACCTGGCCGTCGTCGGGTTCGTCATCATTGCCGGGGTCACCCATTCTGATCTCAACAACTGGAGTTTAGACGTTCAGCCAGGTTCAGAGAAAAAGTTAGGTTCCGGAGGATTTTTCCCGTTTGGTTTAAGTGGGACGCTTAGCGGAGCTGCAACATGTTTCTATGGATTCGTTGGGTTTGATGCTATTGCAACAACCGGTGAAGAAACAAGAAATCCGCAGAAAAGTATCCCTATTGCTATCGGTAAGATTAAAAATTATTTAACTAAATTAATAAAATCTTTTTCTCAATAAAATGATTTTTTTCCTTTTATTAAGTTGTATCTCTACTTGTCGTCTGCTTGGCCTATATGGGGATAAGTAGTGTGTTGACCCTTATGCTACCCTACTATCTTCAGGTGAGCTTATACAGGGATAGTTAAAATATACAATTTAATGAGCTCCGAAGTTGCCCCCCCCCTCTCTCTTTTCGTTTCCCTACACAATCTTGCACTTACCTTAATAGTTCTTTTTCATCGATAAAAATATCCTTCCGATTTATCTTGCAACTCTGCGCAAACCTTCCTCACATATTCGGGTGGGGAGGGGGGGGGGGGCAGTAAATTGAATTACTCCCTAATTCTTTGGTTTTTACAGGATGTAGATGCTCCTCTTCCGCATGTTTTCCGTGAGGTTGGATTACCCTCAGCTGCCTGGGTTGTGGCGGTTGGAGCTCTGTTCGGCCTCTCGACCTCTCTTTTAGGTCAGCACTAACATTCATGATGAATAAACCTCTAATGAGTATTCTGGTGAAAATAAAATTCAAAAGAAAACATGCGACAATAAAAAATTAGGTATATTTTAATATGCATTAAAATTCAGGCGCCATGTTTCCGTTGCCTCGTATAGTTTACGCTATGGCGAATGATGGCTTACTTCCACGCTGTCTTGGATCCGTTCATTCATACTTCAAGACTCCACTCTTAGCTACCCTTTTAGCAGGTATCTTTATACCTTCATGTATACAATACTAGGATCAGTTCATTCCTAATCCTACCTCAATACTCCACTCCTAGGTACCTTTATACTTTCATATATCTTATACTTGGATCCATTCGTTCTAATAGCAGGTACCTTTATACCTTTATATATCCTATACTTGGATCCATTCATTCCTACTTCAAGACTCCTCTTCTTGCTACTCTAATAGGAGGTACCTTTATACCTTTATATATCCTATACTTGGATCCATTCATTCCTACTTCAAGACTCCTCTTTTAGCTATTCTAATAGCAGGTACCTTTATACCTTTATATATCCTATACTTGGATCCATTCATTCCTACTTCAAGACTCCTCTTCTAGCTACTCTAATAGCAGGTACCTTTATACTTTTATATCTTATACTTGGATCCATTCATTCCTACTTCAAGACTCCTCTTCTAGTTATTCTAATTGCAGGTACCTTTATAACACTAAATATCCTATACTTGGATCCATTCATTTCTATTTCAAAATTGTTCGTATTTATTTGATACATTTCATTTCTTAAATAATAGTGATGATATTTTTGCTTGAGTTTTCATATTTTTAAAAGTATTTTTCGATTATTTGATTTCTTAATTTAAAACAAAGGCTCTTTTTTGGACTTTTATGAAAGGAAACAAAACTAATGCAATTTGGATAGGGGGATCTGTTTCCACCCATTACCCATCTGTTACCCATCTGGAAGCAACGAAAATTTAATGAATATTGAGTTACCAGGTGTTTCGTGGCAAAGAACTGGCTCATTCATAACTTAATTTTTACAAAATTGTTTTGATTATTATTTTATTTTTATTTTATTTTGTATTTTGGTTTTTCTCTGATTATATATTCCATATGAAATGCAAGAAACGTAAAACCTAGGATGATCATTTTAGGAAAGTAATGGAGTCTTTTTTAAGTGTACTGGGGTAAAGTTGTTGATGCGCCAGTTGTGAGCCAGGAGCTGCCGACCATAGTAGCGTAGAATGGGATGTATTGTTGGATCGGATCCTGTCCGCTAATAGGACTGAGTCCTAGAGTCTATGTACTTTTTAGTCACAGTTTTCATTTTAATTTATGATGATAAAAGAATTGATATTTGATATTTTATCTTATGCATATTAAGGTCTTTTATCTGGCTTGATGGCTTTAACCTTTAATCTGGCCCAGTTGGTGGATATGATGTCCATAGGAACGTTGATGGCTTATACCATGGTTAGTCTCTCTGTTCTACTTCTCAGGTACAGAAATATAACCCTTCCCACAACCTTCTTGGGTTAGCCCCCTTTACGGTTACTCAATAAACACATCCGGGCTGAAAACCCACCTCTCAGTCAGGACTTGAAACTCCAGGCTGTGGAGTGGAGCCTAAAGCTTTCCCTAACACCCATGATTTGATTTGATTTGACATCTTAAAGCAATAAGATATTTACTTTCTTAGTCCCACCCCGTTAACCATGGGTTAATGATTTTTATTTTGGTTGTTTGGTAACACAAATTTAGAGATTATATTTAGGTACCGGGCCACGGATATAGGGGGAGACTACACTCCTTTATCTACCCAGGATCCTTATGAGTCAGAGGAAGAACTCTTTCCTCTCCGAACCTCCGAGAAGCTTGTATTTACACGCCGGGAGTACATGAGACAAATGTTGAACCTGGATAAGTTATCCCGTCCTACTCCTCTCTCCTCCTACGTCGCAACCCACAGTGCAATCATGTTTACAATCCTTACTATACCCTTCTGCCTGATGCCGCATATGGTAAATATGGAAGTATGGCACGCTAAGCTTGGAATGGTGTTTATGTCTCTGAAATTAATCTCCTGTGTTGTTGTACTCTGTAGACAACCATCAGATACTTCTAGTCTAAGCTTCAAGGTTCCGCTAGGTTAGTAATATTTCACTAAAAATCATAAACCTTTGAGTTTATACTATTATACTAGTAGGTCGGAACTTCTGTACTATTAATTTCCTACTTCTTGTATAAATAACGATTTCTACTAACAAATAGATTTTATAAGATACAATATTATATTTTGCCAAGATTAGTTAGAATATTAATCTTCTAGTTCCTGTTCTGCCCGCAGTATCTATACTGACCAATGTTTTCCTCACGACTAAATTATCTCCTGAAACCTGGGTTAGGTTCTCGGTCTGGCTCCTCGTAGGCATTCTTATCTACGCTTTCTACGGCTGGAGAAATAGTTCAGGTTTAATTTTTCATTATTATGTAATTTATGCATTTATCAATTTCTTTTCTCCGAAGCAGTCGCGTCTTAGATTTGAGACGCGGCTCAAACATGGTTGGTTCCACTTAAAAATTGTTTTCAGTGATTCGAGATTTGAGCCGGTGCTCAATTGAAACCGGTTTATGGCGGTTCAGCGACGCGGTTTAAATTCTTTAAATTCGGCCTCTGTTCACTTAAATAAGAACTAAGAAGAGCCTTTATGAAAGTTTTTAAGTTAAAGATGTTAAGCTTTGATTGAGATCTGATTGAGATATCATACGAGTAAATCTACAAATAATTCCAGAAGAAATTTGCATCGGTGCATTTTTTTTAATGTATTTTTTAAACCCATGAATTATTTTTTATTGGATTTATTAATTATTTTCTGAGTCTAATAGCTTAAATTGTAAAAAACAAGAGTTGAACAATTTATAGTCTTCAGAAAGGATCGAGTGAGTAAAGCTGGTTTGTTTTTAGAGGAGTACAGGATGAAGGGTGAGGTTCCACCTGAGGAGAGAATGGAAAAGGAGAAACCTAGATCAGGATCCGTCCTGCAGTAAGACCAAACCTGGAATCAGATCATCATTTCTTCTTTGTTAAAATATCCTCAGTCCTTCTAATTTGTTTTACGTCAGTGTTCTTGGTCAAAACTTTTACTCTCGAAATAGGCCGGGATCCTAAAAACCCAGTCTTTCAATTTGTGCCCATTTCTAACACTCAGTTTTAGGAATGGGCCAAGTGATAGTTTTGGAACTAATGTCCCCTGATTTGATAATTCCTAGAAAAAAATTACAGGCCTTCCTTAAAAAGATCGAACAGTGTCCAAAATACGGCATTTTTCTCAATATTTCTCCATTTTCTTCCTAAAATTATTTTTTCAACAATTTTTAATTATGGTTTCTGACCAATTGTTTTAAATTTGAAGGACCCTAAAAATATGAGAAAATCTTTTAGAATACAATTCAAGCTTTTGAAATACTAAATTCGTCCTCCATGTGATGTAAAAAAGTCAAATTGTCCAAATATCGGGTTCAAAGTTTCAGCAGAGAAAGATTAACAATGCAGGAGATAATTAATTTCTAATGTCATCCAATATTGAGTTTATTATTAAAATTATCTTTTTGTTGTACCTTGTTTTGGTGAACATTTGAAAAAGAAATCGACTTAAAAATCATCCTTTACAGGCACAAAATAAAAATTGTATCTACACTTAGTAATTAGCTGTTAAAACTTTAAAAAAATTTAAACGATGTTAAACTAAAACTTATGATATTTTCTATCGATCTTCTTTAAGATTTATATAAATTTTATTAATATTTTATATTTTTATTATTAATAATTAAGGCTGGTGAAAAGGTATGTTCTATTTAATAGATATATATAGATCTGGTTTTGGATTTACTTACAGTTGACTTTCAGTTGCAATCATGGTTATTATTCATTTTAATTTCTAGAGTTATCCATCTTTTATTTTCTCATTTTAACTCCTCATCTTACAATTACATTTAAGGAAAATGTTTTAAAAGCCTGGCTCTGTGCAGTGTGCATACTGCTACATACGATACACATTTCCTTGTTAACAATAATTTGTATTTCTGGAGATCTGTTTAAAATCTCGAAATCCTGATTGTCCACCGCACTGTTGCATTTTATTTCATACTGTGATTTACCGAACCCAAGTATTTATTGTATTGTATATTTTTTATTGAAATTTTTATGACTGTATTTATTATACATGTGTTTGATTGAAACGTGTTTATGTATTTTGTAAGATTTAAGCTAAAATGTGGCAATGCCACTATCGAAAATTTTAACTCAATTTCAACGCATAAATATCGTGGATTTTATGTGCAAAAATATTTTTTAATCCTTTGGGGAAGCACAAAATATGCCACACTAAACTTGGGATGTTGTTAAGTGATTTCTGTTGTATAATATTTTAACGCTACCGAATATTATTGTATTTTTGTTGCCAATATACAACAGATATAAAATGGATGCTGCTTAATCATTTGCTGCTGAAGCACAAAAACGTTGTATTAGATGTAAACAAACATTTTCTACATTTTTCATTGTAACATTGGCTGCATAATATATATGTACTATGTTGCTATGTGGTTTTATTTTGCCATTTACCATGCCGACTAAATTTTACAAATGAATGTTTCAGATGTAAATATTATGGCATCAGCCTCAAGCACAAGTGCTAAGATTTTATTCCAGGATTCAAAACAGAAGCTTTCAGAGCGTGTCCAGGTGTTAACAATTCCATTTTCAAAATATTTTGGAGGATTTTCATCTTTTACTTTTAAAAACATTTTTTAATTTGTCATTCCGAGTGGAAGAAATTTACTTCTAAATTTGATATTTTGTTTACGGAGGAGCGCCGGTGTATTATATAGTTTATAGTACTCATTACACATTTTTCTACAAGCAATGTTAGCTCTATGAAAGCAATGCTGCAACATTGAAAATGCGCAATTTTAAAATGTATTTTTATTTTAAATTAATCCTATTAGCAACGTTTACGAGATCAGATTAAATTAAAATCTGGCCTTTTTTAAATAAAACCTAATCTAATGGAAAATTAAAAGGGGACATATCCATGTTGGGTTTTTTTCGCTGGTTTCCAAGTTTAAATAATACGATATTTTAGGCTAATATTACAAGTGTTGGTTCCCTAGTTCGACAATTACAGAAAGGATCCAGATCTAACGATATCCTTGGACAGACAGTTAGAAACTTCTCTGCAGCTGAAGTATCCATCAATAACACCTCACAACAGGTATTAAATAGATCATCCATCTTCTGAGAGTTAAGAAGTGAAAACTTTTAATCCTTTTCTTTTATTTACTCGATTTTCTAGGGGTTAAAAGTGTAAACTTTTAATCCATTATTTTTTGTTTTCTTCGATTTTCTGTCCTCGCCCTATGCAAAGGTCTAAGACTGGACTAAATTAATAAAATCTTTT